TTTTGGGTTCGGAGAATGAGCTGTGTCTTCCTGAATTATTTTGAAAAATACCTATACGGCCTAAATACTCATATGGCCCGGCCTGTTAATAATCAAACGAGTAAAATACTCATATGGTCCGACCATACACGTATGGTCCAAATACTCATATGGTCCGAAACTTTTATTATAATAACGTATGCATTCTGTGTTCTAGCGCTGCCAACCGTTGTACAACCTTTGTTCACGAACTGCCAACTGTTGTCCATTCTTTGTTATAGCAATGTTAACTGTTGTGCAATCATGTTTTCAAGTGACATGAGCTATGGTACATCTTTTCTTCTAGAGATGCTTCTAACCGTTACAACCTTTGTTCAAGTCATGTTAAATATTGACAAACTTTGTTCAAGTGATGTTAAATGTTGGACAATCTTTTTTCAAGTAAGGTTAAATGTTGGACAGTCTTCGTTCAAGTTATGTTAAATGTTGACAATCTTTGTTCAACTAATGTTAAATGTTGGGAATATTTGTTCAAATGATGTTAAATGTTGGACAATCTTTGTTCAAGTAATGGTATATGTTGGACAATCTTTGTTCAAGTAATGTTAAATGTTGGATAGTCTTCGTTCAAGTTATGTTAAATGTTGACAATCTTTGTTCAACTAATGTTAAATGTTGGAAATATTTGTTCAAATGATGTTAAATGTTGGACAATCTTTGTTCAAGTAATGGTATATGTTGGACAATCTTTGTTCAAGTAATGTTAAATGTTGGACAATCTATGTTCCAATAATGGTATATGTTGGACAACCTTTCTTCAAGTAATGTTAAATGTTGGACGATCTTCGTTCAAGTAATGTTAAATGTTGGACAATCTTTGTTCAAAACAAGTTAAATGTTGGACAGTCTTTGTTCAAATTCTGTTAAATGTTGGACAATCTTTGTTCAAGTGATATTAAATGTTAGATAATCTTTGTTTAAGTAATGTTAAATGTTGGACAGTCTTTGTTCAAGTAATGTTACATGTTGGACAGTCTTTGTTCAAGTAATGTAAAAGTTGGACAATCTGTGTTCAAGTAATATAAAATGTTGGATAGTCTTTGTTCAGGTAATGTTATATGTTGGACAGTCTTTGTTCAAGTAATGTTACATGTTGGACAGTCATTTTTCAAGTAGTGTTATATGTTGGACAATCTCTGTTCAAATGATTTTAAATACTGGACAATCTTTGTTCAAGTAATATAAAATGTTTGATAGTTTTTGTTCAAGTAATGTTAAATGTTGGACAGTCTTTGTTCAAATGCTGTTAATTGTTGGACAATCTTTGTTCAAATTATGTTAAATGTTGGACAATCTTCGTTCAAGTAATGTTATATGTTGGACAATCTTTGTTCAAGTAATGTTATATGTTGGACAATCTCTGTTCAAATGAAGTTAAATGTTGGACAATCTTCAATCAAGTAATGTTATATGTTGGACAGTCTTTTGATCAAGTAATGTTACATGTTGAACAGTCATTTTTCAAGTAGTGTTATATGTTGGACAATCTCTGTTCAAATGATTTTAAATGCTGGACAATCTTTGTTCAAGTAATATAAAATGATTGATAGTTTTTGTTTAAGTAATGTTAAATGTTGGACAATCTTTGTTTAAATGAAGTTAAATGTTGGACAATCTTCAATCAAGTAATGTTATATGTTGGACAGTCTTTTGATCAAGTAATGTTACATGTTGAACAGTCATTTTTCAAGTAGTGTTATATGTTGGACAATCTCTGTTCAAATGATTTTAAATGCTGGACAATCTTTGTTCAAGTAATATAAAATGATTGATAGTTTTTGTTCAAGTAATGTTATATGTTGGACAATCTTTGTTCAAGTAATGTTATATGTTGGACAATCTCTGTTCAAATGAAGTTAAATGTTGGACAATCTTCAATCAAGTAATGTTATATGTTGGACAGTCTTTTGATCAAGTAATGTTACATGTTGAACAGTCATTTTTCAAGTAGTGTTATATGTTGGACAATCTCTGTTCAAATGATTTTAAATACTGGACAATCTTTGTTCAAGTAATATAAAATGTTTGATAGTTTTTGTTCAAGTAATGTTAAATGTTGGACAGTCTTTGTTCAAATGCTGTTAATTGTTGGACAATCTTTGTTCAAATTATGTTAAATGTTGGACAATCTTCGTTCAAGTAATGTTATATGTTGGACAATCTTTGTTCAAGTAATGTTATATGTTGGACAATCTCTGTTCAAATGAAGTTAAATGTTGGACAATCTTCAATCAAGTAATGTTATATGTTGGACAGTCTTTTGATCAAGTAATGTTACATGTTGAACAGTCATTTTTCAAGTAGTGTTATATGTTGGACAATCTCTGTTCAAATGATTTTAAATGCTGGACAATCTTTGTTCAAGTAATATAAAATGATTGATAGTTTTTGTTTAAGTAATGTTAAATGTTTGACAGTCTTTGTTCAAGTAATATAAAATGTTTGACAGTCTTTGTTCAAGTAATGTTAAATGTTAGACAGTCTTTGTTCAAGTAATATAAAATGTTGGATAGTCTTTGTTCAAGTGATGTTAAATGTTGAACAATCTTCGTCTAAGTAATGTTTAATGTTGGACAATCTTTTTTCAAGTGATGTTAGATATTGGACAGTCTTTGTTCAGTGATTTTAAATGCTGGACAGTCTTTGTTCAAGTAATATAAAATGTTTGATAGTTTTTGTTCAAGTAATGTTAAATGTTTGACAGTCTTTGTTCATGTAATGTTTAATGTTGGACAGTCTTTGTTCAAATGCTGTTAATTGTTGGACAATCTTTGTTCAAATTATGTTAATTGTTGGACAATCTTCGTTCAAGTAATGTTATATGTTGGACAATCTTTGTTCAAGTAATGTTATATGTTGGACAATCTCTGATCAAATGATTTTACATGTTGGAAATCTTTGTTCAAGTAATATAAAATGTTGAATAGTCTTTGTTCAAGTGATGTTAAATGTTGAACAATCTTCGTTTAAGTAATGTTTAATGTTGGACAATCTTTTTTCAAGTGATGTTAAATATTTGACAATCTTTTTTCAAGTAATGTTAAATATTGGACAATCTTTGTTCATGTGATTTTAAATGCTGGACAGTCTTTGTTCAAGTAATGTTAAATGTTGGAAATCTTTGTTCAAGTAATGTTAAATGTTGGACAGTTTCTGTTCAAGTAATGTTGAATGTTGGACAATATTCGTTCAAGTAATGTTAAATGTTGAACAATCTTCGTTCAAGTGATGTTTAATGTTGGACAGTCTTTGTTCAAATGATGTTGAATGTTGGAAAATCTTTGTTCAAGTGATGTTAAATCATGGAAGTCTTTGTTCAAGTAATGTTATATGTTGGACAATCTTCGTTCAGAAAAAGAGGCGAAAGATACCAAAGAGAAATTCAAACTCATATGTCGAATACAAACTGACAATGCCATGGCAAATAAAACCCGAAAAACGACGGATAGACAAACAAAGTGCACAAAAAACAACATAGAACACTAAAGACGGAGCAACACGAACCCTCTTAAAACCGAGGGTTAATCTCAGGTGCTTCGGAAGGGTTGGCATATCATGCTCCACATGTGACATTCGTCGTGTTACTCCTTTAAAATATGTTGATAAGTTAAGTGATAAGGCATCAAACAATAGCGGATTGGTAATCGACTCTTATCTAACCCTACGAGCCAGTCATTTGTTCCAAAAGGCTCAGGATCAGACATAAATCTCCAAAGTTTTACACGAAACTCTATATTTGGCCTTCATGTATTCAAGTAATTTTACATGTTGGACAATCTTTGTTCAGGGGATTTTAAATGTTGGACAGTCTTTTATCAAGTGATGTCAACTGTTTTGTGATTTTTGTTCAAGTGATGTAAGCTGTTTTACAACTTTCTTCTATCTGTGACATCAGTTCTTGTATACAACTTTTGGATGGAATATAATTACATTTGTTTTCAAATCTCTGTTCTGGTGATGACATCTGTCATGTCTGTTACACCATCTTTGTTTTAGTAAAGTCAAATGTTTAACAATGCTTTTTCTAGAGATGACACTTGCTATGCAATAACTGGTTATAGTTATGGAAATGTATTGTTTAATCGTTTGTTATAATTCTGTAAATGTTGTATAAGAGATATCATACATCTTTTGTGCAATCTGATTGAAATTCAGATCTATTGTAACTCGCGTCGAAGAATAACGAAACTAGATATTTATATGTTAATTAGATTGCCTTTTGTGCAATGTGTGCTCTAAAGATGACGTTAGTATTATCTTTCTATTGCAGTCTTTGTTGTAGTGAAATATCGTGTCTTGGAGACATGTTTGTATAACTCCAGTATAAAGACACTTTTGGTAGAAAAAATTTCTCCAGCGTTTTCACAAGATTGAATTTCATCATTTAAGGTTTTCTAATTGGTGACCATACGATCTATTTCAAAATCTTTTAAGTTTCAAAGCCTGAAAAGAGAAACGGAAAAGAAATAACATTTTCTTAACTAAGTAAATAGTATATGGTTTAAATGTTGGTTGTGAAATTAAAAAACAATGAATATAAGCAAGCTTATCTTGTTCATCTTGTTTTCTTGTTTGTATTTGAAAATGTTATATATTATCGTTGGCCTGTGCATTTTTGACATTAGAGAAAGTCATTCAGTAAATTGGAAAGTGTAAAATTTTAAACTCTGGTGCAAAATTTTACCTAAGACGCACCTAGTATCATTTTCCCAGTGTAACGTTGTTAAAAGATCGTTTTTATTTATATGGAAATGTAAATATGCAAAATGGTTTGATGTGTTAATTGATCCTGACATTTAATTATCACTTTCACTGAATTTCCAATACACTCAGCACGTATGTCAAATATTGAGTCCAAAACCTATTAGTTTTTTTACTTTTAAATACCTGTCGGTTCAACCAGTGTGACGATTTTCCCGTCTGATCCTCTCCGTGTGACATTGGTTCACAGATGACTGACTACATGTAGCGCTTCGCAACAACAAACGTTTTGTAACTCTACCTCGGAAGCTTTCGTAGTAACAAGATGGCGACCTCCATGAGATATGGACATAAAAAAGCATGAAGTTTGTTTAAAGGAATAAATTGTGATGAAGATAATTCTAAACATTCGAAAAATAAGTGGACAGTTTTGTTAAATTACAATTTCGAATGACAACGGATTAATTTATTTTAAGTGGTGTATTTACACATTTTTTAGTTGTTAGTTTTTAAAAAGGAAAACATGAAAGAAAATATTTGTTTTAAAAGTATATGGATTTTACCATTATTATTCTCTATAACGGTAAGTTATGTTTTACTTGCAATCAACCGGTTTTCAATAACTAACCGGGCATGAAGGGTATGTTTGTAATATGAAACCGTGTTTAAAAGAATAATTTTATTTCCTTGTTGCAAAAACATATAAAGAATATATTTATTTGTTTCGCAAGACAACCATATAGAACCACTGAAAACATCGGTTAAAATTAATATGAACAACGGACCAGTTGTTTCTTTTCAAAGGATAAAAAATCAAACCACATATGATAAATCCATTATATATCATTTTGTCTTTAATTTTGCACTCCTTCTTTAATACCTTTCTGGTAAAAAACGAAACAAGAAGCAATGTGAATTTGTTTGATGTTGCTTTACTAACGTCCTTAATTTTGATCAGGGTAATTTTGAACACAGATATAATTGGGATGGCTTTATATTAGAAATCAGATTATAAAAACTATTGTATATTTTAGGGAATCATTAAGATCGAAAGGTTTTCATGTATCCATGACAAATTAAGAAAATAAATGGAACTGAACCTCTTATATTCTACATACAATTATAGATCTGTACTATATATGTAGCATATTTCAATAATTATATCGATGACTGGGTGCTTTGATAGAGTTTCCTGAACCACTTCATTATCGTTTTTTTGTTCAAATAGTAAACAATTATGTCCATTGACAATATTGAATATGTCTTACACTATATATAATATATAGATAGACTGTAATTTCACTGTCGATACCTGGAATCAATATTTTTCTGTTTCCACAGTAACTGCAGGTGTCTCATTTTGTAATTAAACTAATTGTTGCATACCATCCATCCATTAACCTCAAGCTGAGCAATGTTAATCATAGGTCATTCCATATAGATCACGACATATTTTAATGGTTTGACGAAGATTACTTATATTTTTATTCACAACCAGTTACAACTTGTAGTATGTTATCTGATGAAAACCCTTTAGTTCTAGCGAAAAATTAACAACGGAAATCGAACTCCAATTAATGACAGTTAATGATGTGATCATTGATAAAGAATCAATGTGACAAAATCAATGGACAAAGATGACATCCTTTTTAAACCACAGATCAGGATGCATCTATTGGTGTTTTATTGGTCGTATAATCTTAAGAGTTGTATTCCTTTCGTAGATTTGATATTGTATAAAAATAAAAGGGAGTGATGGAAAAATCGTCATTCAGACAGGCTCTACAACACATAAACATAAAATGACATCAAAATGCGACCTTCCATGATACCATATGTAGAGTTCTAATTCAACCCGATTTGAAAAATGCTTTGACTGAAGTCAAGAGGCTATCGAAGATCAGCCTTCCATATCATATTTATGGTAAGTGACGAAATATAACATTAGGAGACAACGACAAAAACTGATAAGGCGCCTGACATTGGACAGGAATTTTACGGGATTTACTTATTACTCAACCCAAGCCCTTATGAACTCCGTTATTCGATCAATTCATGAAGAAAATGACCAAAAACAAATACCAGTAAAAACCAAAATGCACTTAATTTTACCGTTGAAGTATCGGTGTTGTACAGACGATAAAACCATTGGACTAGATAATACAGCATCAAGGTACTTGCATCTACTGAAAATAAGCTCAGTGTACTTAATTTGTTGATACCATAGATCATGTCGTCTTATACTCTTATATCAGTCGTTACAATGTTCTCCATAATAGATTTCATATAACTGTTTTCCATTTATAGTTTCGTCTGATTTTCATAGAATTATAGTGTTTACTTTAAGATATTCGATTATTTATACTATTTTGAACACCGAACTTTCTTTCATAGGGGAACATGACTCCACTCTGCTTTTCCTTGTCGCGCGAAAACATTTATAGTTTACCCCTTACGACCTTCGCTGTTGGAATGCCTTTTAAATTCTGTAATTAAAATTTTAACTGTAACAACGATGAATAATAAACAATAGGTTGAAAAGGTGTTTATTGTTTGTTTGTGACATATATCCATTGTGTTATACCCTGGAATGTTTGTTTTATATAGAAAGACAATACAGATATAGTTATCGTTTGTGATTAAGATTATTGCAGTGGCGGATTTACCGGGGGGGCACAGGGGGCACGTGCCCCCCCAGTTGTGGTCACGAAAATTTTTTTTTATCACACAATTTTCTTGCGACACAATCCGATTATCTAAAGATGCCAGATGTGCGGAAATGTTAAATTACCTCACAGCTTGATTTGACTTCCTTACGAGTCGGTTAATTGGCTTTAGTTTCAACACGTGTGATTTATTACCCCCTTTACAATTTATCGATCAGCAGCGTGTAAATATTGACAGTTATGTGTAATGTCTATTACCAAAAGCTTTTATATAAACTACGTGCCGATTGGTGAAATCTTCTGTTCAAAAAAGAAATGACAAATCAAAATAGTTCTTTCATAAAATAAGTAAAAATAGATGTTTAGTGTCTATAAACACGTGCTGTTTGTTGATATATAGATATGGCGATGTTAAAACAAATATTGCAATTAAAAATTAATGAGAAAAATGATCAACAACTGAATTATGAAGAGACAGATATCCATCCAGAGTTTTTTTGGGAGTTCCTCGAAACGACAGAAAAGTGATGAAACTCGAACCACAAGAAATGAAGACTTTACAAATGCAGAATCAGCCGTAAATGATAGGTAAATGAATATTTTCACTTTCTCTTGTAATCATTTCGTTTTCATTTTTTACCCTTTTAGAGAACGAAAGAACGTACAAAATAATTGGTTAAATCGAAATTCACCGTATCATTGAGGGTCTGGATGGGGTTAACAGAATAGAGATATAGAAAAATGAAAAAAAAAAAATATATGAAAAATGTGTGAAAAAGAATAATTGTACAGAATAATAAGGTGCAAAAGTATAAAGAATAACTGTGGAAGATAACATAATTAGGTCATACAATACTGATTAAAAAAATGAAGGATACACGGAATAAAAAAAATATAATTGCAGAAGAAAAATTGATAGTTAATTTATTTTATATAAATTACTTGTCAAGATCATATAATAAACTGTAATAATATATTTATTCATGTGTGGAAAATATTTTCAAATTTTCTTTCAGTCAAAAAGCTGTTGAACAATCAGAGTTCCACACCAGGTCCCAGGGTCAAACTCCAAATGATATAACTTCTTGGTTTGGTAGAACTTTAAATGATGATGAGAAATACACAATCTACACAAAAGGTGTGTCAATTCCTGATACTTTCAAGTTCCCTTCTACAAAAATAGCTGATAAAAACAGATGCTTTCGGAGAGAATGGATCTCCAAGTATCCAGGCTTAGTTTATAGCATAGAGGAGGATGGAGCATACTGTCTTCATTGTGTTTTATTTGAGAAGGAACCTGAAAAAAGAGGCAAACTTGTCAATGCCCCTTTCAAAAACTGGAAAAAGGCATTGGAAGTATTTGATGAACATTTTTGGGGGAAAAGTACGAAAAGTTTAAAACGAGGTGGTACAGGTTATCAGAGACACATGCAGTGTGTAACAAAAGGTGAAATGTTTGTTCAGCAGGTTAATCAACAGACTAATGTACACATGACCATGAATCATGGTTTAGAGAGCCGCAAGGAGAAAAATTTGATGGTTTTGGAATCAATTGTAAAGACCGTCCTTATTTGTGGAAGACAGAACTTTGCTCTTCGAGGCCACAGAGATGATGCAAAGCACATTGTAAATGGAAATACTGCAAATATTGGAAATTTTCAAGCACTTTTGGACTTCAGAATAGATGCTGGTGATAACTTTCTTGTAGAACATTTCAAAACAGCCCCCAAAAATGCTACATACAGGTCAAAGACTGTTCAAAATGAAATTATTGACATTATAGGAAATATCATTAGGTCAAAAATAATCAAAGACATAACAGACAGTGGAGGGATGTTTTCTGTATCTGCAGATGAAGCTAGAGATGTATCCAACACTGAACAGTTAGCCGTGTGTCTACGTTTTGTTGATTTGGCAGGTAATAACTAATATATCAACTAATAAACTGGGCAACTTATTAGAAATTTAAAAAATATATATTGATTAATCATTTATAATCTATTGTTTCAAACTTAACAAAAAAAAGGCATATGTACAGCTGTACATGCATGTATTATCTGCAACTATATTTAAGCAGTTAATCCAACTGCTATTAAAGTATCTGTTTTAACATGTAAACTATATGCATGTGCATGTATAAGATATACAATAACAGTGAAAAAAAATAATTAAATAATTTTGAATTAAATTTCTATTTTAAAAGGTGTCATTAAAGAAGAGTTTGTTGACTTCATAGAAGTGAGCGATGATACAAGTGGAGAGAGACTATCCAATGAGCTACTGAAGCTGCTTCCAGAAATGGGACTAGATTTAAATCTGATGAGGAGCCAATGTTATGACGGCGCAGGTAAACCTCGTTTAATATACCTCAGTGTGTAAACAGTCGAATTTGTTTAATGATGAATATACTGTAAGAATAGTTTTGTTACAATTTGACATGCTCTCTAATTCTTTGCACCTGTCATTGTATGTTTTAAATGATGTGTGCACATTCACATATATATACTTTTTCTCCAGGTAATATGACTGGACATTTGAAAGGAGTTGGTCCCAGAATTCAAAGGATATACCCAAAGGCATTACACTTTTGGTGTACAGCTCACCAGCTAAACAGATGTATAGTTGCTGCTGCTAACATTCCATGTGTCAGGAATATGATGGGAACTGCAGATAAGGTATACAATTAATGCATTTCTATTCATTTCTCATAGGATAATACTATAAAAAAAAATTGTCATAAACCAGTAATTAAATGTGTATCATATGTATTGCTTGATTATTTTGATCAACCTATAAGTCTTTATCTTTGACAGGTAGTCAAGTTCTTTAATTGGTCTCCTAAAAGGCAATCATTCCTAGAGGATCAGCTTCAAAATTACAGAAATGAAACAAAAAGAATGAAATTGAAGGAGTTATGCAGAACAAGATGGGTAGAAAGACATGATGCCTTTGAGATTTTTTGGGATTTCCTTCCAGCAATAATAGAAACCATGGAAAAGATCAAATCAGTGGACAAAAGCCCGGTTGCAATAAGTGACACACAAAGCCTAGAAAACAACATTACATCCTTTCAATTTCTAGTCTCCCTGCTTGTGACAATGAGATGTATTGGATACCTAAAACAACTTAGTACATCACTTCAAGGTACTGTCAGTAACTGTCTAAGGGAAACAACTCTTATTTAATTTGATATTGTAAAGGAGCAAAAAAACAGAAACAATTTTTTTTCTTCAATTTATTTACATTACAAAAAGAACATGTTACCATCAACAACATATTGTTATTAGATTTCAAAATCATATACACAAAATTAAACCTGCTGATTGATTTGGTCAATAACCACAGGAAAAAAGGGAGATAACTCAAATACTGTATTCACAGATCTGATTTAATTAGTCACAACTTAGAGAATTAACCAAATATATTTTTTTCTTTAGGTAGAGCTGTTGATGTTGTGAGTGCTCTTGAGTCAGTTAGCCTTGTCAAGGAAGCTTTACAGGATGTTAGAGACAATATTGGTGAATTTCATGCTAAGTGGTATTCAGAAATATTGAAGTTGGCAGATGAGTTAGATGTAACCCCATCTAAACCAAGAACATGTGGGAGGCAGACAAAGAGATCAAATGTGCCATGTGAATCAACAGAGGATTATTACAAGAAAACAATTGCTATCCCTCTGCTTGATCACATGTTAACAGAAATGAACTCAAGGTTTGGTGACCTGCAAATCAAGGCATCCATGGGACTTCAGGTAATACCTGCCATGATTTCTCAATCCTCAACTAATGATTTTGAGTACTTTGTGGATGATTTACCATCTCCATCAACACTGGAGCAAGAAATGCATATGTGGAAGTTGAAATGGGCAAATGAGTCTGATCCACCTTCAGATATAAACACAGCATTACAAAACTGTAACTCTATTATATTTCCAAATGTGCACCAAATTTTGAAAATTTGTGGAATATTTCCAGTAACATCCTGTGAGTGTGAGAGAAGTATCAGTAGACTGAGACTTGTGAAGACATACTTACGATCAACAATGTCAACAAGCAGGTTATCTTCCTTAATCATGATGTATGCCCATAGGAACATTACTGTAAATCCAAAGGAGGTGGTGATGCAGTATGCAAGGAGAAATCCTAGGAGAATAGTGCTACCAGACATTCTTGTAGATTAACTTTATTAGACATACTCTATTGTACACATGCTTATATGCCTCTTATTTCAATTAACATATATACATATCTATACAACTCTTTAAATTTTTTTCATGGTGCCCCCCCAGTCATAGAGGTTCTGGATCCGCCCCTGTATTGTAATACCCAAACCGTTATTCCTGTGACAGATTAGTCTTTTAAACACAGTATGAACTCGTAAGGTTATTTAAATAAGGCAACCTAAAAAGCTAAACTAACAAATCTAGCAGATTATATATAATAAGTTTTTAAAATTAAAATCCATAGAAAATGTCTGCTCTTTGATATGCTATTTGCCCGACTTTCTATCAGTATGAGGAAGGTATAAAGTCAAACGGATGGGAACAATACCGCATTTTTTCTCTTCCTTTGTTTCGTCCTATTCCGCTTATTGTGGATTCTATGCATTAAATGATATCTACAAATATGTCCATTGCATTAGCTATACTATTGACATTAAACACGGTAGTAAATATAAATCACAAGAACGTCATTTTAAATATATTTACTCAAGTTCAAACATAACTACAGAAAAAAGCATTTAACATGTATGAAAGAACAGAGCTATCGTTTGTTGCCATGATCATACCTGTTATTTAATTTACCATATAATCAGTAAATTGAATATTTATCGTATGCTCAAACATCTGTAGAATGATTAATTGCCATATCTTGTTATGACTGTCATTAAAGTTTATTTTTTCTTCTTCAGTTCGTAACGGATGGACAAGAAAATTTAATTCAAAATAAACCTCCCTATCAACGAAAATACATTTAACAACAACAAAAAATTCTGGCCAACTGTAAAAATAAGTTCGTGCATTTGGGGGTATCTGGTTATTGACATGTCAAAACATTTTTACCAGACGAATTCGAAGTGAATACCCATAAACTCTTTAACTGGAGTAAGTCATAGTAAATACTTTCTTATTCATATAAAAATAATTTTTACTTTGTCCACACTTTCACCGAAACAAATATGTATACTCACCATAGATAAACACGTACAACGTACTAAAGTGTAAGTTCTGTCAAATTGACCCAGCTCTTACCTCAACCAATGAATCTGGTAAAGTTCAAGTCACATCTGCTTAAGTTTAACGGTCACCATCATAACCTGGTCACCTGTTACATAATACATGTGTCACAGATGACCAAGGATTTGTCTACTTGTCCTCTTTCCTCGAACATGACTTGACAATAATACAAATTATCACTGGACTTTTACATGGCATGAGCAACTCAACAGGTGTCATTCGTAGAACAGGAACTGCTTACCTTTCCAGAGTACCTGAGTTTTCAAAAGGTTTTGAGTGGGATGTGTAATTCCTTTGCTTTATTATTCCGTGATGAATGTGATATTTCGTGATTTTTACCGATATCCTTTTTTCATGAAAAAAAATGTTTGTATAATTTCAATTCACACTTTAATTTTTGGTTATGTTTAATAATTGTATCGGTGCTGACTCCTTGTCACGGTTATTTATATCTGTATAGGATCGTCACCTGGAAAATCTGTCAGAAAAATAAGAAGATGTGGTATGATTGCAAATGAGACAACTTTCCACTAGAGACCAAAATGACGTATAAGTTAGCAACTACACATATATGTCACCGTACGGTCTCCAACAATGAGCAACATTCACACCGCATAACAAGCTATAAAAGGCCTCAACATGACAATAAATAACAGAGTTCAAACGAGAAAACTAACGGCCTGATCTATGTAAAAACAATAAACGAAAAACAAATATGCTTTACAGCAACAAACTACAACTACTGAATGACAGACTCTTGACTTGGGACAGGCACATACAGAATGTGGCGGGTTTCAACATGTTAGAGGGCGCCCAACCCTCCCCTAACCTGGGACAGTGGTGTAACAGCACAACATAAGGACAAACTATAAAATTCAGTTGAAAAAGGCTGGACTCGTCCAATCGAGTAAAAGGACACACAAAACAACTACAAAAAGACTTAAGACAAAAAGTAACGATCTGAGAGAACTCGTAGTTACTGAAAGCTATTTCAAAGCCATCAACAACTAATAAGAAAATCATGTATCAAAAAACTAATGTATCAATCATTAGACATAAAATTGATTTAGTGTAAAGACCTCATAAACTGTCAGAGAAAAAACATGAGCATGTGCAATACCAAAATATAGGTATCGACAGAATGTAGGACAGTCAATGTTCATAACTGTTTAAAAATAATATTGAATTCACGGCCACCCTCATTAGTGGTGTTCTTGTCTTCAGTTTTCAATGTGTGCGTGTGTGTATGTCTGTATTTTAGTTTATTGTCCTAGAGTATCTTCTTGTTTTTTCTAACCTAGTTTCAATGCTGTCCAGTACTCTACGCATTTCACCCTGCCAAATTAGAGAGATATATTTTAATGTATGCATTATTAAATGGTAACCTAAGACGAGCAGTCATCTGAACGTAATTCGCATTTAACTCAACAAAACAAATGCAAATACGCTACTTTTTACTGTTGAAGTTTTTCGATAATGGGCTCCACAAAGATAGTAATGAATAAATTGAAAGAGATACACTTATATTTAAAAATCGTTATAACATGAATGAGAGAAACTTACTAGCACTTTTGTCGCCCAATTAAATGATCTATAATCATAAATCTTAAAATTTTTGGTAAAGGTTAAATTTAACATTAACGAAAAGATCAGCTATTTTGTGTTCAAAATACACGCGCGCTATATATTCCAATGCTTCTAAACACAATATAATCTTTTGTATTCAGTTTTGTTTGTTTCTTTATTTTATCTGTTTTAGGGTGTTTTTAGTGTTGCATTGGTATTGATTTTTTGAATTTCCAATTGTTGATTTTCTTTAAACATAACTGCTTTAGCACCTTCCTTGTTTTTTACAGCAATTGCGTACAAACGCCAATTGCGTACAAACGCACTCGCCATGAGCCGGTGTGAAACAAACATTTCGAATAAACCTTCTTAAAAATACAGATTGAATTATAGATAAATTATGTACTCGACGTCTAGGATTGCCAAATCCAGAAGACTATTTCTCTGCATACTAAACACTCGTCCGCGAATTCCGCGTGCGGATTAAAGGTTTATATCCTCTTATATTTTATGTTATTTGCTTTTTACTTTGAATTTCATATATCACAAGATGGTAATGTTAGGTAAAAAATGAACTAATTTTCTATATTCAAAACTAAGTTGCAAATATTTGAAAGTTGAAATGTTTCCAATTAGAATGAAATCAGCCGTGTTAAAACGAATTAAAAATTAATTCCCGTTGTCATAAAATCGATGTAAAACTATATAATAAAGTTGTCGTTTTCTGCTTCCTACAAGTTTTGAACGCACGAATCAATGGACACTGATCATATCTTAATTGTTATAACTTAATGATAAAGAAATCACAATTGAATTTAATTTTTAGTACTGATAACAAGAAAATGTTATTGGAATTTAATTAAATAATCACTCATTGTCAACATAGTCAAATGGAAGGTTACTCGTTTGCATAGACGCTGACACAAATCGTACATGTCTGCAAAACAAAATGTAAAAATTAAACTATCCACTTAGATTTCTTCATTAGCACAATATTTGGATAATTTTCATTACGTATTTTTGTTATTCTTCTAATACGCAGCTTCGTCCTGAATGTGCATGCAATATTTGTAACTGGACGTTAAGCAAGCAACAGTTAATCTTATATGCAGCTATTTGGGATATCGACTGTCGTATACCAATGAGATTTTTTTCGATTCTTTTGATTCGAATACCCTTTATTTTTATGTTGTTTTTTTTTTCAATTGACCCGAATAAATATAGATGTGGTGTTTACGTCAAGAAGACAACAACCCGACGACAAAAGACATCTAGAAAAGTATATATGACATGTCAAGCTCTAAATCGTGCATGCTGAGAATACATTTAAAAGAAAGAATAAAAAGCATCCAGAAGATTCATAGTGAGGCCTTGATTTAAGTTAATGAATCAAAATCTAGAAAAAAGGCTATATACCTTATGTTTTAGGTTCAGCATAGCCATCTCAATAAATGAAGTTAGATTTAGAACCATGGTCAACTTCTAAATTGCTGAAGGTATTGGTTTAGCGTGTAACTATATCATTTCTTTTTGTTAATACAAATACTAGCTCATGGATATAATAAAGGGACACGAACTTCAATGTTTGTTGCTTTTTTGCATTTTTTAAATCAACAATGGAGACAAACCTTCATCAAATAAGCATCGTTATCAAAGTTTGCAGTGCGTAAGAAATATATGAAACAATAACAAGGGGTCGAAATCACCTTTATTTTGTTTGTATAAAATATTGATAGCCATCAACTGAAGTTTATTTCTATAGAAGCTTCTAGTACTTTGGTAAAAGCGTGTCTCGTCATGGTTAGAAATTTAAATGATATGCATTTAAATAAAATAAAATTCGTAGATTATAAAACCTATACCAAAGAAAATGTCAACTTGACAAATGTGGTTTTGTTTCCTTTATTATACCACATTTTATATGATGTTTTGCAAAAACAGATGTACTTACTGATATATGTATACAGAAATCAATAAACATTGGTTACACACGTAAATATAAACAAATTTAAACCTATTTTCTGCTATGTAACTATTCTCTATTGTTATTTAGAACGTTAAGCTTCGACAATCATGTAAAGTAAGGAACAGAAATTAAAGCTAATGAGCCGTTCTATCTATAAATATATGATCGCAACTAGGTAAATGAAGGAGATGAAATCTTTTAATGATTTTAAGTTCATAAATGGAACCAATACACATTTTGTTGAATGTTGACCGAATTAACAACACAGAAATTTTAAAATTTCATTTCAAAGAGTTAAACTTGACACATTATGATTTGGATAAAAAATGATTTGTAAAAAACGCCATATTCAGCATTTGTTTATAACTAAGAAATGTGAGACTTTTCTATTTTCTGTTTTTGCACTCGTTGTTGTTTTCAAAGTAGTAACTCATTGGCTTTAGCCTGGCTTGTGGTCATTACCTTTCTCTTTTGAAGCACTAGCTCTTACTTTGACAGGTACCATTTTGTTGAAAAAGTAAGGTGATTCCTGGAAGTTTATAGAAAAAGCTGACCCACCAGTCCGGCAACAGACATTCATTACTATATGTTCCATCATAGATATGATAGCCATGGAACACAGTAAAGACAGTTCATTGGTATTGTCCCACCTTAAACACAACTATGATCCACCCTAACTAACGATGCTCCGTGAATATAAAAAGTAATTGGAAAACCAAATAGAAAAAAAATGGGTCTTTGTCGGTTCGACATTAGAGTTCCAGTTACCTACGATCAGATACCTATTCATGATGAAGCCAAAATGTTTCAATATGACGTATCTCATGCAATGAGTGTAAACACATTAAAATGTGGGTTAGTTTTTATGAAAGCATTTTAAGCAGACGACGTGCGTTCCTTGTTCTTGGAAATACGGAAAGGCAACTTTATTTAAAAATGCCGGCTGGTCTGAAAAACAGAACTACGCAGTTGGCTGTCCTTTCATGTCCCAAAAATACTTTTGTAGTAAAGTAATGACAGTGCAAACTTGAACAAAAGTTGAATTAAGGTATATAATAATGAGGTTGGTAAAGGGTTATTTTCGTGCAACGTGTTTTGCCATTTTTATTTCACGTCAGCCGTGAAAAAGGTTCGTTATTCACCGTGTTTCGTGAAATCAGTAAAAAGATCAACGTGAAAGAAATTTTAAATTGTTCGTTCATCGTGAAATGGCAATTTCTTTTCGCGTTCTTCCGTGCAGATACCCCCCCCCCCCCCCCTTTACGCCCCTCAATAATATGCGTATTTTTAACAGAGACAAGTGCCTGTGGTGTCATGTGAAAGTTTTAATTACCGATAGAGATATCATCTATTCCAGGTACCATTTAACCAGTTTTAGTGTTGCAGAATGACATATTTGCAGATGGCTTAAACTTTACGAAAACATTTCAAAGCTTACATTTTTCCTTTTTCAGATAGCACAAGACCTTAATCTAGTTTGTCCATCAGGTAAGTTGATTACAAATACGGAAACGGTTAACCGGCATCCGAATTAAATATTAGAAAAATGACTTCCGGTTAGAAAAAACAGTAAGGAACTCTCAAGAAAAAAAATATAATACGTTATACCTGGGACAGTCCGACTATTATACTAACAGTCCCAGGTTATTCTTGTTTTTTTGAAGTCCAGGCTTTAATGATATTAACATGTAATCACGTACACCCTATTTTCAATGGTTCCCTTCACAGTTCTGCCAACTTTTAATAATGCAAATGCGTGAGATTTGGCCAAAATCGTAAAGATCAAAGAGAAAAAACAATAGATGAAAGGAAAATGCCGTCAAATAAGCATGAAAATGCTAAATGCGTGAGACTTGGCAGCCCTGCCTTCAATATTATATACTCTTAACACAGCAAAAACATATTTTGAAATTGCGAATATTATAAAGTAGCACCAACTTGGACTAAGTTGATACAGACAGAGACATATCAAACATATTATATGTCTCTGATACTAGTCAGAAATAAAAAGCTAGAATTGGATACATATGTTTTACCTGAAGGTTAAGCCTGTGTTTGGGTGTGAAATATGTGAGCAATTTCCCGATGTAATGATAGATTTAAACATTGTTTAATAAACCTTCAGAATAAAGTAATGCATGGCTGTACCACTATTATAAACCCTATTTATGCATTAGTTACCAGTTTTAAGATACCATTACCATAAAAAAAATATTCTATATTCTGGATAGATGCCTATTGCCTCTCATCCTTTCCTGACAATAATGTAAATATGAGCCGGCTTCTACAACTAGCTACTCTAATGTTGTGAGAACATAGTGCAACCAATGAATCTTTAAGAACAGGTGTGCAAGAGATCAACTTCAAAAGACATTTAATCCGATTTTGATTGAGTTCATCCACACTGTAGATAACTGATGTGCAAATATTGGACACCACCAAGAATGCATATATATATGTATAGTTTAACCAGAAATTTACAATGCCAGAGAATAGCAATTGGTCAAAGTATTATGATATTATCAAAAAAAAGAAGAAAACAACACTTTATATATACATAAATTATTATGCGTCCAAAGGGTTTATCAGGATTTATCTTCATCAGGAATGCTCAAAGCCGAATATTTGAAAGTCAAGGATGTATCAGAACCAAAACAGAAGAAGAGCTATATGACTCAAAAAAGGACTTAAAGATAATAGCCATCTAATGTCCAATTTGCTTGAGGGAGTTGAACCTTAGTTTCTTAATAATTTTAAAATTTATAAACGGACAATTTAAGATAGGCTTGTTATAAATCATGTCGCTACCGAAGTACTGACTACTGAGCTGATGAAACCCTCTGGGACTGATAGTCCACAAGCAGTGGACTAACTAATCTTGCAAAATCAACAGCTGTTGAAGATTTACAATAACGAATGCAAAAATAAATTTTGGATTCAAAATAGGTTTTTCCATGGACAGCTTAAGAGGTTATTCCTGTCAACTATTAGAGATGGAGCTTTTGATTAATAATTTGTATGAAAACATGTTATGCAAAATGACTTTAAAAATCTGATTGTTTTCATTTGTTTATTTCTTTTTGATAGGTTGGACTAAAAGTTATGAAAAATGTTATATTATTGTGCCAACCTTAAGGTCATGGTTAGAAGCTGACCTATACTGCCAAAAGTAAGTTTTAATAAATATAAAAATACTTTTCTTCAAGTTGTTGTCAATGACACTTGTGCAAAATAGGCTTTTTTGCATTATATTACTGGCCATAATATCACAAATAAAATTGAGAATGGAAATGGGGAATGTGTCAAAGAGACAACAACCCGACCATAGAGCAGACAACAGCCGAAGGCCACCAATGGGTCTTCAATGCAGCGAGAAACTCCCACACCCAGAGGCGTCCTTCAGCTGGCCCCTAAACAAATATGTATACTAGTTCAGTGATAATGGACGTCATACTAAACTCCAAATTATACACAAGAAACTAAAATTAAAAATGATACAAGACTAACAAAGGCCAGAGGCTCCTGACTTGGGACAGGCGCAAAAATGCGGCGGGGTTAAATATGTTTTTTGAGATCTCAACCCTCCCCCTATACCTCTAGCCAATGTAGAAAAAACAAACGTACAACAGTACGCACAGTAAAACTCAGTTTAAGAGAAGTCCGAGTCTGATGTCAGAATAGAAAACAAAAGAAAATAAACAAAATGACAATAATACATAAATAACAACAGACTACTAGCAGTTACTGACATGCCAGCTCCAGACCTCAATTAAACTGATTGAAAGATTATGTCTTCATCATATGAATATCAGGCACAATCCCTCCTGTTAGGGGTTTAGTATTATACCGTCATAAAATATATGAGAAGAACACAACCCGTGTCATGCCAACAACTGGTTTTAGAATAAATATGTTTAATTCCGATGCAAAGACCCTATAAGTGAATCAATATTAAAGCCAAAATATGCAATCTTTAATGACCTGACAACAGTATTGTAACTATATCCCTTCTTAATAAGTCTGTTTAAAGGTTTTGTTAGCTTTTGAGGTGAATACTGGCATTTTTGTGCTTTGTAAAGAATATTACCATAAAAGATTGGATGTGAAATACCCGAACGTATAAGATGTCTGCATGTTGAGTTATATTTACGAATGATGTCCTTATACCGATGATAAAATTTAGTAAATGTTTTGACTAGTTTATGATATCGAAAACCCTGGTGTAATAATTTTTCAGTAATATATAAATTTCTCTCGCTAAAATCTAATACGTTGTTACATACACGAGCGAATCGTACAAGTTGAGATATATAAACACCATAAGAAGGTGACAAGGGAACGTCACCATCTAAAAATGGATAATTAACGATAGGAAATGAAAAATCATCTCTTTTTATCATAAATTTTTGTATGCATTGTATAATATGCCTCATATACATATAACCAACATTGCAGACCTTCAAACTCAGAATTTTTGTGTTTAAGTGGTAAACTTGTCCTTAGTATAATCTATTTAACGTTGTTTTCTAGGATATTTTTTGCAATTGAATAATAACATTTACAAAATTTTTACATTCAGCATTCAAATCAATCCTGTGAAGGTTGGTAGTTCTCTCCGGTTACTCCAGGTTCCTCTACTAATAAAAACTGCCGTTCATGATACAGCCAAGGTTGATGAAAGTGGTCAACAAACAAATCAATCCTTTTGATGTCTTTATTGTTTTTGAATTAATCATTTAGCTAAACCAATAAGTCAGGTTGCTTGACTTTACGATATTGTGTAAACAAACAGTGTTTTGACAATTATTTGTTTTTATTTACATTATACAGAAACTATGCTATGTGAAGTCAAGTAATGATAAAAAGGGGGGATTAGAAGATGTTCTCCAAAGTTGCAGAATTGACCTCCCTCTCTAACCCTATGAGATTAAGCTGGTTTTTAGAGGGTGATTTCCAAATTTTGAATTAAATTACCAGGAGGTTCCCACTAGTAACTGAAGAGTTGACATTGATGCTCATGTCTCATAAATAAAGATAATGAACAGAGTAGAACATCCTTAGGATAACTTTGTCTTTTGAAAAGAAATACAATGTATGAGGACAGACAGGCTAATGAAAAGAATTGTGTAAAGTCGATGTACATAAAAGATTTTCTCGCCATAAAATCCATTTAAAACCAATTTACATCATATAGCTTTATTTGTTTCAAAGAATGATTTTTAATTTAGAATTTAACTTTTTTCTTTTCTTTTTATCATTTTTTTTAAGCTGTTTTACTTCAGATGAACATCAACATGATCAAGAACTTAATTTTGATGAAATTTAATAACATTACAACATGTAAGAGTATAAGTTTCTTTTTGTTTAACAGTTTACTTATGAACAAAATTAAAAGATGAACTATTAAACAAATAAAATCTGTTCTTAAGTTCGCCAATACATACATGTACTTTATTTCTGGGTAGGAAGTATTCATAGAAAAAATGGAAAAAACCATAAATTTCTTAGAATTTTATGTCCTTGCTAAGGAATGTTATATATAAGACGTATTACATTTCAAACAGCAATGAATAATCTGTCAATGATCACATTGTTGGCAGTCAAACAAATAAAATTGTATTTTGATTCATAAGCTATATATAGACATGCTATTAAAAAGAAATAAAGAACCTTTAAATTGTCCTGAAATCTGCATTTTATTGTACAGACACTTGTTCAATTACTGCATTTACCTTGTTGTTATGAATTGAGCCTGTTCAAAAATTTCTTCAAAGGACAAATTCTATAAAGGACATTATCACTGTAACTCTTTCCATTACAGTTATGTAATATTTAACAGTATTGTATTGATCACATAAACATATTCTTCAAGTTCAGTACCTGTATTGTGAGTGAAATTTTCTACCTTCTGTATTGAAATTAAATGAAATTTATTTTGATAGATTTTACAATTTTGACTTTCTACTTCAAAAGGACATAAACGAGACTATTACTAATAAAGAAAACATAACAAAGGGAGACATGGAATTAAAAACAAGAACACTGAGTAAATAAAGATCTTTTTTAATAATGAGAATTTTCCTTTTTAAACTGAGAATAATGTAAAAAAAAAAGTTCTGCTTAAAATAGATTTTTTCACAAGGCTGCCTCAGAAATGTTCTACAGAGCATTTACAGAAGTTTCAAATATATTTTATTGGTATTGTTGATCAGGTATAAATGTTGAACAATGTGACTCTTTCCTTTTTGATTTAAAGTTTAACTTTGTTTGATAGGGAATTAATCTTTTACCCAGTTGATTGTAATATAGATTGAATTAAATACACTGTATTATTATTTCCCCAGCTTTAAGTTTGACCTATACTCTACTTGAGCTTAAAAGTTAAGAATTAATAGTACATTTCCAAAAGCCAACCATTGTTATGGTTGATCAAGTACTATTTGATTTGTTAAGAAGGACATACTTCCCAATATTATTTGTGTACACTTAAATAATTGTGTATAAACAAAATATATAATCAGTAGGCACTAGTTCGTTGTTGACTTTTGCTGAACAATGGTCGAAAAAATATTTAAATATAAATATTGTTTTATGATTTAAAATTGGTATTTGCTGCTTCTCTGCTAAACACATCATATTTATGAGTAAGGGCAAAGACCTGTCAGCTTGAGTCAAATAATATTTCCTTGTAGGGTTCCATTCTTCTGCTAGCTTTGACCTTGTGAACTAGCTCATTGAAAATATGGCTTACTGTGTTGATCTTGTACAAAACAGGGTCCATAATCATATCACATTAACATGTTCCTCTTCTGGCATACATGTAATATTTGTCACTGGACATTAAACATCAATTCATCATCAGACACATTTAGATCCACTTTGTCAACGTGGTTTACATTCATATTACATTATTGAATGCATTTGATCATACAAGGAACATATCAAAGATCAAGCCAAAATATTTTTAAATATTTCACAACAGAAAATTCATAAAATCTTTAAAAAATCTCTTCTTCAAAAATATTTATACACCTTTATTGGGTTAAGTTAGCATTCATAACTCGGGAAAATATAATTTTAAATATCTTCTAGAAGGATAAAAAATATTTTTCATTGAGTCAATTAGGAGGTTTTTTTCTTTGGGATTAAGGGCCTTTTGTAAAATGCATCATTTATATAAAATGGCCTTTTTTTTTTTTAAACAAAATTGCTTTAAGACATCCTGGAATGAAAATTATAATTAACACCTTTCTTTTGCTAATTAATCATGTGTTTTACATTTATTTTCAGATATGGAGCACGATTAGCAAAGCCATCAGGATATGTTATAAACGACATCGTTTCAAATCTGTTTACCACTGCCAGTAATCCCAGCACAGACTACTGGATAGGTAAGTCAGAGATAAAATCAACTAAACCGCTAACACATTAGAAATAATAGGAACATATGTTTCAATCCATACATTCTTATATAGGGTAAAAACCACAAAACTCTGTTTAAGGGAGCTAACAGTTATCCAAAAAGTTTGAGGAGTACTAAAGTTGAAATGAGTAACTGTTCTTTTTGTATCATTTGAAGGATTGAAAAGAATTTACTTCATGATTTTTAATAGAGCCACCAAAAAGATGTGTGATATTTGATTGCACCAAACAATGAAAATTTGTTTACGAAAAGTCCACTTATATATTCCTTTTACATTTCACAATTTTTACTACAATTAGGTTGATTTGACCTACTTTTTATCGTATTAAGGGACTGAAAAAAAGCTTTGCATCTAGGTAAATATCTCTGATATATGTTGTAATTATTCATCATATAAGTCCTAATGCATTTCAGACACATTAGAAACACTGTGTCACATATTTTACACTTGACTGACAATATCATATGTATTTTACCACTGAAAAAAACTTTTTTACTTATTATATACATTTGATGTTCAAATAAGGTTAAATTGGATTTAAAGGAAGTATACGACTGTAACAACTTTTTTCTGCATGATATGAAACAAATAGAATTTTACTTTTGGCATGATCGTTTATTTTGTATTTGTTGCTCATAAGAATATTTTAAGTAATATTCTTTAAAAGTGTTTGATTAAATCTCCTTTTGAAAATGTGTGAAAAAGATAAGCAGCTGCATTTGGTTAATGCTTTGAATTATATATCTTTAGATATAGTGAACACATGGTGAATGTTTTGTTATATTTTAGGATATAATGTCCGAGGTTTAATAAATACAGAACGACATGTTGGATCTTGGAGTGATGGTACGCCTACAACAGCTGAGGTCGGTGTATGGGGGGATTTCGAACCTGACACACCCATGGGATCATGTGCTCGTGTTGACAGATCACATGATAATAAATGGTACATGGAATCATGTGATAGGTTGCTACAGTCAGTTTGTGAATTAACACCATGTCCTGACAGTAAGTTAAATTATATTGACTGAGATATTTCACCACTATTATCTGTAACGTGGCAGCCAGTTTTTATTTATGGAGGAAACAAGAGTCCCGCAGAGACTCACTGACCTTTGGCAAGAATAGAAAGAAAAAAGACAGCTGTTGTACAGTACTGAGGCTCTTGACTAAGACCCTTTAATATATTTTCAAGAGTAAAATCAACAAAATCACTGTTGCTTTCATATATGGTTGTGTGATGTCACAGTAGATGTTGTCTCATCTACATTCATGTTAGTTAGTATACATAAAAGCATACTGTGGATTTATTATTATTTGTTGGATACTAATTTTCCTGGATAAGGAGGGTATAGGTAAACAACGAATTTAAATGTTCAACCTACTACAAATTAATTATAGGTTTGTATGCAAACTTCGGGCAAAACCAGGAAATCAGATATCCATGAAAATACGAGTTTAGCTTGATCCACGAAAATTGGTATCCATGAAAAAAAAATGAATCAGCAGTTATAGGAATCACCAAAAATTGCAGGACCACATTAACCCACAACACAGACTCCTAAAAGAATAACAGATAACAAACAAAAAACAAAAAACATCAAACAACAGGTGTTTAGTTTAGTTTGGTTAAACCAGTTTTCACAAACCACACCTTTTGCTCATCTAGGTTGTATGTTGTAAAATGGAAACATGCAATAAAAAACTACATTTTGAAGCTACAAACAGGATAACTGCAATAAATTTAAACAAGGAAATAAAAAACAGTACATAATTTGGAAGGCAGGGTCAAGGTGTGCTGACTACTACAGGAAGCTAGCTAAGGTAGCTACAGTAGTAGGTTAGATAATGCCTCTTCAGACAAAACAAAAAATCAGAAGCAACAATCCTTACAGGTTTCATCAAGTCTCATACAATTTAATTGAAATCTGAGTATTAATGAAATGTAATGTTTTTTAATCTGTTCCTAGATTCATTTGAATATAAAAGAGATGTGTTGGTAATTTTAAAAAAAATAACAGGAGTGCATTTCCTGTTTAAGAATGTACTGGTATTCCAGTGATAAGTTTCAAGACACCTTTGCTGTACTTAGTATTTCTAACAATGGTCAGGAAGACATTGATGATGACTCACACTTTTTGTGTTATTTTTGTCATTTCAGACACCTTTAGATGTACAACAACAGGAAGATGTGTTGGTACTTCTAACATTTGTAATGGTCAAGACGACTGCGGAGATGGGTCAGATGAGAGAGCCTGTTGTAAGTTTTTTATGTTAAGAATGAAAAAAAAAAACGGATTTTATGCTTGATCAAATATTGATTCAGCTATGCTACAAAGTATAGATAGTAAATGACTATCTTAATTTGCTATAGTACAATTTTAATTTAATTTAAATTTTATGATCTCCCTTTATAGAAGTGTCTTTTTTTTTATAACTTTTATTGCATTTAAGAAGACCGAACTTAAGAGCTGTTTTAAATTTGTTTGCTGGATATTTTATGATTTGTTCAGTTTATTTCTTGAAGATGCGTTTTGCTTGAATCTTAAAGATTATAATTATTGTATCACTGTCAGTAAGAGTTTTATTATGATTTAACTTTTGATTTTAGTACAGCTACCTTGGACGGAATATTTTAATGGTAAATTTGAAATGCACTAAATATACAATATGGTGATGTTTTTATTTGTGTGATGGATTTTCATCGGAATATATATATCTGTTTTCATACTTTACTTTCAGTCCAAACTATTGGAGGACGATTGTTATATTTCTTAATTCTGTCCTTGAAAAAGCTTTTAAAATGTTATTTCCTCCAAAATTTATTCCTGTTCTTGCCAATAGTATTTAATTCTTATTACCCATTTTATATAAGGATTATGTTTAAATTACCAGTCACCTTGTACAATACCATTACTCAAGTTTTCATGTTTTAAACTCAATGCTGTAAACTTTTTGAATGCTTGTTGCAAATTTAAAAATGAAAATTTGATCACACCCATCTGTATGAAAAAAAAAACACCACAAAATGATGCATGACAAAAAAAAAGTTTTTAAATTTCCTCATGTTTCTGTCTCTTGCTATTGTGTGCATGCTATTATGGACAACATAATTATTTGCTATATATTGTGTATGGAATTTCAGGTTAACCTACTTAGCGGTGTTTTTATTCATTATTAGAGATTAAAGCCAATTACATTGAAGACAGCTAGCAAATAACAAAAACTAAACTTTAAATATAAAATTTTTCAATTCTGAGATTGAAGTTGTTACACATACATTGCATGCTACTTTGATTATTATGTAGAAATTTTATTTTGTGCACATTATCTTATGTAGAAATTGTCGTAAAAATTACATTTTAGTGGATTGAAATTCATGCATATCTTTTTTTACTGCAAAGGTAGAGAAGAAATTGTGGTGTGTGATAATTTAGAAAATAATCCAAATTCTATCATGTCTTTGCTAATTAATGTTATACCAGTTTTGTCTCAGCTTTAATAGAAGGAAGCTGTAACAGAAAGCTTTTTATTAAATACAGCTCAGTGTATTCCAATGCTAGCGACTTAAAATAAGCTGGTGCGTAACTAATTAGTGTTTCCAAGAAATTGCTACTTTAATCAATATTGACTAAGTAAATACTTCTTAACATGCTGACAATTGATTAAATAAGCCATAGGATACTCTATTCAGCTGTATTATGTATGTTAGTCAAATCAGTTCATCTGCAAATTAAGTAAAAAGTTTATATAAAAGTGGATTGTTAGGACTAAATGACTGTTTAAACCACTATCAGTATTTGATAGACTTCTTTGTCAGTTTTAGTTATAATTTGTTGATATTACCCATGCATCTGTTTAACCTTCATCAACATCTAGCGCACAGTTCTGCTCAAACCAGTGCTAGAAGTTATCTTCAACTTGCAATGAGTTGTTAGCTTTTGCCCTGTGTTGAAACCGCACTGTGACTTTAAGATGAAGAACAGAATAAAAAGCATTGTTCCTGTGCCTTGGAATATCCTGAAAGAACTAGAAAAAGATTTTTTCAGATTGCTTGAGAAAATTTATAGAAATCAATTAGTTTTTTTACACTTTTGTTTCAGAATGACTGATGATTGCCTAAACAAATCATGTTTCCCCTTGTACCTAAATTCATTTAATCAGGTTGGGTACACTACCATGTGCCAGTACTATTCGAACTTCAAGAAAATAGTTTCAAATATATATGTACAAATGTTATTTTGTTTACTTTTCATATCTTAAATGCATATCTGAACTCTTACTTGCCCAAAAAGTCTGAAAAATCATGGAAATGTAAAAAAAATCAAGGGCTTGAAAAGAAAACACTGAAGTCAAGGAACTGATAAAAATCCATTGTTTAACTGAACTGCATATCTGTAAAATTATTCCCCATCTCATTATCATGTTTGTTTTAATGTCCGGTAGATATCATACAAAAATAACATTTCCTTTGATTTATAATTAACATTAAGGGGTTAAGTATTTCAAAACATTTTCTTGAAAAATTGTGTAATTGTTATTCTTTAAAATTTTGTGATGCCTCCTTTTGCATTGCTTTTAAGGCCACTTCTGACCTTTATTATTTTTGCTTTGTTATTTCAGCAACTGATTGTAAGTATTACATGTCTGGGAATGGTGGACAGGTTACCATGCCAACCACAGGTTCAACATACCCAGCAAGTTCTACATGTATTTGGACAATAGAGGCTCCAGTTGGGGACAGAATACAAGTGCAGGTAACTACAAAATTGAAACAAAATTTGGCTATATATATGAAAATTGGTTTATGGATGACTTTCAAGATTTCTTTGTCATAAGATGTTTTTCTATGTTGTCATTTTATGTTTGAAATAAGACTTAAAGAATTTCATAAAATATAGCTTTTTTCAAGTAGATCAAGGTAAGAATGAGCTGATGAATCCATACTGTAAATCTTATTTAAATTGGCTGATGTTTTTCAGAAACAAGGAATTCAAGTAATTTTGTTTCCCAATCACTTTGATGTGTATTTTAAACAACCATTTTTAAGTTTGAAAAAAATGATTTTCTTCACTTTAAAACATAAAAAGCATAATTATTGAATCACCTTGAAGTGTAGTTTAGAATTTGACACCATTTTTCAGTTTGAAGTTATACTTATTTCACTTTAGAACAACATGCAATATTACTTGATGTGTACAAATATATTAGTGTTACATGTTTTCACTCTGCTTGCTTGATATATTAATTTCACAATTTGATTTTGTAGTATCACTTATTTGTTTTTTGTTTTGTGTGTATTAGCTTTCTGATCCTTCTACACCACAGGTAATGAAAAGGATTTAGTTCTTTAGGTCATGTTTGATAGAAATTAGTTTACATGTTTTGTTAAATTATCATTCATTGCAAGTGTATGTGCTGTGAAAAAAGACACAAACCAGCAGAAATTTAAAAGGAAATCTTTTTCATCCTGCTTGCCGCTGTATAGCCTTTTTGTGCTTAGGCGGCATAAAACAAACATCAATCAATCAAGCTTTCATTCATGAATTTTACTGTATTAAACTGTGATTGAAATTACAGCTAGCAAAGTGACAGTATAAAACTAATTTCTTTTAAACATGACTATTGACATAGCTTAGTGTCACATCTAATGCTGATATATTGTCTTTTTCTTATTAAATGTAAAAAATGTATTAAGAAAATTTTGGAAATTTTAGATTTTTTTTTTCCATTGAAAAAATATTCCCTGATAATATTTCATTTTTAAACTAGCGAGACAACATCTCAGCTTTTTATTTGCACATATCATATTTATAGTGTTCAGATTTCTTAAAAATTTAGTTTTTTGTAAGCATATAAAATGTCAAATTTGGCTTTGGAAGGTTTAACTAAAAATCCTGAAGTTTTATACAATGAATATTCATTCCTTCATGACAATAAAATAAGATATATCCATCAGAAAAGGCAATTTAAAACTTACAGTATGAACACATTTGCTGATATATTCATCAGAAAAGGCAATTTAAAACTTATGGTATGAACAAATTTGCTGATATATCCATCAGAAAAGGCAATTTAAAACTTATGGTATGAACAAATTTGCATATTCTGACCATTTTTTCCACCATTGTTATCACCATTAACATTAGCACCAACAGCGCTAACACATATTTTAAATGTACCCACTGTTTTTTATTTTTCATCTATAGTTAAGATTTTTAACATATACAGTAGTTTTTTATTTGTTGAACTACTAACTCCATTTTGTCCATTAAAGTCTCCTCATTCTTGTGTGTAACGTGTTCAGCTAATATGAAGTGATTTTCTAACATTTTTATATCCCTTTTCAATACTGTTGCTATTGTGATATTGAGTCCCAATTTGTCTTGGTGACCATTGAATGGGCTTCTATGGGAAAAAAAATGAAACAATTTTCCAACCAATCAATTTTATTGCTTTATAATGATGTGTATATGTAGTAACGGACAACTTAATACAGTTTTACTCCAGATCGAATTTCGCAGGTCGAAACTGCTCAAAAGTTCAGGGGATGAAAAAAACATGCATTTCAATTATAGGTTTTAAAGTCAGCTTTCAATTGCTTTTTTTGACCAACTGTGTTAAAAATCACAATCACACTAGATAGTGGCAAAATTAGAATTGGAGATGCATCAAATAATGATATAGGAGAAAATAACTGCCTCAAAGATTTGTTGACAAATTATGGATTAGAAAATTATTGATAATATTACTGACTCTCAATTGTAACCAGCCAATACTCTTATTTTGCTGTTGTATTCAATCTTGATCGGTTGGGAATTTTTAAACTATATTTAAGCAATTGTGTTTTTTTCAGTGTTCTGCAATATAAATGTCAGGTGCTTATCAGAATTGGCAATTAATCCTAGGTTATTGAGCACCTAATGCTTCTGTGTCAAATTATTGAAATGAAAGTGAATTTTAACTTTAGTTTTCTGTTTTTTGTTGTTGTTTTTTTCCCCCCAATTTTGAATAAAATCTATTTTATCATTGCACTCACCTGAAGAATTTGTTTGATGTCAAAAAAATAGATTTATATTACAAATGAGAATTAAATTGTCCATCTTAACACCTTTTAAATGAATTTTGTAAAATTGTTCTCTAGAATTGTGAAATCAATTAGGAATTCATTCATTTATTTATACATAATCCATGCATTATGGAATATTGATCATTTATATAAAATCCTTCTCATGTGATTTAAGCTCCATTTAATATTCCTTATCTTTAAATAAATCAAATCATCCTAGTTTCATTTCATTCACAGGTATTCAGCTATCTGATGGATAATCTAACATTCCATCACTGTAACTGTTCATCTCTTTATATACATGAGGAATCGGAAGAATTATTTGTTTGTGATATTAATTTTAGATGTCTCAAACTTCAATACTTTTCATTGATGAACGAATAGATGTCTATTATGTAATTGATTGTTTAAAAATACCACCTTGTCACAATTCAGTCTATAATGACTATATTTAGCTTGTTTGTTATTTCAGTAGTCAGTAGTGCATTTATCAATATCTCTTTTAAATAGAATTAGTAAAGTTTTTCTTATTAATATTTCACTACATAGTTATTAAAATCAATATAGTTATATGTTTTAACGTTTCCACTCAAAGATCTTCAGCAGGGATGGTCATTCTTCACTAATTGGTAGATGATTTACTTGATCAACACACAAATTTATTTAAGGAAATATATGCATATTAAGAAAACAATGAATACTGTACCAGTGTCAGTAGACCTTATCGCTATTTGGAAATCTGCGATGCTTGACCCGAGAATCTGCAACACTTGAACTATTGACGTCATACAACAATCACTTTTCCATTATAATATTGTGGCGTCAGATATTTTCTATTGTGACGTCAACATTTTACGGGAACCTTTGTGATGTCCAGTAAGGCGGACAAATAGCGATAAGGTGTTTATAGATATTGCTATAAATTTATATTAAAATTAGGGTGGTCAATTTTTTTTATAAAAATTATTGATAATAAGTATTTTAATGTCTTTAACATAATGTCCTTTGTCATTCAATAAATGCTAAAAATGCCAGATTAATTGTCCAATCATAATTAATGAAAAATCAGATTGAATGTGGGTCCAGCAGTCAGTATTACAGTGAAATGTATTTATGATTATAACCAATTTGATTTTTCAGTTCACTCAGTTTAATACAGAGGAAGATATTGATGTAGTAGAGTTCTGGGAAGGAAGTCCTTCTCTGTCAGACAGTCGATGTTTGGCTCGTCTCTCTGGCACATTACCAGCAAGTTATCAAGTTTTTATCAGTTCTAATAACTTTCTGACAGTGAGATTTGTATCTGATGCTTCCAGACAAAGAAGTGGCTTTACTTTTACTTGGAGAACAGGTACACATTGATGCTATTTCAAGTCTAATTTTAGAAGGCATTATGCAATATGTTTTATTTTTATTAATCATACATGCTTTAACAGAAGTGATATGACATTTTAGAATTTTTTTGACATCTCAAAAACCTTAATATATAATGTCTAAAGTTAAAAAGATCGTAAATCATAAGAAAAAAGAAATTTGTAATAAAGATAACCAGCATCTAATTGTTTTATTTCTATGTTAAACATATTCATTTAACTACAGTTTTTAAATATTCAGTCCTCAGAAAATTGTGAGACATGAATTCACAATATACTACTGTGGATTTGATTGGAACAAGGTAACCATGCAAAAATTTAAAAGTTCAATGAATTGCAAAATTTCTATAGGAATGTATGCAGACTTTGGCAATTCCACAAAATTGCAAGTTTTCATGAATCCACCAAAATTGGTATTCACAAAAATAAATGAATCCACAGTATTAAGCAGCTTTAGTCTTAGATTTTCAGTGAGTGTAAAAAAAAACAAAACTTGAACGAAACAATACCTTTTATAAATTAAATCAGATAACTTAATTTAATATGTTTTTATGGAATGTGTACAAGAAAGATACACATTTGAAGAAGGAGTTATGTTTATGTATCCATTGAATGTTTGAATTTTACAGATTTCCAGTGTCAGATTGCAAAATTATCGAACAAAAGATACACGACAGGTCAGTTAGGTGATGTCCTGACCTTGACCAATAACCAGGACCACACAACATGTGCAACTCAGTGTGCTTCAGCAATAACTTGTACTGGCTTCTCCTACAACAAAAATGACAACACATGTTTCTTACTGAAACAAGTAGCACTGCCTATTGATGACAACTGCTGTGATTTGTATGTGAAAACTTGTCCTCAGACTACAAATTACCCAGGTAAATAATAGTTAGTAAATCAGTACAGGTAACTAATAGTTAGTACATTAGTACAGGTAACCTGTAACATTATGATTTACTGAAGGAACTTACAGTAACTGTTGTTGATCAGGGCTCTTTTGATTGATATGTAAACATATTTGCTTAGACCACAAATTACCCTTGTATCTGTAACTAAGGTTGTATAGGAAAACTGTGAAGTGAAAAACCTACATATTGTGATTAGCTGCATATGTTGTTCAATACCTACATGTAGAAAACCTGATTATATTTTATTTCAGTTTGCCTGCTCACTTTTCTTCAAGAGTTTCAGTTTTAGAAAGGTCATGTTAGAGACATCATTAAGATTACAAAGAATTTTCATCAACTCACAATATATATTTTAAGAAAGGCATTTGAAATATCACATACTGTGTTAGAACATTTTCAGGACTTGTACATGTATAGCTGGTAGGAATATTTATTTTATAGAACCACAGATAAATTCTATTATTTTCTTCTGAATTTAACATGCTGCTTATGTCTACAGGGATATGTGAGCTGATCAAGATTTTCAAATTTTATGCCCTGACATTATACGTTTGACCTATTATCAACAAAAGCAGTCCTAAAACAGTGTTCCTAGCCAATTGTTAAGATTGTACTATACATATTCTTTTCCGATTCCTAAACAATAAAGTAGGCCAACTCTTTTTCATTGAAAGGTTCTGTCAACTGATAGAATAAGTTACATTGCTTCCAAGAAATTCAATATTTTGTTAGATATTGATCTTCATTAATATTCATAACTTAATCTATATTGGATTCATTTCAAATAATTTTAAAATCAATTCTTTAGAAACAAATGCATTGTTGATAATTTTCTATCCATTATTAATCTAGACTAGATATAGAACTAATCATCCCAGTAATTATGGTTCAGTTTTATATAACAAGATAATTAGGCTGTTTGACATTATTTACTACGGCAGATGTTGAATTTCTAAATTGGCCCCTTGTAGCATGTCAGAGAATATGCACTGAACATAAGGGATAACCTCATGGAAGTTTCCTTCCTCAATACTTTTCTTTGGGTGAGATTTTGCATATTGTCCTGTTTTACCTATTATTATACCCCAGTGTATATAGTGATGGGAGAGTCTTTTTCTCTGAATCTTAACCATATAATACCTTTGTTTTTACATGTAAGTGTAAGCAAATAAGTTAGTCATCAAATCTCATCATGGGGAAAATTAAAAATGCTGATGTTGAAAATATTTGAAATGTTATGCTTGTCTCATTCAGTACAATATAAATATTTGTTTAGTTGTATGTTTTCTGTATACACTTTCTTTATATTTTAGTAATTACACTTTCTTTATAATTTCAGTTAGAGATAACATTCCTTCACTCGGAGGATCAGTAACAGGGACATCTTATGACCAATTTATCTACAGTCCTCTCTACCCCCTACAGTATCCTGGGAACCTAGAAACTGTGTGGATTATTCAAAGTACTGGTAGTAATGTTGTTAGTGTTGAGGTAATGCACATCTGAAAATTGTTTGATTTGTCATCCATAGTTGTTTCAAACATAGAAATTAGACTACAGATTATTTATAATATTTAGGATTCCAAATAAACCTCATCATTACATGTTATTTTTTCCTGAAAGCTGGATATTTGTATCAATGCACAAAGATATTGACGCTAAAGCTGATTTTGACATTTTTGTTTTGACAAACATATAGGTGGCTCGAACATGGTAAAATCAACCTGTGACCTTGTTTGGGTTGTCAGGAGATCTTGGGACCTGATGTGTTATTTAAAAGTACCTGTGACCTTTTCAAATTTGCTAAAACGTGTTCTTGTGACCTGAAGCAATTTTTAAACGATCTTGTGACCTAAGAGGGGGAGGGTATCCTACTAGAAGACCCTATAGAGCAGGTAACATATTTTCACAAGTTGGACACTTTATTTAATGTGTTTTTCTGTTGAATTTTAGGTAAAAGACATACAACTCTGTGGATCTGATACAGTTGTTCTAAAGGATGGCAATAACCCAGTCACACCTACTCTTAAGACCTTGACCTCTAGTAGTAAATCAGGGGAGGTAATCTTATCAACAGGAAATAGAATGTATATCTACATGAAGTTAAAGGAACACTTGAAGTGTAGAGGTGTTTTACTGGCATATCGGGAAGGTAGGTTGTTAACTTGTGAATATAAATCTATATGAGGTGCCTTATTTACCAGATAATATGATTTATATTGGAAATAGTGAAATATGTAAAACTAGTTGTTTCTTTTGTGGTTTTAGTTCTATGTTTCATAGTTTTATATAAAATAGGTGCATATACTTTTATAAAAATACAAATTAATCTTAATGAAGATAGTTGAATTTAAATGATGGGCATATGTTCTTTTAAAATCATATACACATATTACTTATAGAAAATTGATTGATCGTGTATTTTTCAGGGTGCAATTTTGAGATAAAGAGTAACGCAGGTACAATTTTTACTCCTGGATTTGGTGTGGTTAATTATCCTGGAGTCCTGCAATGTTTCTGGTCTATAACATCAGTCAACAAAAGACAGCTGAGACTGCAGTTTAATGAGTACGATGTAGAAAATGGAATGGATTATCTACAGGTGAGATTACTAATGATGTAATTTATAAATGAGTACGATGTAGAAAATGGAATGGATTATCTACAGGTGAGATTACTAATGATGTAGTTTATAAATGAGTATGATGTAGAAAATGGAATGGATTATCTACAGGTGAGATTACTAATGATGTAGTTTATAAATGAGTATGATGTAGAAAATGGAATTGATTATCTACAGGTGAGATCACTAATGATGTAGTTTATAAATGAATAGGATTCTTGAGAATTCAAAAATTTTTCATGGTTAGGTCTTTGAGGGTGGACTAGTTTAATTATTATAAGACAAAGAGTGCCAAGGATTTCATTCATAAAAGATCATTGCTGCTGTAGTTATTACATGGAAAATTTTGTGCAAGCAGATAGGTCATCTACAAGATGCTAGTTATGCCACTTATAAATGTGAATTATATAGAAAACTTTATTGTAAGCTCTTACATTTCTTGCTGGGTTTCTATAAAAATTATATCAAAGGTTTATATTGCCATGTAAAGAAAACCTGAATAATCTTTGCTCTTGAAATAGAAAATTATTGTAGTTATTGATGTTGAACAGTTACAATGTGTTCTGGGGGGGGGGGGGGGGGGGGTCAGAAAACTGTTCTTTTGGATTGAGTTTTATAACACATTTAGTATAAATGTTTATAGCCCAGAAAGATCAGCTAAAAAGGATGATTTAATGCACAATGCATTTCAAATGTATTTGGAGACTTAACCTTTCATGACAAAAACAGTTAAAAAAAATAAATTATGACATTTATAATTATCCTTGATGTAACATGCAGCCTGAATGTTTAGCTAAACAAAACTTTGAGTAGGTGCCTTATTGAGATAAGATTCTGATTTAGTCAGATTTAAACAAAAATGGACATAAACACAGGCACTGAGAGTTTGTTTCCCATAGTAGTCACTGAGTGGATTTAGAATTGACATTTAACATTATTCACTTTTCAGGCATGGTTAGGAGATGATGATCAGGGTTCACCAATACACTCAGGTAATGGTTATTCTGGAAGCAAACCTCCTCCAATGGTGTCCACAACAGGACAGCTAGCTTTGAAGTTTACCACCAGTGCTGTCGGGAATCGTGCTGGATTTAGAGCCACATATACAACAGGTTGTAGTTTATTGTCAGACCAATCGTACACTGTTACTCCATCAAGGACTTCGATCATTGATGGTGATATCATGATAGTAAACTGTAACACAGGATACACGTTCCAGGCTCCTTATGCAGGGGAAGCACATGTTGCACTGACTTGTCAGCCTGATGGGGAGTATGATAAAACTGTCCCAGTTTGTTCACGTAAGTATTTTTGACAGACAATGTAGCCTTTGAATAAGAAGAACCCTTCTTCTTTGTGAAAGATATTCATGCATAATAGCAAAATCTGAATTTCACATTTTAAATTTAATTGAATTTGACAATAAATTTGTTATTATGAATTCTGTTTTATTCAGATATGTCCTCTCATACTGTTGCATCAATATTGTTTGTTATAAAAATTAACTAAGTTTCCAACTTCATTGCTTAGAACGTGGTAAGATTAATTCTCTAATCAAGAAATATGGTGTACAAAAGTATAAATGAAAACAAACAAGTAAAAAGAAAAAGTTCAGCAAAAACAGGGAAGTAAAAAGTTGATTTTGTTAAAAATTGCAAAACAGACAATCATTCAGATCCATTAATTTCATAGCAAAAGTGTGAATCACAACCGATTTTTTATATTGTAGAGGCATTTTGTGGTAAGGTACCAACAATAGAAAATGGTTATGTACTATCATCTACTGGATTGTTTGGAGGGAACCAGGTGATGTATGCATGTAACCCAGGGTTCACTCCTCCAACAGGAACCATCAGCTGCCAGAGTAACAGTTTATGGGAGGCATCTCCTACTTGCACAGGTAAAAATATAAAAGATGACTTTTTAGGCAAAATTTAGAAAATACACTTACTGATTCTTTATTAAAATCATTGGAATTAAAGAAATATTAAACTAGACTAGGTGTTAATGTTTGTGGGTGGTAAGACACACCCATTAGAGTAATAAACCAAATAAGGTTTGCTATATCAAAGGCAGAAACGGTTAAATGATTAAAAAAGAACATTTTCATAGATTCCAATCCAGGAATTTAAATTTCCTCATATATTACTGCACAAGGAAAACAGTTGTCAAATTAGTTTGTCAAACTAGAAGAAATAGAAAATTTGAAATATTCATTGGATGATTCTTATACTACCAATATGTTTTAACTTTAATTTCAATTTTGATTTATTACTTTAAAAATAAAAATAAGTATGAAGATAATGTGATTAATTATTATTTGCTTAGCATCCAAATATTTCAAGCATATTCAGGTAGATATCATTATTTAATATATTGATTTATAAACATATTCAATGAAATGAATATGTATATATTTATATTTTGTTGAATTATATTACAATATGATTTGTATTTTCAGCCAATTCCTGCAGTGCCCAATCTTTATCCGTTACATCTGGTCGTAGGGATATTATTAAAGGAGATGGAACATCACATGGCAGTATATTATCATACTCATGTGACCAAAACTATGAGCTGATTGGTCCATCTAGGATTGAATGTAAAAATGGAGCATGGTCAGGCACTACACCAAGATGTCAGAGTATGTGAAGTTTGATTCTGTATTTAAAAGATTTTCAGTTGATTCATTGTCAATTGATTGATTTTTTTAAAATTTGCATTAAGAAATTTGTTTTTAATTTCTATATTTTCATAGATAAACTACCTTTCATCTATTTCATCGAAAGAGGCCAAGCATGAATTTGATGATGCAATAACAAAAAACAAGAATGTAAGGGCTATTTTTAGACCTAAAGCTTGTGTATCACAATTCAATGTAAAACGTTTTATTAATTTGCACTTAAGGTAGATCATAGGTATATATTTCCTCAGATAGAATTTTTTTATACTTTGCCAAAATAAAGATTTTTCTATGCTCTTTCCAAAAATATTATAAAAAGTATGGGTCACCGTGCTATTTTTCAAGCTATGGGTTGTACGAAATTGCGCAAATTTGCTTAGATTGTTCATGAAAAAACACATTTTTGTGCATAAAAAGAAATCTATGAGATAGAATTTTGAAATAAAATATGAGAAGATAGGTTTTATAATATGCTTTAAGAAAATAAAAAGAAAAAATGGTGTCACTGAACTAGTTTTCTTGCTACAATTAGAATTTCCCTATCAGTCCAGTATACATTTTTTACTAAAAGAGTTATCTCCCCTTAAATGGCCAAGCTGAAAAAATGATTCCAAAAACACAATTATTTGGTATTTATTTAAACATTTTGAATAAAGCAATAAATCACCAAGTTTTCTTTCATTAAATAAAAGTCTAACCTATAAATTGCCTATCTGTCTCCAAATTTGCAGATTTGGGCAAAGATCTAGACCGATTGTGTACTGCGATTGTACAATCCAAGATGGCGGTATACCATGAATCTATCTTAAGATATATTCTCCATAAACACAGAAATATTACTGTTGAAACTTTCGTTCAAATAAACAAGACTTTTTTGTAAATTTCCTTGTGTTATGCAAATATGTCATGTACAGATTCTCAAATGAAGGCTTTTTTGGATACATAATTATACATTTGATACCAATTTTTGTGGATTTCAATGGTACATGAAAGCATGAATTTCAAATGTTCAACAAATTACAAATTTTCTATATGAATGTATGCAGACTTTGGCACAACCACAAAATCGAATATTCATCAAAATGCAAGTTTTCTTCAATCCGCAAAAATAAATGAATCCACAGTAAATTACGCTTCTCATTCTTCTCACTCTGTGAGAAAAAAAACTTTGAACTGAAACCTATAACTTTATTTTGCATTAAAAATAAAATTTCTAACAAATCTTGATCGTACGTTATTATTCAGATATTCGATGTCCACCTCAGTTTATCACCAATGGTACAGTTGTCTTTAGTGGTGTTTTAAATCAGGGAGATGATGTAACGGTCAACTGTAACACAGGATTTCAAGTGTCTGGGACCAATCCCTACAAATGTGGTCAGACTCCTCCAACCTGTCAGAGTAAGTTAGCAAAAAATAATGTATGGATTGTTTAAATATATGTATACATGTAGAGATGAATAACTTTAGAAATGGAAGTCGTAAGCTTTTTTATTGATTTTTGTTTTGCAGAAAATATTTCAGTATGTTCAGGATTAGAACAAATTAATCAGCAAAATCATTTTGTTGGTTCTTATATATTTGGTAACACACATGATATGAAAACCATTAGGATAAGTGGTATAGCAATACATTGGTAAGTCTAGAACTGTTAGCTCCTTTCTAGGCTCTTAGGAGGTTTTGTTGCAAGTTTGTGTGTGTGTTGAGGGAAAAAGGGGGGTGGGGGTGCTTAAGATTTATTTGTTCGCAATAATATCAAGCTATTTTTCCATTTTAACAATATGCTGAAATCATTGTATGCCCAAATGCCTTAAAATAGGCCAGTAGTGATGTCCAGTAGTCTTTAAAAGGAAATCTTTTTATTTTCTAGATGTTGATGAATGTACAGCAGGGACTGCCACATGTAATCAGAACTGTGTAGACTATTCTGGTGGATACTATTGTACATGTAACAGTGGATACAAACTGTCTTCTACCAATCCTACTATCTGTGAAGGTAAGTAAACATTGGGAAGGGGGCTGAATAAGAATTGTGTGGACTATTTGATACAAAATCTGCCATAAATTGATGTTGGACATGAGGCAGATTTAGGCAACAGTTTGTGAGTGGAATTTGAAAAGGGGAACTGAAATATCAGAACTGCATCAGAGAATTGAATCTACAAATTTAATACTAAAATTTTGAAGCGGCAATATTTCGAGTTCTATAACCGATTTTTTTATTTGGTGAAATAATGACAAATTATTAACTTCTTTTTATTTTTCTATTGTAGATATTGATGAATGTGCCTATAACAATGGATATTGTGACCACAGCTGTGTTGATGTTGAAGGATCCTACAACTGCACCTGTAACTATGGATATGACCTTTATACATACAATGGATTCCAAGGATTAAACCTACAAGCAGGAGAAGATGGGAGGTCACCATGGCACTCTTATCACATTGGTCATTCTTGTGTGTGTAAGTAATATATGTGACTGAAAACAAAGACTTGGGATTAGATTGTAGTTTGAATGGAATTTTTCATGCAACACATGACTGGACTTTTAAAAAAGCTACCAGTTAACAACTCTATAAAATGAAAAAAGTCCATTTCTAATGAAGATTTGTTTTGTGCTGAATAATTATCTAATTTTGTATATAACATATCAAGCACTTTGCTTTATTCAAATATTTTTGATTTTTACCCCATTTTGTTGTGACATATATTTGATATTTTCAGTAAAACAATGTCCAATGCCTAGCCAGACAATAGGTCATGGAAGATCACTGACATTACAATTGACCTTTACCCAGGGTGACTCGGTGCAGTATTTATGTGATGTTGGGTATGTTGTTTCTGGATCTAATTCTGCCACAACAACTGTATCTTGTCAGGGAGATGGCACATGGAATCCAGCTATACCTACATGTACATGTAAGTAGATTGACGATCAGATGTAATGAGAAATTTCAAATTGATTGAATGATTATAATTTTGACAATTGAAAGTTTGCTAGAATTATTACAAAGAAAAGCTATCCTGTAAATTGTAATCAACATCTATATAACTTAACAAAGAGCTCGAATTCTTAATGTTATCATGCTCAAAATATTTTTATTTTGAAATTTTGATAACATACTGTAAATTCATAAAATAGTGCCTGCTTTTATTATTGTCATTATTGTGATTGTTAGACAATTGACACAAATGGGACTTTATATATTGCGATTTCAGGAAATGATGCATACAAATTATTCTATCACGGTTTTTAATTTTGTGACACCTATCTCATCGCTATTTTCACAAAAATTGAAACCTTGCAAAAATTTCTGAATTTACAGCAATTTAATTGTTTGCTTAATGAAAATTTTCAAACTATTATGACCTATTAATGATGCAACTATTATAATATTTTCTGTTTGTAGCGGCCTCATGTTTTCTGGATGTAGTTGCCGATAGTAACACCACACCTACTGGCAGTATTAACTACAATAGTGCTTATACTCTCCAGTGCGATCCTACTAACAGCACTGGTGTGACACTGAGGAGATATTGTTCTTATAAACCAGATACCAAACGTTACGGTACAGTCGGAGATAATATGCATTGTCCAGGTAAGATTGTATGTCATGCTCCAAATTACTGTACCGTAGAAAGGCTTGTATAGTCCGCGGTTTTATTTTCCAAAATTGGACCTTCCAGAAGGGGTGCGGACTATAGAGTACAATAAGCAAGAAATAAGAGAAAAATTTCAATTTCGCAGGCGAGGTGGTTTGTTTACGTTCCGCCATCTTTGTTATTTATATTGTAGAGGGCGCTCTTATCATTTTTCAAACTAATAATTTTAACTCATCCATATTAATAAGTTATTTCTATTCAATATCAAATTAATACTGATAAATATAAAAACTAAACCTTTCATTACAAATTTATCGTTTCTTTTCAATGCATTGGTTGAAATAAACTGGTATCTGCTTGATTGAAACGATACAAACATAGTGAAAAAGACAACCGTAAACCAGCTAAGAATTTGTAAACTACAAAACGTAATCGGTTATTGTTCGTTCCGTTTTGGTGTTTCATACTAACTAATATGGTTTGTATTAGCTTAAGACCCTTCAAACATTAATGTGATAGATATATTAAAGACTGTTTTACAAAAGGATGGAACTGTTTTACTTTCAAAGTCGTATTATAGTGATATCTGTTATGTACGGATTTCGACTCTCACCGGTTAATTTCTTCTTTTACACGTGCTTTTTAAACTTCCTGTTTAAACATACACAAGTTTCTAAATAGTTTTTTAAGTGAATTAAACTTATTTTAACAATCATGAAGCGTTCTAGAATCATTTACAAGCAGTTTCAGCTTCAGTTTGATGATGGAAAACAGGTTTTTCCAAGAAAAAACCGCAAACGACCGCACAGGATTTGAAATTACCGGAGTTTCATTAGACCTTTTCTAACAGTTACAAAAAGTTTTTTTACCTAAAATTTCATGGGGAGAAGGGGGTGCGGACTATGTACCAGTGCGAACTATACAAGCCTTTCTACGGTACCTATAAAACAGATACCAAACGTTATGGTACAGTTGGAGATAATATGCATTGTCCAGGTAAGATTGTATGTCATGCTCCAAATTACTGTACCTATAAAACAGATACCAAACGTTATGGTACAGTTGGAGATAATATGCATTGTCCAGGTAAGATTGTATGTCATGCTCCAAATTACTGTACCTATAAACCAGATACCAAACGTTATGGTACAGTCAGAGATAATATGCATTGTCCAGGTAAGATTGTATGTCATGCTCCAAATTACTGTACCTATAAAACAGATACCAAACGTTATGGTATAGTTGGAGATAATATGCATTGTCCAGATAAGATTGTATGTCATGCTCCAAGTTACTGTACCTATAAACCAGATACCAAACGTTATGGTACAGTCAGAGATAATATGCATTGTCCAGGTAAGATTGTATGTCATGCTCCAAATTACTGTACCTATAAAACAGATACCAAACGTTATGGTACAGTCAGAGATAATATGCATTGTCCAGGTAAGATTGTATGTCATGCTTCAAATTACTGTACCTATAAAACAGATACCAAACGTTATGGTACAGTCAGAGATAATATGCATTGTCCAGATAAGATTGTATGTCATGCTCCAAGTTACTGTACCTATTAAACAGATATCAAACAATATTATTCAGTTGGAGGTTATATACATTGCAATGATAAGTTGGAATGAGGATAAAATTAGTTAAAATTCCAGTTCATAGGTTACAATACTGTTTGAAAAATATTCATTTTTCCTGGTTAATTTTTCCAGATGATTTTCCAAAGGAAAAATCCAGTTATTAAAATGGCTAAGTATGCGGACTGGTGGCTGCCAACTGTTATACATGCAATAACTTATGAACAGTTCAACAATGTTTCTCAAATTTTAATATGATGTTACTCATAACAAAATGGAGATCAACTTCAATATTGAGGATTTTCACATTTACTATTCTAGAGTTATGGTCCTTTATACATAGATTGGAAAATGGCACTTAATGTTGTTTCTGTACAATAACTTGAACTGTTCAGTAAATACTTTTTACCATACATCATACATTAAAATACATCAATTTCATTGTACTAGCTGGCCTTTTAAGTTCAACAATGGTTACTTTCAAAATAAAGAAACCTGGTTTGCTATCAACTTGACAGCTCATTTCTTGTTTGTATGATTGTTTAGGCATATCAACTCAGCCCAGCCTTAGTTATAAACTCTTTCTTGGGAAATTTCAAAGCAAGCCCAATAAGTACTTCTTTTTGGTAAACACTGTATTTTCAGTCATCTTTATAATAATAAGTATTGTGAATGTTGTCATTACATGCTTCATTTACATAGAAGAAGTCCATAGTTGATATGTACCCAAGTTGTCACAAAAAATATATATTTAAATCGCTGCATTTGTTCCAATTCAACAAAGTGTGGTCCCAATTTACTACTTAGGTAAAAACAAGTACTAACTTATTGTACTCATGACTTTAGGAAACAAACTACACTTAGTACAAAAATCATTGTAAATTTGAGTTGATTTTAGACCACTGCAAACACCTGCAATGGCTATAATGGTAGTACTGCAGTTTCTGATTTTACACATGAATTATGGACTACCACAGATGATTTATTTTGAAGTTTTAGTTACTGTTTTTTGTGTATTTAACCTATATAATGTGCAAACACCAAAGAAATGAATAATTTCTGCTGTTTTCTATTTTAGCTGTTGATTGTGGTACTACTACATCTATATCTGGAAGTAACCCTTTTTCCAATACCTGTACAGTGTATGGCTGTAGTTTTATATTCAGCTGTTCAGGGAGCTACCAACTAGCAGGAACCAGTTCTAGTGGGGACACAGTTATCAGATGTGGTGTAGATGGACGATGGGACTATGGTGATTTACGGTGTATCAGTCCCCTATGTAAGGATCCAGGCACCCCACCAGATGCTACACAGGTAGCCACCTCCTATGAAATTGGTACAGAAGTAACTTATCAGTGTACAAGAACTGGTTATGCCCCCTCGTTCTCTACTCCACTCAGATGTCAGGCAGTAGGAAATACTGTGCAGTGGATTCCCTCAACTCCACCTTCATGTGTTGGTGAGTATATACTTTTTCATGGCAAATATCAAGTCTTTCTAAAATAAACATATGAATAGGAGCAGATTTCAGAGAGACTGGAAATGGAAAAAAGCAGAAATTCAACAGAATGAAAATGCAATTTTGTTTCGAAAAATTGTTTTATTTACACGAACAAAAATGACAAGTTTCATGAAATAAATTGAAAAAGAAAAAGTCTAGAAACAGTTTAGAAATCCACAAACATTAAGGAATTGGATAAAACATCTATGTAATGTAATTATATGTTTAGAATTGCCTCATAAGTTTATTGTTTGTTTAAGGATATTCAAAGCATGTTTTTCATGCTAATTTAACCTTTTTTTTCAGATATTACAAAACCCACTTTTCTGAATTGTATTACATCTGACCTCTCAGTAGAATTGTACAAAGCACCAAATCATGCTGTTCCTACTGCTACTGACCAGTCTGGGTTTGTCCAATCGGTGACCACTGTCCCTGCTAACTACAGGCCAACACATGTGGTACCTAACTCCATAGTAGTGACCTATACAGCTACAGACGGCAATAATAATGAAGGAACTTGTAGTTTTAATATACAAATAAAAGGTAAGTAACTACAGGCCTGCACATGTGGTACCTAACTCCATAGTATTGACATATACAGCCAAAGACAACAATGATAATGAAGGAACTTGTAGTTTTAATATACAAATAAAAAGGTAAATAACTACAGGCCTGCTCATGTGGTACCTAACTCCATAGTGGTGACATATACAGCTAAAGACGGCAATAATAATGAAGGAACTTGTACTTTTAGTATACAAATAAAGGATAAGTATCTACTGTTCATGTGGTAGCTAACTTATTATATACACTGCTGATGTTAGCAACAGTAAGAAAATATGTATGAAAAGCTACAGGCCTGGTGCTTTACAAAAAATCTTACAACTAACATTAGTCTTGAGCTACTCGTACTGGTTTTTTGCTGTGCATGTACTGATTTTGTGTCATGGATGGATATTCCATAACCTTTGTTTTTTCTATTAAGAAATTTTAGTTGTAAGATGTTTTGTGAAACACAGGCCAGGTCAGTACATGTGGTACCCAAAATGTCCTCTTACACCCCCCAAGTTTTATGTTGCATTCATACACTGTATACAGAGGATGATATAAAATGTCCTGTACCAAGTCAGGAAAATGGCCATTGTTATATTATAGTTCGTTTCTGTGTGAGTTACATTTTAATGTTGTGTTTCTGTTGTGTCGTAGTTCTCCTCTTGTATTTGATGTGTTTCCCTCAGTTTTGGTTTGTGACACGGATTTGTTTTTTTCTCTCGGTAGATTTATGAATTTCGAACGGCGGTATACTACTGTTGCCTTTGTTTATATATCAATAAATTGAATTGCATTCCTTAATTTTTACAGAATTATATAACCACACTTTGCAAATTATATATAAGATACACTAAAATAGTTTTAAAGAGGAACCAGATTGCAGATATTTTTGATTGACAAATGATTGAGAATGGAAAGATACTTCCCGATGCTGTGTAGACTTGCTTTGCTCACAGGATGTACTAATAACTTCTGTTTAGAATAGTGTGAGACAAACTTATGACGGATAAATAGGGTTTGCTTTTGTTATTGATATTGATGAAAATAAATGCATTGTTAATGACACTAAGTGTGTAACCCAGTAATGCAACTCCCAAAGACGAAAGAGAAAATTGTTAATTAGAATAGAATGTTCTTCCTCCAATATTTTGTATCATTATACTTTGAATAATTTTGAATTTATGTTTTCAGACCAAATTCCACCTACAATAACTTGTTCCACACCTTCAGCTTATGTCATTACATCACAGTCCAGTACCATCCGAATAGATCCCAAGGATTTGGTCACGAACGTAGAGAGTGGGGCACAAGTAACTGCTAATTCTGGAATATTTACTCTCACTTATAATGATGTTGGTAGAGTCAGAATGATCACACTTACAGCAATAGATGCTGCATTAAATACACAGTCATGTACTGTTCAGGTTTATACTACAGGTAAAAATTATCAATTCACATTTTTGTTGGGTTTTTATGCCCATGCTGTGGTGGAGGGGGCATATAAGTTTTATCCTTGATTGTCCGTACGTCCCAAAATTTATTTCTGCTTGCCTCAACCAAATGTATGAAACTTATACACAATGCCTATTACCACCAAACACAGATCAAGTTTGAATTTGGATAAATATTTTTAAGGTAAAATTTTAGAATATGAACTTCCATGATAATTTAGAATTCAAAATTGAAATAAATAAGGAATCATTAATAGATTTATAGTAGAACATCTCGTAAAAGCTTACTTATAAATTTATGTTTTACGCATATACACAATGTTTCTTTATATTTAGTACCAAAATTACAACAGTAAAACATTATCTTACAGTACAAAACAAATGTCAGACATGGTTGATCAATGCAGAAAATGCACAGAAGATATGTACAGCTAAGGCAGGGAACACTGGATACGACTGTACATTTACATGTAACTCAGGGTATTACTTCTCTGACAGTATCAACACAAACAGTATATCTTCCAGCTGCTTTACAAATAATGACTGGAGCACATATCCTTCAGCTTGTATAGGTATGTTTTGTATTGAAAAGGGGATGTTTTCTATCATCTACACATAACTTGTACATGTATATATTGGACTGAGGCGGATTTTTTCACATATTTAAACAGGAACATATGTCTACCATCTTGTACAGGTAGCTTTTCTACAGTAAAGGAGTATTTCCTTATGTAGAGAATGGACAACCTACAAAAAAAAATGTACTGTATTTATTGTATAGAGAGAGGAATGTTTTCAAATATAGAAACTAGATCACATGCTACTAGGTTGTATTGCCATTGGTATCTAAAGGATAGATGTATTTAAAGCATAGGTTGTGCTATGTGGGATAATATTCTATTGGAAAATATTCAGGGATGTAAATGACAACACTATTTATTACTTCCTAGTGTTTCTGATGTGTCAGTCTTGAAGCTTGCTAATTTGAAGATAATTTAAAGATTATAGCTCTCTCTTTTCCCCCAATAGAGTTGTCTTGTTTATCACGAATAAGTTAATAAACCTTGAATTTTTATTCTAATTACAGCAAGAAACCCAGCATACTATAGACAGTCATTTGTTTTACGTTACGGAACTGGTATCCTGACAGATCCTGGTTGTACAAGTATCTATCAATCACAGCTCCAGAACCAGTGGAACAGTATGGCCACTAACTTACAGAACATGTGTCGTAACTCTCAGCCAGCTTATGCAATAACAATATCATCTCCTGTTGACACCCTTGTGTCCAGATTAGGGGTAGAATATAGTAATGTAAGTATACACTGGTTAAATTAGCTTTCGTGGTATCTCATAGCCAAGTCACATTACATTGTTCAGATTAAAATATACGGAAAGTGTAAATTATAAGTAAGAATAAAAAAAAGACTTATTCTTAATGAAGTAATTTTTAAGATTTTACATGGGAAAATTATTTTTAGCACAGATCTTTGTATTTTACAGTGATATCAGTTGTGTTACTCTCTCCATATGGCACCACAATGAGCTAAATGATGTGACATCTAATACACTCTGTTATGTTCTCACTAATGTATTATGGTAAATTATATCATATAAGGTTTAAAAGAACATTCCTATTAGCAGAACTACTTTTAATAAAGTCTTTCTTTTTCCTCTATTTATTATTTGGGGATTACTATTTCATGCTGTTCATTACAAAACTAGAATGTTCATACCAGAAGGTAAGGAAGCCATTTATGCTGTTTTCAAATTTGACTAGAAACCTCCAGATTATTTGTCTTTATAATTTCAGGGAATTGTTTATGCTACTTTCACTTTTGATATGACACCTGCTGATTATGTGGATACTGCCTATACATCCTGTGCAAACTTAATCTCTAATGCTTTTGTCAACAAGCAGTCAGAGTTAGCTCCCATTTTACAATTATCAGCCTCTGGATCCTGCCCGACTGTGTCCTCTGCTTCTGTGACCTATGACCGAGTGCTGAAGAATTATTTTGTGTGTACAACAAATGCTGGAGTTCAGTATGTCTCAGCAGAATCAAAGTCAGTTTGCTGTAAGTTTATATTCATTCAATCAAGTATGAGCAAACAGTAATTTTGGAATCAAAAGTTATACTTTATATTTCAGTTTATCTGCAATTTGTACATTTTTCCTTTGATCTTACTGCCTATCATTTTTAAGATTGTGGACAGGACTTTATACTCGAAAATGTTAGTCAGTGATGTCATGTATCAGTGCAGCAACGTCACATGCTCAAGTCCATCTGCGTCCCATGGAAATGCAAGGGACTTCATTTATACGACCGAACAACTATCCAAACTTTTTTTACGCGTAAAAGCAGTTTTACTTATATTTCATTTTACTTCATATTCTCAACCAAAAAAACATACAGTTAAGACAAATTGCAGAGAAAAAGAATAATGGCATTTTATTTTTTGATACTGACTTCATCAGCTTCAAATATCAGCTCGCCTTTGCAGGCTCGTTTGATATTCTTGCTGATAAAGTCAGTGTCAAAAACAAAAATGCCATTATTCTATATGTATTACATATTTCAGATCCACATTTTAGCAGATATTCATACAATTTATATGTATTTGTTTACCTTTAGTTGACTGTGCCCTTGGACACTATTCCAGTGAAAAGCGTCAGTGTTTAGAATGTACTTTTGGATTTTATCTGGCCACAACAAACCGTGATAGCTGTGATGCCTGTCCATCAGGAACCAATAGTAGAAAGACAGGGTTGACCAGACAGACTGATTGCTATCGTAAGTCACACTTTATAGTACATCATAATAAAAGTAATCTATTGCAATTATGAATAATATGAAATGGTAGATAGATAAGATCTGAAGCATCATTTTTAGAACTTCAGTAAGGGGCAAACATAATTAACCTCATCAAATATTTTTCTGACATCTTTTTATTGTTTTAGAAATTGACGCTGATTTTTAAACTGATTTATATTAGAACTTTAAAATTTGTCTTGCCTGTCTTATAGAATTTATGAATAAAAAAGTACTGTAATTACAATATTAGATAAATAAGAATATTATTTTTGGTATGTGGTTTCAGGAGTTATAAATAATATAATCTTTTCATGTATATAAAAGAATTTCATTTATTCCAGAGGTATAAATCTGAAATTTATAGGGTCTTTTTTTCTCCAGAATATTAAAAAGATTTTCAAAACTTGCTAATTTGTGATCCCATGTCTGTTTTACAGTAATATTTTTTTCTACAGAGAATTTTAGAGATTGTTAAACTTTTTGATATCTTCATCAGGGGTATGAAAATACAAAACCTGATAAAATTAAATGTCATTTAGAATATACAAAGGTCTTCTTGTATTTTAAAAAGTTTGAATTTGTTTACTTTTAACTTTGTGTTATATTTTTAATAATATACCTTGCTCTACATTTCAGTTACCTGTCCTAATGGTTTTATATCAACCAATGGACAAGCTCCATGCTACCAGTGTGCTGCTGATTCATATTCTTCTAACGGCCAATCTTGTACATCATGTCCTAGTGGCAAGAAAACTATTGGAGTTGGCAAATCTACAGAATCAGATTGTAAAAGTAAGATTGTCTTTTGTGTCTTATAGTCAGGGATGGGGTAATTGAAAATGTAATGGTAATTAAGTGTAATGCATTATAATTTTCCATGTAACTGAATGTAATGTATTGAGCATTTTTTTAATTACATGTAATGGTAATTTAATTAATTACAATGAAAAAAGCGTGTAATGCTAAATTACTTTTGAATTACATTTTAATTACATGTACTTTTATGGTGTTAATGATAAGAAATTATGGTAATATAATATTTAATTGACATACAGAAATGTTTGCTTAATAGTCTTATAACGTTAAAAGATGTGAGAATCATATATTAGTGTTGTTCAGTTTTTAAGAAAAATCTTTAACTAAATAGATTGATAACATGTATATATACATTCCATCAATACATGTATTTATGGTCAAACAAATGTGTAACTCTTTCTTAGACAGTTCATTTAGAATTTTAAATCACTACACAAAATCATTTTGTCAAATTAGTATACACAAAAGGATTATAGAAATAAAAATTATCAGCTGTAAAAACAAACAGCAATTAATCAGATTAAAATGTGTAATAAAACAGCCTAGGGACAATACCACTATTACATGTATGTATGTATGTATGTATGTATTAGATCCCTCCGTTTACGGAGCACCCCTCGAGAGCTGCGAGGGTACAGTGCAATCCGTGTACACTCCCTATCAGGATTAATGGAGATGTGTCACTAACGTATTTACAATGTTCAATATTTACAAGGACATTCCCCAACCCAACACCAGGGAGTGTTAGGACACCGGGTGGATCTGTTATTATGGTGGAGGAAGCCGAAGTACTCGGAGAGAACCACCAGGCTGCTCGGCGGGAACAGACAAACCGAAGAGATATCAGCAGATTGATCTCCAGGTCAAAATCTGGAACAACTTTGACCAACCGAGGCCCCCATAGTACCCATTCTAGTTTAAACTCCGGTCTGGGTACCAGAGATGTGTGTGAGAGGGTGAAAATCACCCTTCTGATGTACTGATATTTTTAGCACCCCCAGTGAGAATCAAACTCGGGACCTTCAGCACTGTAGCCATCGGTCTTAACCACTAGACCACGAACTCACATATGTTTTTTTTATCTAATTAACAAAATAGTGCTGATATTTAGACATTACACACTGTTTGTACTAAAAAATAGTTTCAATATTGTGACAAGCATACTTTGAATATTTGTAAAGTAAAAAAACATGAAGACATTTTTAATTTATTTATAATTTTTTTATTTATATTATGTTGAATTAAATGACTTCATTTCTGAGTTGTCAAAATACCCCTTAATTTATTGGCAAGTTGATAGGAACACATTCCCTCTTCTATCAACACATCTTATGATCTAGCAATACTGGCCACATCAGCTCTTGTCCAAACAAAGTGTTTCCGACCAGAGAAATGTAGACTAAATGACAAAACATTAAAACTTCTTATGATGATCAAATGCAATACTAAAACTATGTTGTTGATGATCAAATGCAATGCTAAAACTATGTTGTAAGCTTACATGAACATTTTACACATGCTATATATACATGATATATATTGTAAACAATGTTTAAAAAAAATATGATAAAATGTAATGTGTAATTTAATTAATTACTTTAGTAAAGTAATTGTAATTTAATTAATTACATTTCAAAAACTGTGTAATGGTAATTAGTGTAATTGATCATTTTGTCGAGCCTGCGACTTTTGTTGCAGAAAGCTCGACATAGGGATAGTGATCCGGCGGCGGCGGCGGCGGCGTAAGCTAACTTCTTAAAAGCTTTATATTTTAGAAGGTGGAAGATCTGAATGCTTCATACTTTGTATATGGATTCCTCATGTTACGAAGTTTCCGTCAGTCACAAGTCCAATGTCCTTGACCTCATTTTCCTGGTTCAGTGACTACTTGAAAAAAAAGTTCAGATTTTTTGTAATGTTAAATTCTTTCTTATTATAATTAATAGGATAACTATATTTGGTATGTGCGTACCTTGCAAGGTCCTCATGCCTGTCAGACAGTTTTCACTTGACCTCAACCTCATTTCATGGATCAGTGAACAAGGTTAAGTTTTGGTGGTCAAGTATAATCTCAGATACTATAAGCAATAGGTCTAGTATATTCGGTGTATGGAAGGACTGTAAGGTGAACATGTCCAACTGGCAGGTGTCATCTGACCTTGACCTCTTTTTCATGGTTCAGTGGTTATAGTTAAGTTTTTGTGTTTTGGTCTGTTTTTCTTATACTGTATGCAATAGGTCTACTATATTTTGTGTATGGAATGATTGTAAGGTGTACATGTCTAGCTGGCAGGTGTCATCTGACCTTGATCTCATTTTCATGGTTCAGTGGTCAAAGTTAAGTTTTTTGAGTTTTGGTCTTTTTTTCTAATACTATATGCAATAGTTCAGCTATATTTGGTGTATGGAAATATTTTATGATGTACATGTCAGTCTCACAGGTTTTATTTGACCTTGACCTCATTTTCACAGTTCATTTCTCAGTGTTAAGTTTTTGTGTTTTGGTCTGTTTTTCTTCAACTATAAGCAATAGATCAACTATATTTGATGTATGGAAGGATTGTAAGGTGTATATGTCTGTCTGGTAGGTATCACCTGACCTTGACCTCATTTTCATGGTTCATTGGTCAATGTTAAGTTTTCATGGTTAAGTTTGTTTCTTAGATACTATAAGCAATAGGTCAACTATATTTAATGCCTAAATTGATTGTAAGGTGTACATGTCTGTCTGGCATGGTTCATCTGACCTTGACCTCATTTTCATGGTTCATTGGTCAATGTTAAGTTTTCTTGTTTAAGACTGTTTCTTAGAAACAATAAGCAATAGGTCAACTTTGTTTGGTTTATTGAATGATTGTAAGGTGTATATGTATTTCTCGTTTGGTTTATCTGACCTTGACCTCATTTTCTTGGATCATGTTAAGTTTATGTGTTACTTGTAGTAAAGCTTTGTATTTAGGACTATCAACATGAAATCAATGGTTAGTAAAGAAGGCTAGACATTTCAGTGTGTGCACTCTTGTTAACTATATATATGATAACTGATGCATAAATCACAGATGAGATCATAGTTCTTATTTTATTTAAAGGTCCATGTCCAGCTGGTTATTACTCATATAATGGTTTAGAGACCTGTACAGCTTGTCCAAGGAACTTTTACCAGGCCCAACCTGGCCAGATGCAGTGTTTGGAGTGTTCAGGTAGTCAGATCACATTGGCGGAAGGCAAGATTTCACCAGTTGATTGTGTCAGTGGTTGTAAGTAGTTTGGTAACTGTTCATCATAAATACCCGTCTGATTTTTACTCATTGCATGATAAATGTTTCTTTTTCAATATGTATGAAATCCTGTAACACATGCTATACTGGTTGATTTTCAGAAATCAAAAGTGTATTTTATAATATGAAAATTCTTTGGTAGAAATATACAGGATTTTACCAAATAATAAAAAAATATCAAATAAATGACAAAAGAAGATTTGTAAGAAACTTAAGATACTACCAGGTTGATTTGAAAGACCAATTGTGAAATAAAAAAAGGAAATATAATGACTCAAAAAGTTTTGAGAAGTAAGTATTAAACAAATGTTCAATAATTTGTTTAATTGTTTTATTTCCTATTTCAGTTGCTTCAATCTGTACAGGTATTTGTCAGAATGGAGGAACATGTCAAGTCCTGAACCATGATTACTACTGTACATGTCCACAAGGTTAGTTGTTGATCTTATTCGCAAGGAACATGTCAAGTCCTTAACCATGATTACTACTGTACATGTCTACAAGGTTAGTTGTTGATCTTATTCACAAGGAACATGTCAAGTCCTGAACCATGATTACTACTGTACATGTCCACAATGTTAGTTGTTGATCTTATTCACAAAGAACATGTCAAGTCCTTAACCATGATTAATACTGTACATGTCCACAATGTTAGTTGTTGATCTTATTCACAAGGAACATGTCAAGTCCTTAACCATGATTACTACTGTACATGTCTACAAGGTTAGTTGTTGATCTTATTCACAAGGAACATGTCAAGTCCTGAACCATGATTACTACTGTACATGTTCACAAGGTTAGTTGTTGATCTTATTCACAAGGAACATGTCAAGTCCTGAACCATGATTACTACTGTACATGTCTACAAGGTTAGTTGTTGATCTTATTCACAAGGAACATGTCAAGTCCTTAACCATGATTACTACTGTACATGTCCACAAGGTTAGTTGTTGATCTTATTTACAAGGAACATGTCAAGTCTTTAACCATAATTACTACTGTACATGTCCACAAGGTTAGTTGTTGATCTTATTAACAAGGCACATGTCAAGTCCTTAACCATGATTATTACTGTACATGTCCACAAGGTTAGTTGTTGATCTTATTCACAAAGGAACATGTCAAGTCCTGAACCATGATTACTACTGTACATGTCCACAAGGTTAGTTGTTGATCTTATTCACAAGGAACATGTGAAGTCCTTAACCATGATTACTACTGTACATGTCCACAAGGTTAGTTGTTGATCTTATTCACAAGGAACATGTCAAGTCCTTAACCATGATTACTACTGTACATGTCCACAAGGTTAGTTGTTGATCTTATTCACAAGGAACATGTCAAGTCCTAAACCATGATTACTACTGTACATGTCTACAAGGTTAGTTGTTGATCTTATTCACAAGGAACATGTCAAGTCCTGAACCATGATTACTACTGTACATGTTCACAAGGTTAGTTGTTGGTCTTATTCACAAGGAACATGTCAAGTCCTTAACCATGATTACTACTGTACATGTCCACAAGGTTAGTTGTTGGTCCTTAACCATGATTACTACTGTACATGTCTACAAGGTTAGTTGTTGATCTTATTCACAAGGAACATGTCAAGTCCTGAACCATGATTACTACTGTACATGTTCACAAGGTTAGTTGTTGGTCTTTTTCACAAGGAAAATGTCAAGTCCTTAACCATGATTACTACTGTACATGTCCACAAGGTTAGTTGTTGATCTTATTCACAAGGAACATGTCAAGTCCTTAACCATGATTACTACTGTACATGTCTACAAGGTTAGTTGTTGATCTTATTCACAAGGAACATGTCAAGTCCTGAACCATGATTACTACTGTACATGTTCACAAGGTTAGTTGTTGATCTTATTCACAAGGAACATGTCAAGTCCTGAACCATGATTACTACTGTACATGTCTACAAGGTTAGTTGTTGATCTTATTAACACACTGTGATTCCTGTCTGTATATCAAAACCATTTATAGGCAGAAGAATGAGTATACCATTAAATAGATTCTGAGTGGTTTCCAGAGATAAAAGGAAACTCCGATATTACATATATTGAGTACAGTGCATAGTATGAAATGTTTTAAGATGATCAATTTATTCATTGAAAAAGATGATGTAATTGCTTTTAATTCTTAAATAAATTATTGCAAGGTTGTGGTTAGATTTAAAACTTGAAATACTATTCAAAGTTTAATTATTGGTTTGAATGAGTCCTTTAAAGACAACCCAGAATATGCATGTGTAATGTGCAGTTTATCTTTAGGCTATGTAATACAGGTATCCCATTGGAATCAGAAATTCACACATGTGTGATTGAACTACACAGTGTATTACATGTTTCTAACATTGAATGCTCAAAGATGGACATAAGAACCAGAAGGGTTTAAACGGATCAGTGTTATTTTTTAGAAGTACAATCTTATTTTTAGAACAATTGTATTCTTTGAGACAAGTCTTTTTATCAATAATTTATTTACTATTTGTTCTAGGTTATACTGGTCCAACATGTGAGAATGAGATCAACCCCTGTGATAGTCAGCCATGTTATAATGGAGGACAGTGTACAAAGACCGGCGTACTTACCTTTACATGTACTTGTACCAGCAGTAAGTTTGTCATTTTTATAGGCATGATCAACTTTTGGTAATGCAATATTGTAAATTTTATTGTGTGGCAATGCAATATCGTATATTTTATCGTGTGGCAATGCAATATTGTAAATTTTAGTGTGTGGCCATGTAATATTATAAATTTTATCATGTGGTAATGCAATATTGTAAATTTATCATAGATATAAATGACATGTTTGTTGTAGTAAGAATCTTGATTCGATATTGTCTTTGTGCAATGAATTTTATTCTCAGAAATGTTGATGATTCAATATGGGCAAAATGAAAAAGATGATTTATAAGAATTTTTTTTATAACATTAGTATGTCTTCAAAAAAAAGATTTTTCAACTATTCCATGTTAATACTATTGTTTATCAACGAGGAAGAATATACTAAACTAGAATTCACACCATGATAAGGATAATATTATTGTTTTTTTACTATATTTGTTAAGTTAGTATTAAGTATAGGTCTGTGTAGAAGTTCGAAACAAAAACAACAACAAATAGATGATGTATTTTATAATAAGTTATGTTTGACATGTGTTGCAGTTATTGGAGGAAAAATTGGTGGTAGGTTTATAGTATTGATAACACAATATATGACATATCATTGATCAGATTGTAGAAAGTAGCCATATATTCTATAAAGTAAAATTTGCAGAAAGCTTTGAGGTATAAAAATAAATGGAAACTTTCATGTGTATTGAATTCAAGACCAAATACATTTTGATAGTATCCAGAAAGAAATTTAGTAAAACAATGAAAATGAAAATTTCTGCAAAGGATTTTCCAAATTTAGCCGTGTAATTAAAAATATCCTTATGCAAAATTTGTGAAAAAAGTAAAAAAAAAAAATTATTTGTTTAGATTTTGGGGAGAAAAATTAATAAAATCAGTTGCTGCAGGTTGGGTTAGGGTTAAGAACAATACCCCCTGCTCAAAGATTAATTTATCAAGTTATTCAAAAGTTTATAAAGTTATAAGAACATGATAGATATGTGTAAATATTTGCAGTGGTATTTTGTATGATGCACCATGCATTGTGTTAACAATACATTCTTAGCAGTTTGAACTCTGAACCCATCAATTTCCCATCTCTATTTCAACTTTCATATATATCCTGTTTAAAGATAAATTAAATATATATACATATCCTTCCTCCAAAAAGCTGCTGTAGGCTCAGGTATTTTATTCTTATTGCATCTATTCCAACTTTTCTAAGGCATGAATGATATGAACACTAGACTAGATATGTTAGATATGACATCAAATCATACTGTTGTAATACTGTAAAGTGGGAAATTTTCACGGAGATTAATTTTTGTCAATTTTGCGATTAAGATCAAATTGCGAAATTATCCCCAAGCATAAGTTAGATCTTTGAAGAGAATCAGAATCAGGGACCAAATAAACGCTATATTAAAAAAGTGTAAAAGGATCAGCACTTGAAATCACGAAATTTAAATCCTACGAAATTTAGCCACTTAACAGTAACCCTTTTCACTCCTGTTTGTTTTTTGCACTATATCTTTGATATAAATGTCTGAAAAATCACAGTATTGTTTCACTAAATAACATTTATTTACTTAGAGGAAAGTCTGTTTTGTTTTGATTAAAACATTCACAATTAGGAAATAAAATGAAAGATGTAGTACCTTACTGGTAATAGATATTTGATTTAATGTTTGTAGATGGATGAGCTTTAAGTTAAAAGTTTTTATTTTTTTATTTTATCTTATTAAGGTGATTTTGCACCCAGCCTAATCTATATTTGCACATTTCATAACTGTAAAAAAAGTCTTTTTTTCATAAAGATATCAATCTTTCATTGAACTTTATAGAATTCTTTTAGTGTTAAATTTTGAATTGATTTGGCTCTCTTTTTGTCAAAATAAACATATAGGAATGTAATTTTTATGTATACTTTTAAAAGTATTTATGCATTAATAATATTTATAGAATAACTAATCCAAGAATTCAAATGCTGAAAATATTTAAACAGGGACCAAACATTCACTAATGTGCGTATCAATATTTGAATATTTGAATTCTTGGATTAGTTCTTTTTTTTTATTACATTGGCATTTAATGTAAATAAAGTAGAAAATGCTGAAATCTATATCTTTTTCTAAAAGTTGAAAGTTTGTTTTGATGCAACATCAATGACAACATCTTGATAACACTTATTGTTGTATGACATCAGAGGAGTGAAATTATCAGTTTTTCTCTTACTGGGAAATTAAAGTATTTCATTGCAAACTATGTAATAAATTTGTTTCTTTTAATTATTCAGGGATGTTTTCATGAATTAAACGATATATGTAAAAAGAATGTGTATGCTACTGTGTTTGTTGATAGCTGATAAAATATTGATCTTTACCATAGAAATGAAAATAAATATTTTGATATTTAAGTATTTTTCATAATTTATTTTCTGTATAGATATGCAGTAAAAACTATACAACTTTTTTATTTAGATCGATTTGGTGGAAACCTGTGTGAGAATGATATAGATGACTGTGAGTTTACCAGCGGATTTAATCCCTGTAACAATGGTTCCTGTCATGACCTGGTTGGTGGATACACCTGTCTGTGTCCATCTTACTCTGGCTTTACTGGGTCAACGTAAGTCTTTCAATCAGTAAATTGGGAATGAAGCAAACATCCCTTTCAATCATACTATAACTTAACATTAAAGAAAGATACTATTCAGATAGGTGGGTGTAGAATTGCCGCTGGGGGAGTTGATGAATATCAACTTTATTTTCCGTTTGTCACTAAGTATTCTTTATTCAAGGTATATTGTTTGATAAGTTTAGCAGAAGGGATGGGTGGTTGGAGGAAGGTAGCAGTTGTTCTTGTCATGATTTGGTGGGTGAATACCTACATCAGTGTCCAATGTACTCCCAAATTTACTGGGTAAATATAAGAAGAAAGTATAAACAGTGATTCATATGCTGTGGTTGAAAAAATCCACCTGATATTTTTATGATATGTTAGCTAGGAAGAACACGGTCTTTATTTATTAAAAGTATTTACCGGTAAGAAAACTTTTAATTTGTAGAAGAGTTTACTCATTTTTCAATGTAAACCACATGAAAATTTCTATTTAAATATTCTGCTCTAAACTACATGAAAATTGTTTTCATTGAAGAATTAGTTAAAATATTGTAACTTCAACATAAAATGTTTCATAATTATAAGGAATGAATATGAATTTATTTAGTCATTCATCATATCACCAGCACATCATATCATAAGCTTATAATCTCTTATATCCCGGAATGCTAGACCCCTGGGACATTTGAAAAGGGATTCATATTTAGTGCTAATCAGATGAAATTTTGAAGATATTTCTTAGAAATTCATTGACCTCTCTGAAACTGTATGACACTGTGCAACAATATTGGATGTGATTAACTTTGATGTTGGAATTAGTGAAGCTAATCCCTCACAGTGTAAGGAAATAATGCACTGCAATTTGTATTTGTAAAAAAGGACACAGGTTGAAATCACTCACTTTTTATACCTCAATGTTGTTACATCTGAGAAACTTTGTTTGACATTTTAATTTGACAACCCATAGTATACAGTACAAGTTTTAAGTCTTTCAAGTTAATGATGCTTAAAATGTGTTTGAAGTTCTAAAGAAACCTAGTGTGGCATTGTTTCTGGAGTCTTTTATATTCAATGCCACATATTTGTCCACTAATTTAAACAATGTTTTAACTACCTACAGTACAGCGGCACCATTGGGATAGTAAGTATTCATTGAGGCTGGTATTACTAACCCCATACGTGTATAGTGTGTGTTACAGTATCATTTAGATTTTGGTTTTACTTAATTTAAGATGAAAAATATATGAAAATGTATCAATTTTGTTTGGCCATAAAAATATATGAGATTTCTTTATGCAAAAATTATATATAGTGAAGCTTTACTTTTGACCATAAAATACTGTTTGTTTTTAGATATGATGCCTTTTTACAATAAGTGTGTCTGTTATAATAGCCTTTTTACTTTTGGTAAACATGTAAATTTTTAGACCATGCAGATTTTTGGGAGAATCTGTTTGGTCTGAAACTATTTACTTATTTATTTGTAGTTAAGAGGGAAAAAAGATAATTTTATTTATCAGAGAAATGTAGTGGATGTTGATTTCATTTTCTGAAGTTTAACCAAGGTTTTGCGGTTTATGACTATATTATTCTTGTTTAAGGTTTAATTATACATGATTAGATCTAATAGATATGTAAAATTTGGTATTTAATGTGGTTTTGTAGCTAACCTTCAAAGATTGTTAGATTAAGATATTGTGCTAATTAGAAATTCTTCATAACGTAATAGGTGGTTTGGGTTTTACAATGAAATAAGTTAAAAATTACAAACAAGAATATATTCTGTACATCATGATGTCAAAAAATATTTTTCTTAGATGTTGAAATAAAAAAAAAAAATCATGCTTGTACTTGGAAAAAAGTTGCATGCTGATTGATTGAAGGTTTTGTTTCACTTTCACACAAACTCACTGAAACATTATAAATAGATGTTTATTTCTGTCATTTCACTTGAGGTTGTGTGATAAATTCACTTGTCATTCACTTTGTCAAACAGTTGTAATTTGTTTTTGAATTACTTCCCTTTTCCCTCTGACAGTGTTCACTCCAGGGCCTTATAGCATCATGGTAATGTGAGGCTATTGCTTGAATGTTATGTTATATGAAATATTTTCTTATTGATTGCGTTATGGATGTGATGCTATAATTTCTCGAAACAAGATTGTATTTTTAAATTACTTATTTACCAGGATGCTATATTAAATTTGTGGGGAGAACATTGCTTCATTTTTTGATAAAGAAAAAATCATAATAACTGCTGCTGAATTTCATATTAATTAGCCAGTCTTTCATTGATATTCATATTTTTTTCATTACCTTGAAGTTTTAGAAGGCAAACTATCATTGCTTGCACCATTTCAAAGCATTAAAAATACATTTGGAACACTATACAACATAATATCATGTATCATGTTATTTAATATTGAAAGTAAAACAAATTTTCATGTGGTTATACTAAGTATACAGCAATTACAAAGTAGTAGCTACAAAGTTAAGATTTTAAAATATATTTTGTAGTTGTACAACTCCAAAAAACCCTTGTGTTGATGAGCCATGTGTTAATGGACAATGCACAACTTATGGGGCCATCAGAAGGAAATGTATCTGTAATCGAGGATATACAGGAGTTGACTGTGAAACTAATATAGGTAATTATAGACTGTATTATTTTGGTATGATAGGAACATGTGTAAAAAAAACATTTAGGTCATATGGTATCATACAAACAGCATTTTTGTCACATGGAACCATATAAACAAAGCATTTGTGTCACATGGTACCATGGAAATTAAGCATTGGTGTCACATTGCACCATAAAAACAGCTTTTAGGTCACATGGTACCATACAAATAAAGCATTTGGGTCAATTGATGCCACATAAACAGATTTTGAGTTGCATGGTACATCGATGTACCATACAAGCATAGCATTTGGGTCACAAGGTACAATACAAATAAGCATTTGTTTATACACACAAAGCATTTGGGTCACATGGTGCCATACAAACAAATCATTTGGGTCACATGGTACCATTCAAACAAAGCATTTGCATATACACACAAACAAGCATTTGAGTCACATGGTACCATACAAACAAAGCATTTGCATATACACACAAACAAAGCATTTTGGTCACATTGTACCATTCAAATTAAGCATTTGCATATACACACAAACAAATCATTTGGGTCACATGGTACCATACAAACAAAGCATTTGCATATACACATAAAACATTTGGGTCAATTGGTGCCATACAAACAGAACTTGAGTTACATGGAACATCTACCATACAAAAAAACCCATCTGGGTTACATGGTACAAAATTCTTCTACAGGACATGAAGATCTCTGTGCATCTGCTTATTTTGAACCGAGTGATTTTTTATGGTCTTAACAATTTCTACTTATATTATTTGTTACTGCAAGCAACACATATCTTCTTTGGAAACTCACACATGCACTTTAATGTTCTTTCTGAAGAAATTGTAAAATCACAGTATAAATTTTTCAATTTTTTTTATCAATGTTCTCTTTCAGTAGTGAAGCATTGTTGTATAAAGTTCAAGATTAAACTTGTTAAAAAAACAAACCATTGTGCAAATTACAAATTATTTATGTAAAATATCACTAAGCTGTTTTCAAAACAAATGAATTATTATAAACATTATGCATGTTACTATAACACGTTCTCATCTAAAATTAGAAATTCTCATTAACGGTCATTTGCCATAATTCGTACTCAAATAGGTCGAATTATCGCTCATAAGACAAACTTGTGCAAAAACGAGAAAAATAAAAGAAAAACACGTTTTTCTTTTTATCAAGCACTTGAAAATCGTGAATCTGACATATTGAACACCTGGTGTATGCTGAACTGAATTGTAATAAATTAACTTGCATTTCTCAGGCCTGTATGCCAGCATACGAACCTGGTGTATGCTAAAGTCTACATTTGATTTATACATTGTATTTCTCAGGTCTGTATGCCTGCATACGAACCTGGTGTATGCAGAACGGCAAATATTGAATCAAATGTTGTATTTCGCAGGTCTGTATGCTAGCATACGAACCTGGGTGTTTCCAAAAAATCCTTTACTTCAGTAGTTGTGTTTTAACGCTGATTTCGATTTTTTTTTTAAACTAAAAGCCTACCACTGACCTCTATATTTTCTCCCGATAGGTAAACAGAAAAGCGTTAATTTGCAGGGCAAACCGGTAAAGCGTTTACTGTTGTAAATCTAAAAATGAAAACCGATTCTCAAGTTCCACGACTATGATCACTTTATTGACATGACAGTTATCTGTTTGTTTGCAAATTAAAATTACGGAAAAATGAGGCGATCATAATTTGTACAAGGTTCCAAGTTGTTGACAAAATTTTAAATGACGTCAGGGACCTTCTGACGTAAGGCGGAGGGAATTATAGACGGATAGCACTTGACTTACGCGAGTTACTTTTTACCAGTACACTTAATTAAAATAATAGCAATTGATTACAAAACAAAATGTTTTTTTTATACTTTGTATTGGTAAATGATAAAAAGTCAAAGAACAAATGGACTATTTATCTGCGTTGGATGACCTAATAACACCTTATGTCACGCACTCCTATATGACGTCATTTACAAATGTAAACAATGTGAATGATCAATGAAGGAGTTCCCGTCACGGAGAAGAAAATGGACAATTCATTGAAAAATACGCTCTATTATCTAAATTTAAATATACCAGAAGCAAAACAGAATGTCAGATACATTTACGGTAAGTAAACCTAGCTGTTTTTGTACATTTTCCACGAATTCCATAGAACACCCTCTTTTTTTAGAAGTGACTGACTGCTTTAATCCGGCTTGAAAACTATAAGTATAATACAAGATTATTGATTACGCTAAGTTTGTTTTCTCAAGAGGTTTGTTCACTTCAATCAATTTCATGCTAGACATCATGTGGCGAAATTTACTGCTGTTTTACTATCAAGCTACCCCCCCCCCCCAAAAAAAAAATAGCCTTGCAAGACGTCATAAGTATTTGGACTAACACCCCCCCCCCCCCTCCCACCCCACCCCCCCCCCCCCCCCCCCCCCCCCCGCCCCCCTTGAAAGTATTTAGAGAAAAAATGAATGGGAAATACGATTATGTGTACATCCATAGTGATGTCTCCTTGCATTAGTTACAATTTTAAGGATTTTAAGGGGTGCTTTGTGGGAAAAATTTAGTTGATTTATTGAGGGAAACAATACTGGAGCGGTCCATTTCTAAGGAATTCAGCGCCCTCCCCAGCCCACCCCCCTTATGAAACTTCTGGATCTGCCACTGAGTTAAAGTCTCCCGGATTTAAAAAAAAAATTGAAATTCAGCCCCTATCCAGATTTTCAAAATGCATGGCCAATGCCCTTCAATTCTTATTCTAACAACTTTTAGGGAAACAAAAGTCCAAGGTAAAAAAGGGGGGGGGGGGGGGGGTGAGCGCTCACATGTTAAAACCGGCCACACTAGTCTTTATGTGCCTGTCCCAAGTCAGGAGCCTGTAGTTGAAGTTGTCATTGGTTCATGTATGTCGTATTTCTTTTTCGTAAATTGTTTTGCTATAAATTATTGTTTCTTATTTTTCATGTTGGGTCCTTTTATCATCTGACTATACAGTATTGGTTTTTCTCATTGTTGAAGTCCGTACAGTTGCCTATACTTGCTTACATCCACTTCATTTTGGACTTTGGTGTACAGTTGTCTCATTTGCAATCATCCCACATCTCCTTTTTTTTACAAGGAGGTTGTATGATGTGTCCTTGTTTTGGAAAACTGTACAGTACATTTGTCACATGATCATTGCAGCATTTTGTGATGTGTGTATGTAAGAAGCTGTTACTGTAACAGGGTAATATGAAAAGCTATCAACAAAATCGAAAGACAGACAGAAAATTTTAAAATATAGTGAGCAATAAAAAACAAAAAAAGAAGTAATTCAAACAAATTAAACATACATTTATTGCGAAAGGATCAGAACAGCACATTTCAAGAGTGTTCAATTGGAAAAATGAATGTTAATAAGGAAATGACATATTTCATTGATCTTCAATCAGATGCATGGCGACAAAAATACTTTCAACTTCAAGGGAACGACTTCAATTCAACCACTAAGAACCCTTAGTTCATATACATTCTAAAATCAGTAATTGTGATAATGTTAAAGTTGTGAAGTGTATAATATTCACACATATATATATATGTATATAATATGTAGTTTCCATTTCTCGTTTCAGCATTTTTCAAACAGTGGCTATACCTTTCATGTAACTATTTATGTGTTGCTTATGAATTGAATTGTAACACTTCTTAGTGACTGGATAGGTTAAACCAATGCCTTCCTAGAAAACTACGACATCAATGAACAACACCTGACCTTTTGCTGTTCCTGCTAATAAAGTAAAAATGGCTTCACTAAAAAAGGACGACACCTAGAACATATAGAAAAAGCATCAATTCTTTGGCTTTCCTGATTGAAGGATTTATTTTTACAACTCCAGTGTATAATATGCCATTATAAACAATTTTTACCATAGTATAATGCTATAAATTCACTAATTTCCATATCTATTAGCTAATCCAGTTAGATATCGACTTATGATATGCAGTGAAGACAGATCATTGCAAATTGTTTCCATTACCGATAATTAAAATAAATGTATGCATGTTTGGCATACATCTTTGTAAAGCAAATTGTATACAGACATCCCCCTAAAAGCATTAAAAAAAAAACAAGAACTTTGGCATACACCATGTTGACAGGCAGAGATGCAAACACAATGACTTAAACACTTTGTTGTATCACTGTCTATTTAGTATGCATATTGCCAACTATATCAGATTTTAAGACAGTTTCATTTTCTCTCCATCAATTTCTAACCAAGAGTTCCAAATGGTGAAGTTGAAATCATCCCTTCGTAAATTATACGGACGCCATCACGAGTTGGTTGACCGTTATGGAATAACCGTTTCACAGATGATATCGGATATGTTTCTTACGTCGTAACTACAATCCCCTTCCCTTTTCATGAATGTGACTAACCGAATTAGACTATTTACCGGGTTTGTAATAACATGAGCAACACGACGGGTGCCACATGTGGAGTAGGATCTGATTACCCTTCCGGAGCACCTGAGATCACCCCCAGTTTTTGGTGGGGTTCGTGTTGCTAAGACTTTAGTTTTCTATGTTGTTTCTTGTGTACTATTAATATTTGTCTGTTTGTCTTTTTCTTGCCATGGTGGTGTCAGTTTATTTTCGATTTATGAGTTTGACTGTTCCTCTGGTATCTTTCGCCCCTCTTGACACAATGCTTGAAGTTACTAACTTAGAGCATGATGAAAAATAATAGTTTTACAATTTAAAATATGAATACATGTACAACATACAGCTGGTTAGAATGCAAACCATTCAGCTTGCTAAATATCCAATAAGTGCCACAAAATATGCAGAAATTTTAGACTGGAGGCAAACCCTACACAAATACACTAGCTCAATGAACACCAGCTTGGTTTGACAATACTAAAATGTATGTAAAACTATAATTTAATAGAACTTAGGTGGGTATACAGGCAATCAAATCTTGTATATATCCAAGTAAAAAAAAAATAAGTGTTCACCGTACACCAGTGTTGTATGCAAGAATACCGTGAACTGAAAATGTCAAACAAATATGCAAACTTTTATGTTCCAATGTGTATAGGACTATAGGTCGGTATGCCGACAATCAAACCTATGAATTCCATTTTTTTACAAGAGTTTATTGAAAAGCGGGTTGATATACAGGAATAAACCCCTGAGTGTTGCAGTTAAGAATTGAGAGCTTTCTTTCAAATTCAAACGAAGTTGAAGGCTATACATAAGTAATTCCTTACATCGATGTAATTCGGCCTTTGACATGTTTGATGGAGATACATTTGTATGTCTCTTTCAAAATCATACACATCTCCTTATTTTCTATGGGGGGGTTGGTTATGCAAACATAAGTAAATAAGAAATGTTACTACACAGTAAATGCTTAGCATTCAGGCAGACAGACTTGCCAATACAAACATGAATCCAGAATAAAATTTTAGAATCCATGCAGGCATACAAGTACCTGGCAGAAAAATGCCAAAATAAATAATAATTTGAGTCTATATGCAGGCATACAGACCTGACAAATACTAATATACGCAGAAAGTGAGAGTTTAGCATACGCCAGGTCGGTATGCAGGCATACAGACTTGACAAATACTAGTATACGCATACAGTGAGAGTTTGGCACACACCAAGTCAGTATGCTGGCATACAGACCTGACAAATTCTAGTATACATTTGTACACATAGAGTAAGAGTTAAGCATACACCAGGTCAGTATGCAGGCATACAGACCTGACAAAAACTAGTATATGAATAGAGTGAGAGTTTAGCATACACCAGGTCGGTATGCTGGCATACCGACCTGACAAATTCTAGTATACACATAGATTCAGGGTTTGGCATACACCAGGTCAGTATGCAGGCATACAGACCTGACAAATACTAGTATATGAATAGAGTGAGAGTTTAGCATACACCAGGTCGGTATGCTAGCATACCGACCTGACAAATTCTAGTATACACATAGAGTGAGGGTTTAGCATACACCAGGTCGGTATGCAGGCATACAGACCTGACAAATACAAGTAAGAGAAAAAAGACTGAATTTAGCATACTTTTCATTGAAACATCTGAAATAAAGATGGGCAAATGCTATGTTATGTATATATTTCAAAAATGGCATAAAAGTGTAACAAAAATGCAGAATGAGTAATTTTTTAAGGTTTATTTGCTTCAACTATTTCCTGGGTGTTGAAATAGTTCATTCTAGCATCCTATGAAAAAGGTTTATGATAAAATGATGAAGTTTTGGATTCGCATTTACAAAAAAAGACCACAAATCTTGCAAAAAAATGACAGACAAATATTAATAATGCTATACAGTGACTTTTTAACGCGAAATATATCAATCACCCCAAAAGATGTAGCTTTTTCACACAAAAATCAGTTAAGTGGCATATGAGAATTTCTAATTTTAGATGAGAACGTGTTCTATGTTTTATTACAGATGAGTGTGCACCTAATCCATGTGCTAATGGTGGGACATGTATAGACAATGTCAACAGTTTTACATGCATGTGTCCTTCAGGATACTCTGGAACTTTCTGTCATGTCAGAGGACAATCAAATGTTTGTGCTGGGAGCTGTGGAGGGGGACAGACATGTGTGGATTTCTATCCTGAATCTAAACCTGTCTGCATGTGTGCTAATGGTTACAATGATAGTAAGTTGATTAATGGGTTCATCCTATAACTTGTTTGATTGAAGCAGTAATCTCTTTATTCCTATAGTCAAGGTTACGCAGAATAAATTTATAAACGTCATGAAAGTGAAACTGATATTGATCAATAAGACTCATTTCACTATAAAGTACAGTTTTTGAACATTGTATAAACGCGTACAAATTGTAATTTCTAATTAATGCAATACTTACTCTGACATATATTTTGATGAATAGAAACTTTGTATAAATTTCTGAATTACAATATGATATTTGAAATAGATGAGATAAATCTGATACATATAACTTGTATAATGAACTGTTTCCAGCCTTGTTAGATGGTAAGTACCAGTAGATGGTAAGTACCAGTAGATGGCTACAAGCATGGATATCCCAGCATGAAATTTCCATAGATTTGATGTATTCTAGTGCAATGCCGACTCTTGTCAGACCATTTTAAACATCTTTTGACCTTATGTTTCAAGGCATCCTTTAGATAAACAATGAGTTCATCAATGCATGGGAATGAGTAATTCTTTCTGAATAATAAGGCCCTCAAGTACATGTATTACAGTTTATTGAAACAGAGAATGCATTTTTCCTCCTTTCAACTTTATCATTTTCAAATAATCTAAGCTTTTTAACATGTCATGAAATAAAGTAATAATTTCAATTTTGAAATGGATATCAGTCTTTTGATTCAAGCTTTTTGAATTAATGTAAACCAATACATTTTTGCAACTTTTGCAGTTAAAAAAATAAATCAAATATTAATTGTCACTAATATGTCAAATTGGATCTTTTCTGATTAGATACAATAAAAATGTTATAAAATCACAATTGCAAAAAAATAACGCACAAAATCAGTTTTATAGAAAATTTGGGTAAAAAAAGTATTTAGGAAACATTAGTTGGTTTACAGTATAATGCATACATAACAAAAACTACGGAAATACACAGTCTCTGTTTCAGTGTACAGTTTCAACAAGCAAAGCAAGAGAATACAAATATTTTGATTAATTGGTCACATCTTTTGAAGTTTTTTGTTTACACATAGGCTACTTTCTCTAGATTTATTGTGTGATTCATCCCTTGTAACTAAATTACTGTACTATTTCACTTGATGGTGTTCCGATTCAACTGTGTGTACTTGTGCAAGTTTTCTGTCTGTATGAGTAAATCACCTGTTTGTCACAATTAATGTCTCATTGTTAAATAATTACATTACATGTATGTTTCATTATAATACGTTATTTTGATTGGCTAACAGCAATCTCGCGTCATTCTGAAATTAATCTTCATTTCAAAATGAAATGTAACATTCATGATGACACGAGCTTCCATAATAAAGTGCACAGGTAAATAAAAGAAAAATTTAATAGAAATCGTGTTTTCATGATCCTAGCAAAAAAATGTAATTATAAGTATTGAATGATTCTTTTAGTAATTTTATAGGGTTGTAAAAGCGTTGACCGTGCGCAAATTTTTAGAATGAAGCGCGGACTACAAAATGTACTTCGGTCAACGCTTTTACACCCCAATAAATTAACAAAAAGAAGCATTCAATTCTTAAGTGATTCTCTGGGCCCATATTTTTCAGTTGTCTTTAAATTTAGATTTTAAAATTCTCCATCTGCTTTACATTTTGAGGAAAATTTGTGATTCTGTATAATTACATGTGTTCTCACATGGCAATAAATTTTAATGATTTCTAAGCTTGACTTTGCAAAAATAAAATAATGAATAAAATTGTGTTGAAATTCTAGTTATGGTTCATAAACATTTGGTTCATTTTGAGATACCTACAAATAGTAATACAAGATTGTTGGTTATAGCTAACATGTACTAGTCAGTTTTGAACTCGGGGGACTAAGTTTTCTCAAAATGTTAGCAGTATGTTATTGTTTTTCTATTTTAATTAAGATATCATCAGATAATATCTTGTTTCTAAGCATCCCAAAATTTTAAGAAATGGTTTGAATTAAATAGCATTGCATTAGAATAGAATCATAGTTTATAAAATTGGAACCAAGAATAAAAGAATGAAAATTAATGGTCATAAGGAACCTTGTGTTTTGCTTTTAGACTAGTGGTCAAGAATGGGTTTTTGTTAATAAAATTGGTTTGAATTAATAATTTTTACTGAAATATGAATATGAGTTCTTTTTGCAGTCCGAAATGATATAAGTTTTTTACAAAAATAGATTTGAATAAAAAATCTAGCAATTGAAGAAGTAAATATGAATTTCTGTTTCAACTGCAATGATGGTTTGAACAAGGTTGGGGAAACAATTAATGGGAAAAGTTCAAGGAAGTTTACCAGAGAGCAACAAATTGATATGGCTATTGTAATACTATTGTATGTCTTTTCATGTAACTATGATGGATGCTGACACCATATGCATAAATAAACTGATTCAAATACATGTATTTGTTATTGGTTAGCAATAATAGGAGCAGTGTTGCTGTTCTTTGATCTACCTCTTTATCAAGTTTATATTGCAATAAAGCTGAGAAAAAAAAAAAAAAATCTTGAAGTTCTTAAATAAAATCCCAATTTACTCATTAAAAATATGAAATATCACTTAAAATTCTCATTCTTTCAGAAACACATTTTAATGAAAATATATTATCTTTATTAGAACACATAAAATACAGAGCCTTTATATCATTCACATAATTTAGTGTTTATATAATTCACATCACTATGGAACTTCATTGGTGACAGTTTGCATGGTATGCTTTTAAAAAGACTGCTACATTTTAGATTCATCATTCTAGCATATAAGGTTCAAATATTTCATGTTGCAGCCAACAATCAGTTAGGTCTCTTCTTTCAAGGTACACTGTTTGTGGCAAAAGTTAAATAGAAAACTTATATTATTCACTGGTAAAAATGAGTGAGGCATGTGCTCTATGTGAACTTAGCAAACAAATTTCAGAAATAAGCAAATTTTAAATGGAATTCTTAAAAATCTCCCTTCTAATGTCTCTTGATCACAGTCATTTGTGTCATCAAGGCATGGTTAAAATTTACATTATAAGATGCCTTTCTTCCTAAGTTTTAATGGTTTTATTTTTGGGGTAAACATTGCATTCATGCAATCAAAACTCTCATTTGACTGGCTAGATAGTTTTCCAGACCTTATCACTGCTTTTGAGAGAAAAAAACATAGTGCATTGAGCACAACATTCTATACATTCTATCCTGGTACATTTTAAGGCATTTATCAAAGAGATATATACTCAGCTATGTAAGTTAGAAAATAATGTGTATTTGTATAACCATACTTAAATACATAAGTTGTGCTTGGTGCATGAATCTATCTGTTTTAAAAAATATCAATGATTTCATCTTAAAGTAATAATTAAAGTTGTTTAAACATTCCCTTTTGTCCATACTTGTAGTTGAGCAAACTACAATTATGGACAAAGGAAATATCTTCAATTCATAGTATTGCCATTTAAAGCTTCATACAATGCAATGTTTAATTTTTAGGACCTACTGCAAAAATAATGCATTTTTTCCTTTCAAAGTGCTCACAAGCACTTTGATTTTTATTTTCTGTAAAATTACAGAGCTGATTAAACCAAAAAAACATATCTTCTTATTTCTCAATTATCTGTAGAATACTGTTAATTGAGCAAGAAAAAATATTCAACCCTAAGTTGGACTGATTTTCAAACTTCGTGACTATCTGCTGACATAAGGAGTGTTTATTTGTACATGTACAACATATTATATAAATTCATAAGAATTACTATTCACTTTCATCAGTAACACCCTATTTTAAAATCATTCAGGGTATTAAAACACTATATATTAAAATTTTTAATGAAAATCTTGGGCTAATGGGATAATAGAAGTAAATGTACATTTTTAATCATTAACATATTAACTATTAATTTATCACAATGGTATTTCATTTATATAAGTCTTAGTTAAAATCTATATTTCTTTGTCTGGTTATGGTGTCAATAGCTGCATGAAGAAAAAAGAGGTAATTCTCTGGGTTTTATTTTCATTTCAGATGGTGGAGTTTGTCAGCTGGTAAACTATTGTGATGCCAACAGCTGTTTGAATGGTGGGACATGTTTCTCCTCCTATGGTGGCTATATCTGTAAATGTGCCCTTGGCTACTCTGGGCCTAGCTGCCAATTCATTGTAGATAATTGTGCTGCTCAGCCCTGTGTGAATAATGGTGTCTGTACCAATGGTGTGAACTCCTATACATGTACTTGTCCATTAACTGGAACAGGAGGTAAGAGTTACAAAGTCTTTAAAAGAAATGGGATAGGATTTAAGTAAAAAGTCAATAAATTGAGATCAAATTCAGAAATATATGTAGTAAAGAGAATAAAAAAATGCAAAAGGAACATTATTATCAGCTAGTAAATATACTTTCATTTGAGTGAGAGAAAAAAAAAGGTTTGATGCAAAGTTAAAGTGAAATTAATTTAATTTAAAAGCATTTTCTATTATGGTTGTGTCATTAAATGGTGAAAATTAATTGCAATTTAAGATGAAATTTGTATTTTAAAAGAATTTGACAATTATAAATCTAATTGAAATGATGAGTGAATTTTACAGTCCTAATACAAGTGATTGTGTATATTTACAGGATCTCTCTGTTTAGACAACAAAGACAACTGTGCTCCCTACCCTTGTGTAATAGACAACACCATACAATGTTTCGACAGAATAAATGATTATTACTGTAGATGTAAGACAGGCTTTAGAGGGACAAATTGCTCAGTAAGTAACAAGTGTTTATAAAATTTCAATTCAAAAGGTATATACATGATATATTTAAAATTATGGTGATGCTAGAGAATAATATCTATCTCACAGGCTTTATATACTGTGGATTCATGGTTATTTGTGGGATACCTATTTTCGTGGATTTTGTGGGTATCTGTGAAACTTTATGTTCAGCTAAGTACAAATTTTCCATAGGTTTATAGCAGACTTTATCCACAAAATTATAATTTTTGTCGAGCCTGCGACTTTTGTCGCAGAAAGCTCGACATAGGGATAGTGATCCGGCGGCGGCGGCATTAGCTAACTTCTTAAAAGCTTTATATTTTAGAAGGTAGAAGACCTGGATGCTTCATACTTTGTATATGGATGCCTCATGTTACGAAGTTTCTGTCAGTCGCATGTCCAATGTCCTTGACCTCATTTTCATGGTTCAGTGACTACTTGAAAAAAAAGTTAAGATTTTTTGTAATGTTAAATTCTCTCTTATTATAAGTAATAGGATAACTATATTTGGTATGTGCGTACCTTGCAAGGTCCTCATGCCCGTCAGACAGTTTTCACTTGACCTCGACCTCATTTCATGGATCAGTGAACAAGGTTAAGTTTTCGTGGTCAAGTCCATATCTCAGATACTATAAGCAATAGGTCTAGTATATTCGGTGTATGGAAGGACTGTAAGGTGTACATGTCCAACTGGCAGGTGTCATCTGACCTTGACCTCATTTTCATGGTTCAGTGGTTATAGTTAAGTTTTTGTGTTTTGGTCTGTTTTTCTTATACTGTATGCAATAGGTCTACTATATTTGGTGTATGGAACGATTGTAAGGTGTACATGTCTAGCTGGCAGGTGTCATCTGACCTTGACCTCATTTTCATGGTTCAGTGGTCAAAGTTAATTTTTTGAGTTTTGGTTTTTTTTTCTAATACTATATGCAATAGTTCAACTATATTTGGTGTATGGAAATATTTTTTTATCTATATGTCAATCACGCAGGTTTTATTTGACCTTGACCTCATTTTCAAGGTTCAGTGCTCAGTGTTAAGTTTTTGTGTTTTGGTCTGTTTTTCTTAAACTATAAGCAATAGGTCAACTATATTTGTTGTATGGAAGAATTGTTAGCTGTACATGCCTGCCTAGCATGGTTCATCTGACCTTGACCTCATTTTCATGGTTCATTGGTCAATGTTTAGTTTACTTGGTTAACGTTAAATTTATGTGACAGTTGTAATAAAGCTTTATATTTAGGACTATCAACATAATATCAATGATTAGTAAAGAAGGCGAGACATTTCAGCGTGTGCACTCTTGTTTCTTCATCAATGCAAATTGGTACCCTTGAAAATACATGAATCCACAGTACTTCTTATACCAAAAGATAGAAATTTTTGTCCCACTCTGCAATAATTAGCTTCTTTTAATATTGAGCAGATTTAATCGAGACTTCTACAGGTTCTCCAATGAACACTAGAGAAAGCTTTTATTATTTTTAAAAACACAATAAATTGAGGGTTTACATTTATCAAAAGGGGATTTGCTATTTTGATCCAATTTTTTTTTCTAATTGATAAATTTATAAAATTTTCACAAGAAAATTGTTGTAACTTTTAAGAAGTCATAACAGTTAAATCATTTAGATGTATGATTTGATAGACATGATATGATTCACATCTGACATGGTTGTTATTTTTTTTATTATAGTTAGGTAACACAGATTGCAACAGTTTTCCTTGCCTGCATGGTGGTACTTGTTCTGCCACTTCCACAGGTTACAAATGTGCATGTGCCACTGGTTGGTATGGTAACAACTGTGAAAACATAATAGATAACTGTGCCCCAACATCACAGTGTGCTAATGCAGCTACCTGTTATAACACAGTCATAGGGTACCAGTGTGTGTAAGTATGGCAATAAAAAAATTAAATTTTTTATGATAAAGATAGATTTTTTTATGTCATGACATTAACTGTACTTTTACCATTTTTCGCAACTTTTATCAAACAAAAATAAAAATTGAATAACGAAGTTGTGAATTTTTTTCTCTGAACAACAATCAACAATAAAAGATGTTAGTTACTATTTTTATATTTTTATCAAGACTTTTTTATTGTACTTTTGATTGCTTAAGAAATTTTTTCATACACTTTTATAATATTTTTTGTCCTTACAGATGCCCTACTGGTTACCGTGGGGACAAATGTGATGTTAATTACAACTTATGTACCATAACATCTCCTTGTGTTGGTCCAAACAGTACCTGTTCCTTGACCAATGGACAGCCAACTTGCCAGTGTGCTAGTGGTAAGGGTTTATATTTATATTAGTGCAAGAAAAACACAATTGAACAAGTGTAAAAATAATAAATCCATCAGGAGACTAATCTTATGTTTGACATCGTTTTATATGATTTCAAAATGTCAGAAGTTAGTGATATTCTATATTTGGCAATGAGCCGAAAATTCAAACCTTGGTAGTGCATTTCACCAATGTTAGCCATTTTGCACATAGAATACAAAAGAAGACTTTTTTTAAAATAGGGTTTAGAGTATACACTGGCAATGCTTAAATACATACATAAATTATATTGCAGTTTCTTTGATGTATGAATATTTTTACCTTCTCATTGATTGGACTATTAGTTACATGATAAAATAGCTTTTAAACTATGTCAGGTTTATACAGCGTAGTTTGGTTGTTGATGGTCTGGATATTGAATCATTTTAAATTAAAAAAAAGTTGAAAAGAATACTCATGATGGTACTATTCTGTGGATTCATTTAATTTCATGGGGATCAATTCTCACAGATTGAGGAAAAATATTTTTCGTGGATATTTGATTTTTTGGTTTTACCCAGATTTGCACATGAGCCTTAAGAATATTAGTATTTTCTTGACCATTTGAATTTGTGCTTCACCTTTTCCCACAAATAATAATGAATCCACAGTAGATTTTAATATATAGGTAGATGAAAGTTCAATGTGCAACTAAACTTATTTTTTCCAGGTTATCAAGGTGATAGTTGTAATCAGAAGACAGTTACCTGTAGCTTAACCACCTGTCAGAATGGAGGTACCTGTCAGGAATCTGGAGGTAGTGTTACCTGTATCTGTGTACCTGGCTATAATGGACCTACCTGTGCTACAAACATTAATGAATGTGCTGGAAATCCTTGTCCCACTGCATCTACATGTATAGATGGTATTAATACTTACTCATGTCAGTGTGATGATGGCAAGATTGGAGCTAATTGTGATAAAGGTAAGAAATTACGAAATCACAATTTGCGAAGGACTTTTTAGTTGTAAATCTCTTGCACATAAGAAACAACTTGGGTAAAAAATAATCAATTTCAAATACTGTAAATTCAGAAATTATTTTATTATAGAGAATCCTTAACCACTGGCTTAAATGAGAAATCTGGGATTGCAAAAATTTTATAAGGAAAATCACAACTGACAATATGAATACAAGATTTTATTATTCCTAACCATGATATTGGTGCATTTTTCGCATAAATAAAAACATTTATAATAATTTCTGAATTAACAGTATTTGGAGAATTCAGGCAAAGAAACCTGTTGCCTGCCATCCAGACAATAATACTCTGATAACCTGGTTACTAATTATAGCTTGTTTTTACAGTTTTTACACTTCATGCCACTTTTACAATGGAAAACATGTTTGTATCAGCAGGGAATATATTCCATCCAAGAAGATCATCTAAAATATGATTATTTTGGACATTGTGGTCTTTAGTAAACATCTAAATTTGAGTTAAACATCATTATCAAATTATATAAAGTTATCTCCATTCAAATATTTATTTTAATGATAATAATAATACTTTTATGCGTTCAACAATTTAAGAATTAATCTATATCCAAAAAATAGCTTTAAAAACAGTGATTTAGATTTGATCTTACTAATAGTTTCATCAAAACATGTTTGGGTTTTTAAGAATTCAGTTTGTTATAAGGTCATTAACTTAATCTAAGATAATACTTTTTGAAACAACCTGTTTTGTTTAAATTTTGCAACAATAAGAGAGAAAAAATATTTGAGTGGAAAGTTTGGATATGATAAAAAAAAGTGTCAGGTTTGCAGTGTTGAAATAGTGATGCAGTTAGGGTAAAGTCTCTTCCGCTTAGTCTTCATACAACTGATTGCTGTCTCATTGGAATTGAGATATTTGGTTCACATCTTAGTTTTTGTTTCAGATTTGAGTTATAAGTTTGACATCATATTAGAGCCAGGTCTGCAGTGTGGAGATACAGAAGGAATCAGTATGAATAGTGTATTCAGTCTTGCTACTACTAAACTCTCTGTATCTGTGTGGGTCAGATTTACAACATCAACTCCTAAAGTCATCCTGTCTCTGTATGCCTTAGAGTGAGTATTTAATAGAATTGTTACTCAAAATATAAATAAGAAAATTAAAAAAAACATTGTTTTATTTTTATACATTCAAATATACGTAAATAAAACAAACGATTGATTGTTGGAGTTTAATGCCACTTTCAGCACTATCGGCTATATTGTGGCATTTTTTATTTTGGTAGAGGATAGGAGTTGGAGATAGAGGTACATACACATTTTGAATAAATTGTTATGGAATATTTTGCTTTACAGTTCAATGACTGCCACACCAGAGAAGATTCTAGAGATAGGAAGTAACACAGTATCTGGTAGTATAAATGGTAATACTTACAGCATGCCGTACGGAACAGGAAGTAGTGTTGTTAACATACGTAATGGTATCTGGCATCATATCGTAGTCACATGGAATGCTCTTAATGAAGAGAATCCAAGCAACAAGATCGGTCGTGTGTTTCTTTATGCTGACAACACACTATTAGAGAGACGAGAAAATATTGGGACAAGCTATACACTTCCTACTTAGTAAGTTGTGTGATGTAGAATAAAATAGAAAGATAGATTTTTGCAAGAAATGTGTTTATCTCCATATATCTTTTACAGCTTAGCTATTTGAATTGATTAATGTGTAATGAATTTAAGTTTGTTAGTATATATTTGGACAATGATTGATCTGATGTTTTTTTTTATTGTCGAGCCTGCGACTTTTGTCGCAGAAAGCTCGACATAGGGATAGTGATCCGGCGGCGGCAGCGTTAGCTAACTTCTTAAAAGCTTTATATTTTAGAAGGTAGAAGACCTGGATGCTTCATACTTTGTATATGGATGCCTCATGTTACGAAGTTTTGGTCAGTCACATGTCCAATGTCCTTGACCTCATTTTCATGGTTCAGTGACTACTTGAAAAAAAAGTTAAGATTTTTTGTAATGTCAAATTCTCTCTTATTATAAGTAATAGGATAACTATATTTGGTATGTGCGTACCTTGCAAGGTCCTCATGCCCGTCAGACAGTTTTCACTCGACCTCAACCTCATTTCATGGATCAGTGAACAAGGTTAAGTTTTGGTGGTCAAGTCCATATCTCAGATACCATAAGCAATAGGTCTAGTATATTTGGTGTATGGAAGGACTGTAAGGAGTACATGTCCAACTGGCAGGTGTCATCTGACCTTGACCTCATTTTCATGGTTCAGTGGTTATAGTTAAGTTTTTGTGTTTTGGTCTGTTTTTCTTATACTGTATCCAATAGGTCTACTATATTTGGTGTATGGAATGATTGTAAGGTGTACATGTCTAGCTGGCAGGTGTCATCTGACCTTGACCTCATTTTCATGGTTCAGTGGTCAAAGTTAAGTATTTGAGTTTTGGTCTTTTTTTCTAATACTATATGCAATAGTTCAACTATATTTGGTGTATGGAAATATTTTATGATCTATATGTCAGTCACGCAGGTTTTATTTGACCTTGACCTCAATTTCAAGGTTCATTGCTCAGTGTTAAGTTTTTGTGTTTTGGTCTGTTTTTCTTAAACTATAAGCAATAGGTCAACTATATTTGTTGTATGGAAGAATTGTTAGCTGTACTAGATGCCTAGCATGGTTCATCTGACCTTGACCTCATTTTCATGGTTCATTGGTCAATGTTTAGTTTACTTGGTTAATGTTAAGTTTATGTGACAGTTGTAATAAAGCTTTATATTTAGGACTATCAACATAATATCAATGATTAGTAAAGAAGGTGAGACATTTCAGCGTGTGCACTCTTGTTACATAAGGCAGTATATATACAATAACAAAAGGATCTCCGTACAACCAATTTGAGGACCAGTTCATTTCTATACCCAATAGAAAACTAATTTGTTTCTCTTACATACAAGCTCTTTGCACATGCTCACAGATGATTGTAATGTGACTTCAATGTCTCTTTTCTTTTTCTTCATTTTAAAGGGTTGTGTCTTTATTATACCCCACGCAACGAGTTGCGGAGGGTATAATGTTTTTGACCCATCCGTCCGTCTGTCCGTCCGTCTGTCCGTCCGTCTGTCCGTCCGTCCGTCAGTCCGTCAGTCCTGTTTCTTGTCATCACAACTCCTCTCAAACCACACAACAGAATTTCACGAAACCTTTTTAGATAATAAGGACATACTATGTAGTTGTGCATATTGACAGGAAATTACGATTTAATTTTTTTTCTAGGAGTTACGCCCCTTTGAACTTATTTACTTTAATGTACTACTGCAACAGTTTGTCATCTCAACTCCTCTGAAACCACACAACAAAATTTCATGAAACTTTGTAGATAAGAAGGACATACTACGTAGATGTGCATATCAACAGGAAATTACGATTCATTTTTTTTTCCAGGAGTTACGCCCCTTTGAACTTATTTGCCCAATATACTACTGCAACCTTTTGTCATCGCAACTCCTCTGAAACCACACAATAGAATTTCATGAAACTTTGTAGATAATAAGGACATACTACGTCGATGTGCATATCGACAGGAAATTACGATTCAATTTTTTTTCTAGAAGTTACGCCCCTTTGAACTTATTTGCTTCAATAAACCTCTGCAACAGTTTGTCATAGCAACTCCTCTGAAACCACACAACAGAATTTCATGAAACTTTGTAGATAATAAGGACATACTACGTAGATATGCATATCGACAGGAAATTATGATTCAATTTTTTTTCTAGGAGTTACGCCCCTTTGAACTTATTTACTTTAATGTACTACTGCAACAGTTTGTCATCTCAACTCCTCTGAAACCACACAACAAAATTTCATGAAACTTTGTAGATAATAAGGACATACTACGTAGATTTGCATATCGACAGGAAATTACGATTCAATTTTTTTTCCAGGAGTTACGCCCCATTGAACTTATTTGCCCAATATACTACTGCAACCTTTTGTCATCGCAACTCCTCTCAAACCACACAATAGAATTTCATGAAACCTTTTCAGATAATAAGGACATACTACGTAGATGTGCATATCGACAGGAAATTACGATTCAATTTTTTTCTAGGAGTTACGCCCCTTTGAACTTATTTGCTTTAATATACCTCTGCAACAGTTGTCATCGCAACTCCTCTGAAACCACACAACAGAATTTCATGAAACTTTGTAGATAATAAGGACATACTATGTAGATGTGCATATCGGCAGGAAATTATGATTCAATTTTTTTTTCTTATACAATTTTTTTTTCTTACAGTTATTTCATTTCTCCAGTGACAATGTGGGGACGTGGGGTATGTGAGCGTGCTCACTAAGGTTCTTTAATTTCTGTGTAAAATAATCTTAAATTTCAACTATAGATCTCTAAAATGGATTGAACATTTCGTTAAACTTTAATTTTTATATGAAATGAAATATGGAAAAGAGTTTAAAAATGACATTTAAATTAGGAAATAAAAAAACATGAAAATTCCACCAAAACAACATTGGATGGGGTTGAAAATGAATTAACATTTATTTGAAAGTTGTTGTCAAATCATAATTTGTTGATACTCTTCAGTGGTTACTTAGTAGTGGGAGGTACATATGACACTTCAACTAAGACAGTGACAACAGCCAATGGGATCTCAGGAAAGGTTTCCCGTCTTATCCTTGCCAAAGAGGAGTTCCTGTACACCAGTACCGTCAGTTCTCTGTACACTAATGTTGACTACTTGCCGTCCAGCAACCTGATTAATATGCCAATCATGTACATTATTGAGAAGGGAGCTTCCTTGATTGATTATCAGAGTGAACTCAGTGCTGGTGTATGTAGAACTGTCACCACATGTAACTTGGGTAGGTCTATTGTGCTATTATGGAAGTGTTTACAAAGTTTAGTGACTAAATATTGTGAAGGATCAAATCAAATTTAACAAAAAAAAATGAAAAAAAAATAATCTTTTGTTTTGAATTTATTCTTTCAAAGTGTTGGTATTTATGGAATTGTTAACAGAGTTTAAGTGATTAAATATTATGGAGGCCAGGATGAAATATAGTCCCAACATGTAAAAAGTAGTTATATTCTCTCAAATTAATATATATAAAGGAGATGTTGGGTTTACAAATTAAAATGAGACAGCAGCCTGATGACGATAAAAAGAAAAGACTGAAACAAGTTTTTATACCTGATAACTTTTAAAATTCTCCATTGGGGATTTGAAGCACAGATAACTAAATGCATCCCTTATACAAGTCTTTACCTGTATTTATTGTAATGTTTTATTGTTTTGAATGAGTCATGTGCTTAAATGCCATTGTAACTCCTTTGACTGCCTGTTTTGAAGTATTCTGTTAATTTAACGGAGATTTCTTTAGTGAGGTCATCCCTTTCATGAGTGAAAATCCCCCATAAATCGAGAAAGTTAGCAGGTCTTATGATATGATTCTGCTTTTTTTTTTAATGAACTTCTTAATATCCCCTTTTTTATGCCCCCGCCGTAGGCAATGGGGGCATTAAATGTTACCCTTGACCGTCCTTCCGTCTGTCAGTCCTTCTGTCCATTTGCGAATTTTCTTGTTTCCGCATTCTAACTTAAGTTTTTCTCATCCGAATTTTATGAAACTCATATACAATGCTAAGAAACACAACAAGCAGACAGAGATCGAATTTGGGTAGTGAGTCACTTACAGTTCTAGAGTTATTCCCCTTTTTAACTTGGAAAATTGCAAAGCTTGAGCGGGGCCATTCGTGTCCTCAGACACATTCTTTCTTTTATCTAAAATAATCTATTTTCTCATAGATTTAGATAATCTATTTTCTCATAGATTTTACACACATTGAAAAGATTTATCAACTTTTAAATCTGTGTTTTTCCGCTGTAGATATCTCAACAGTGACATATTGAGATGACCTGTAAAGTGAGAGGTTGCTAATAATCTATGATTAATCAGTAGTTTCACCTGGTATAGCTTGTCAATCTTGTCCTTTGCAGCTTCAGATTTTCCCTCTGTTAATTGTCCTAGTGACCGCTCAGTGGTGTCAGCAGATAGGGTTAGTTACCCTGTATGGACAGAGGCATCCTATGGCAATACAGATTCAGGAAGAATTTACTATAACATCAGGTCTGGAGGTAAGTAAAATGATCAGTTATATTTCATAAAATAATTTGGGCTTTATTTGAAAAAGGACGTTTTTTTAATTTTATGCATTTTTTCAGTCATTTACTGTAGATTCATTTATTTTCATGGATTCCAATTTTCGTAGATTGAGGAAAAATTGTATATTCGTGGATATTTGGTTTTGCCAAAGTCTGTATTTAAGTCTATAGAAAATTTGTACTTTGTAATCCAAAGTATGATGGGGTTTTGTTCTTGCTTGGATCGAACTTTAAATTTTTGGATTAAAAGTTGTAAAAATTGTCCATAAGACACTCAATAGAAATTTACTGTGAGAAATTTAGGGCCATTGATATATATGTAAATAACTAGTGTGGATTTCAAACATCCACAGAATATGCCCATAACTGTTGTGTTTTGTGTGTATTTTGCAGGTGAGTTGACATGGAAGACCTATGCAGTATCATCAGTGGGATATATGGCAGACGACAATGCAGCTGTTTGTGTATTCAGGTTTTACAATAAACGTTAGTATACATACTACATGGTAAGGCCATGTTAACTTATACAAAATTTAAGTATCTTCTACTTATAGGGCAGAATGTTAAATTTGTTGAAGTTTGAAAATTATATCTGAAGGGTTACATGGCAAACTTATTGTTGAAGGTCATGGCCAAGGAAACCTGTGCAGATTGTCAGTAAGACTTTTAACATGCTGATTTGTTCAATGATTGTTATGTATTTTAAGAAGAAGAACAAGTGCTTCAGAATTGCCCTAAATTCATGAGCAGATATTAATTCAGAAGGATTGTGCCTTGACAGGACTATCTAACCATGAAAGCACTGTCACTAAGACATGAGTGTTATTATGTGCAATTTTGGTAATCATTTAAATTGAGGAATATATATTCTTCATGCAAAGCTCGACTCCTTTTCTGGATTTGGCTATTCTTTAGGTCGTTCTTGGTTGGATCAGCTCATCCAACATTTTATTAGGTTTTGTATTATCAAATATTTTACCTTGAGCATCACTGAAGAGGACATTAATTGTTGAAATGCACATCTGGTGCAGTAAAATTGGTACCATTAATTTTATAATATTCTTACGAGGTTCATGTGCCTCAATAGCCCCTGTAACCCTTATAGTGATAGTGACCTCATTAGTTCATTGTCAGAGAGATGTACCAAGTGCATGTATTTAATGATTTATATTTTTTCAGGAGGATCATGTTCCTCAGTATCCCCAGCTAACCCTGCTGGTGGCGCAGAGTCTTGTAGTCCACTGTCAGATGGTGAGAGATGTACAATTAGTTGTAACCAGATTGACCACAAACCATCACAACCAGGGCCATACTATTACTCGTGTAGTAAATATGGCATGTATGATACAGAGGAAAGATTGGAACCATTCTCATACCCGCCTTGTGCTTGTATGTATACTTAAAAACATTTATCTCCCCTTCCATTGTGCTTTAATGTCTCACCAGGGCCATTCAGCTACTTACGAAATGACAATTCAGTTAGTTAAGAAAATTATAAAATGGTTACTATCTTATTGATTTTTAAGAGACACTATCAAGCCAAGTAAAATGACATTATTTTTATGCTGTAACTATATAAATTATAATAAAAAAGTGCATATGTTTGTTTCTAGACTGTCTGGTGATAGTACATAGAATTGAATACTGAACAATAGAAGACTGTATAAAACAATATATATTTATATGTAATAAGCTTAACATTGAATAGAGCTGTTTCATCATGTAATCATGCTGTAAATATGTTTTCGTTGCTATAGCATATTTAATACTTTCTGCAATAAAGTATTCATTCATTCATGCAACATGAAATAGAGTTGTAAGATAATATTTCAAAGCAAGTTTACACATGGCTATGCTTTATCTAAGAAAAATTATGTATGTTTTTAGAAGATACCAATGTTTTACTATTCTGTCTTTCCAGCTGCTATAAGTCGAACAGTTAATGTCCAGCTGAAGATGGATTATGATCTGACAACTTCCTGTCAGTCTTATATAACATCGTTACAGTCACAGATACGTACCTCTTTTAATAGTGTCAATGGTCAGTGGCAACAGAATCTGTGTAATAGTCCCAACTGTCAAAGTATACCTGTTGCAGTCACCTGTAAGTCCAGTACTCTGGCTGAAGTAGAGGTCATCTTTAATACAGTAAAGTGAGTATGAGAGAAAGAAGGGGAGTGTTGTAATGAAAAGAGAAAACAGATATTTAGGGGCAATCAAAAATCTAGTCCAATCTAAACAGATAACACCACAGCAATAAAATAAAAAGTGACGAATAGACCAAAATCTGTCTAGAGGTTCCATTGAATACATTGAAATAAGTATGATAAGAAATGATGGAAGTGAGGGGGAATGTAGTTAACTGTAAGAGTATTCTTGTCTTAGTATCCTGTAAGTCCAGGTTCTTGGTTAAAGCAGAAGTGCTGTTTAATACTTTGAAGTAAGTAGGGGGAATGTAGTAATCTGAACTGCCAGAGCGTTTCCTTACCTCCATTACCCATATATCTTATGATTTTGCTAAAGAATAGGTTCTTGTACAGGCACTTTTTAATTGAAATTGTTGATTTAGCAAGCATTTATAGTGTAAAATCTTCTTTGTATGACATGTATTGATGTTTAAATTTAGTTGAAATTTCAGTCAGATAAAAGAAATAAAATGCACATATTATCAAGTTCACCTAAGTTTAATAAGAAATAACATAGACTTAAAGGGATGTTTAATCTTTTTTTGGGGGGGAGGGGGGAGGGGGGGGGCTAAAATAGTGTTTAAGAACAGAAAAATATAAGTGTTTCACATTACATTGCAGGGATCCCATTATAAACACACAGTCTGTGAGCAGAAGTCCAGAAGATGTTGTAGCCATTGCTGTTGTGGATGACAAGACAATCACATATTCAGTAAGTTATAGAAGTTCTAGTTAGATTATAAACTACTAGCCATTGCTGTTGTAGATGACAATCACATATTCAATAACTTATAGAAGTTCTTGTTAGATTATAAACTCCAAGTCAGTGGTCTGAAATTGTTGCTGTACATGATGATTCAGAAACTTGCACTATGGATGTGACTTGGGAGGGATGACCTCTGCTATCATTGTGTGCCAGTCAATAGTTAATATTCATATCATAGGTCATAGCCACCAGTTTTAATCCAAGTTAAGATTTCCTTCATTTCATGATGTTATCCATATCATATATATTATATATCAAAAACAAAATAGGTTATCAAAATTTCTTTTGATATATATATAATTCATTTTAAAGAAATGAAGATTTGCAAAAATGATTTGAAACACTAAGAATAAATGTCTCACAATAAATGCTATTACTGTTAAATAATTAGAATATGCCATGAAAATCTTTGAACAAACTAGGCTACTCTCGTATTCAATATGTTGATTCTTTACATTAACAGGAAGCTACACCCAGACAGTCCACTATGGAAATAACATTGGTACCATATTGTGTGGAAGGTCAACAAATAGTTGGTAATTTCTGTGGTAAGTTACTTAAGATATTTTATTGGGACTACACACATAAAGTCCAATTTGGAAGTAATACTATGTCAAGGGTCAACGTATACTTGGTTATTTGTGTGGTCATTTGCTATTGACTTCATGAAACAGTTCACACAACTATGTAGAAGGTCAACATATAGGTGATAATTTCTTTGATAAATACAAAAATATTACTGTTCTAAATGAAAATCTCTTTTTCGCATATTTTTGAAATACTAATCTATAGGAAAAATAGGGCAAATTTTGTACAAAGTTATTATATTCCCTTCCAAATGAGAGGGTATACTGATATACATCTGTGAGTATCTGTCCTTCAGTTCGTCCTGTTAAATTTAATTGCATAAGGAACTATTAATCAGAACCTTCCGAAATTTGGTATCAAGCTTCATGTTATACTGTATAATGCATTATCAGATTAATTGTTTATCAACTTCCTGTTCATGGAATACTTTTATATTCTTACCCAATGGTTATGGATGACATTTTCATTGCATTTTTCACAAGGACTTCAATTCAAGGCTTTCTGAAATTTGAAATCATTTTTCATGTGAGCATGCTATACCATGTTATGTGTTTTCACATCCGTCACCCATCAGCATCTTGTTAAAGTGTATTACAGAAAAAAATAATATGGGGGGTTTGGGGTTTGGAAGGCTTGTTTTTATATGGCCTTCACCTGTGCAATTGCATTTTTCTTTGCATGCATAACTGCACAATTTGAACTTCGTGACCTGCCCCAACCCATACAAAAGTAATTCAAGTACCATCATAACCCTACATTTATTTTTTTCTGGAATAGCCCTAACTGAATACTTATAGCAGGGGTATCATTAATTAGCCATAGCTCACAGTGGAACTTGTTTCATAGTAAATACAGAGATGTGATACATTGCTGTATTGATTCTAAAAATATTGCTGTGTCACTCAGATTACACATTAAATATTATTTTAAAGAACCTGCAACCTGAGCAGTGAGTTACATATTTAAGAATAGTTGCTTTTCAAATGCATTATGAAAGAGAAAGAAAACTGTTATCTTGATATAAGTTTTGGTTATTGACTTGGGATTTGATGGTCACAAAGATCATTTGAATAATTTTGACATTTATACCTGTTTTTGTTTTTTTGACTTATCCATAGTGTCAAATGAATCAAAATGATTTTCATATTAAAGTTTGTTACAATACAAGGAAATAAAACAGCCACATGATATTTTAACAATCTAAGCTTGAGACCTTAGTTTGAAAAATGACATTAAGGACAATGTGCACAATTCATTTCAGGTATGCAGATATAATAGATTTTCTTCAGTATTATTTTTTTTTTCACTGTCCATATTGTAAACTTTGATAGATATGATGGCTGGCATTGAAGCCAAGAAATTATGCATATGTGGTTTGATTTTCCGAGTACCATATGTGTTTAAATTTGACAGATTGCACAGAAGCAAATTATGTTATAATTCCTGCTTTACTTGTTATATTATTTTTTTTTCAGTTTCTTGTGCTCCTGGTAGTTTTTATGACAGTGGAACTGCCAAATGTATGCAATGTCCCATTGGTCAATATCAAAGTTCATCAGGTCAAACATCATGTGTTAGTTGTCCATCAGGGCAAACAACATACAACACTGGAACACAGGCTGATACATTATGTTTCGGTAAGTGTAATATTGATATTTACTACTAAAGTGAAAAAAAAACATTTGTTATATAATTTTGGTAGATATAATATGTAAGTGGATTAACCCCTCAATACAAAAATAAGGAGATTTGGTATGATTGCCAATGAGACAACTATCCACCAGAGACCAAAGGGGCAGGGATGTAAACAAATAGGTCACAGTACCGTTTTCAACAATGAACAAACCCATACCATATAGTAAACTTTAAAAGGCCCTGACAAAATGTAAAACACTTCAAAAGAGAAAACCATTCACCTCAATTTTTACTACAGCAATGAACAAAAACAAATATGACAGACAGCAAACAAAGACGTCCACTTTCACAGACAATTTAGTCTATTTTCCAATTAACTACTTTGTATCCAATTTTAGAAATTTTTGAAAGGGAAACAACTCAGGGTAGAACATGCTGTATCCCTGTCTATATGGAAAATGGACTACTGTGAACATGGAACTTTTTAGGCTGGGGATAATTTTGCTAATTTTGTGATCATGTAAAATACACAAAAATGTATGCCCATGCAAATAGTTCATAGAAAGGAACAATTATGGCATGAATGGTTAACTTATGGTGTGATGAACAAATTTCACCCCCATGCCAAAATTTGATGCAATGAAATCACATAAATGACAACCCACATTAATATCCATGTTTATAGTATTTGCTTGCTTATTCATATGAGACTTGTCACAATGAAGCATTTAGTTTAATAACATATTGCATTGTGGGAAATGTTTGCAAATGTAGGTCAACAATGGAATAATATTTTTTCAGTTTGTTACACAGTTATTCATGTATTCTATCTTAACAAATTTTTTCTGTCCAGCACTAACAATCTATGCAATATGCGTAAAAAGGGTTGTTTGGGGGAAAATATCATGAAGACAACATATTTCAAGTTTACCAATAGTCTGTAGATACTAACATGCATATTTTTAATAATCCTTGCTATTATATATATATAACGCACCTCATGTTTGCGGTATACCATCATTTCCGCAAGTTTATTGTTTTCTGTTTGGTATTAAATTAATAATTAAGATCCATTTTGTTACATCTGGTGATCCATTTATTTGGCAATCGCTATGGCAGTCAGCAGGGTTTAAGAACATCCGTTCTTACCTGCTAGTCAAATGCGTTTTGTTAAAATATACTTTTTCACTTTTTTGGTCTTTTGGAAAATGTTGTTTGTGCTGTATTTAGATCCCTCTACCAAGAAATTTGTTTTGCATGCACACGTATAAAAATTGCGGTTTTTATCCAACGCAATCATAGGTTTGAATGTTGTTTTCAATTTAGACTTGTTTAATATATATATTTATATATGATGCGTATATACATATATATAAATATATGATGCAATTGAAATTGGTTTGTGATGTAATGTCTTTGTGGCATCAATTTTTGGTGTTGCAGTCTCTTTATTTACCGGTAGTTATATATTTATGTACAGATGTTTCCCTTGGAATTTATGTTGTTCTGTGTATTGCTGTAAGAAGTTTGTTTGTCTGTTCTTCTGTTTTCTTTTGGTCATGGTGTTGTCTGTCTTTCTACAAATAATGGTCATTATTCTCTCTTTTTCAATGTATAAGAATGTCAATTTATTTACTGTGATTTGTTGTTTTTTCACAGAATCTTGTACAGTTGGGTGGCATTTTTCCTTATCCACTGGTGCATGTGTTTTCTGTCCAGTGGGATATTATCAACCATCACCAGGATCGTTCCATTGTCTAGGATGTGATGTGGGTCTCACCACTGCTGGACTTGGATCGTCTCAAGCAGGAGACTGCCTTGGTAAGTTATACATGTTTAACAGGTCTTCTTCATTTCTGTAAGGATTTTATGTCTCAGAATCTTTTCCAATTGTACACCTTTAATCACAAACAGAAGAAATCATATTGGTCACAGAACAAATACAAATAATCTTGAAAAACAGACAAATATATTTTCAGATTTTGATTATTTTTTAAAAGAGACTAATTAATATATTGCCTTACATTTTTTACACCATTTCAGTCATTTTTTTGAGGACTTGAAAGTCACAATGATCAAGGTTAACAAACCTTTGTCAACGGCTTTACAGCCTAAACTCCTTGAAATTTCTTATCTGTTTTGTAAAAACTTTTAAAAATGACTTGTGAGATGCAACAGTTTAAAATTGAAATGAGTTTAATGACTTAAAATTGCAAATTCCTCAGAAATCATTCATGCTACTTTTGATTTTGAAAAACTGAAAGTAACAAGTTGATTATAAATTTTGAATAAATTCTGATTTGACACATTTTGGGTTGCTTCTGACAGCTTCAAATTGCAGTACTGTGAATACCAATTTTGACTGCAAATTTGAATATTCAACAAAAAACAAATTTTCTATAGGCTTATATGCAGACTTTGGCCAGTTGGCACAACCACGAAGTCAAGTATCCACAAAAAAAATGTTTCTTGAATTAACAAAAATTGGTACCCCCGAAAAAATAAATGACTCCACAGTAAATCAAAATGTTTTTTTTTGTAATTCAGACTGAAAATAGGTATTTCATTTCCTTTTCCAGAAATAAATGTATGGGGTGGGGGAAGTCACTTTTTATTTTACCCCTCCATGCACCAAATCTTAATTGATTATTTCGTATAATTGTTTAAATGTTAAGGCTATAAGTCTAAAATAACCACCACCCATAAAATTTTAATTAAAGTTCCGTCTGACCCAAACCCCCTCCCCCCTTTTTCCTCTAATCAATTAATTCTGGAAAAGCTCTCAGTAATCTGAATTTTAAATCAGTCATAACTGGAAAATATCATTCTAGAACCCTTGTTACATGTCATGTTTTTTTAAAACCACTGAATTTAAAATCATAATTATTCTGTCCAATATGTGTTGTAGTGTATAACAATTTCTTCTACAACAGGGATCAAGGTAAAATAAATCAAGTTTTACAATATTTAATAAAATGTATGCATGAATCTGTTAATTCAACTTACTTTCATTTTCTTATGTTATTTATAGATCCATCCCTTATTACAACAACTGCAGACCAAATCCCAGATAGTAAGTATTCTTAAGGAATCAGAATTTTATATTTAGCACTCTTTTGTCATCATTATCTTAAATTTTATGCATTGCTAGTTTTTTCTTCCTTGCAACAAATGTCCCAGAATGTAAGGCATGATGATGCTAATCAGGCATCAGCATTATGAAGCTAACTGTTTTAAATATTGAAGAGCAGAATACGTACTCCATATAGTGTAATTATGCCTAAGGGTCTGAAGATATCTTTTATTTCATATTAGTTCTCCTTTACCTGTTTCAATTAATGAGAAATCATCATAAGAAATTATAGATGATTTTACTTTTGAAGGCAAAAAGTTACATAAAAAAATGATAAGGAAATTACGTCCAATTATTGTTTTTCATTAAACAATTGTTTTAAAATGAAATATTTAAGGACATTTGCAGGTGTGGTCAGGTACTATTAATTCATTTTAGGACTTCTATTGAAGTAATTATTTACAGGTGTTAAGTTGATTATAAAGATTTAAACTAATATTAAATGTTATTTTGATCATGTTTGATTTTAACCAATCCCAACTTAAAAAAATCTATTTAAATCAAGTGTTGTTTGTAGTCTTTTGTTATCATAAAACAAGTGAATTATTCGTGAATATTGAATATCAGTTTCTGTTCTAATACAGCAGTTCACTTCAGTTTCTTATATGTTCCTCCATAGTGGAGCACTATTAAAGGGTATCCTGTTGAAAAATATGTACACCTAGTTTGAAATAAATAATACCTGCACCCATTTTAAAGAAAATGCTGATGTAAAACTTTAAATTACTTTTAATAGTAACCATACTATCATACTTATAAGTTCAAAATGAGCATTATGTTAAAAAAATTGTGCATGGTCACACAAATAAAAATTGTTTAGAGGTGCTAGCTACACTGTACTTTGCGAGAATTTAAATAAAACATGTTGAGTGCATATAAGTGCATTTAAGTACGGTAGGCGGGTTTGATTATTTTAAAATCGGAACATATATACATGTATGTATATCGATCACAAATGTTAAAATCCATATTTAAAATAAAATAGAAAGACAGCTGAAGATTATAAACTGACGTTTTTATCTTAATCTGTTTAGTTGTTTAATCTGCTTTATAAATACAATGAAATTTGTAGGTGAAATTTTAAAGTTAGGTTGATATTTAAATTTGTTCTTTAACTGAGTTTATACACAAAAACTTGGATATACAAACTTAGGAATTGTCATGACATTTGGCAATGGAGGTATATCAACATTCAGAAGTGAAGGTATAACAGTGTATTTCAATAGCATGACTTATTTATAAAAATAAGGAGATGTGGTATGGCTGCCAATGAGACAAGATAGATCTACTCAACTGTGCATGTTCTGTACAATTGTAATTGTTATATTATGTAGAGGAGAAGACTTCATAAGTTGGATACACTTATTTGCGATCTTTAATTTGTCTCTCTGAGCAAATAAAATCGTTATAAACTGAGACAACTATCCACCAGAAATCAAGATGTAACTATTTATAGGTCACCATATGGCATTAGGTGGTTTTATCAAAATTTATTGATATTTTAGTTAATACAGAGATTGACAGATACTTATTAAAAATTTTGATAATATATTTATTTTCCTGATTTTGATTGTCACAGTGTGTTCCTAATCCTATTTGCGAATAACTTGTAAACTTCATATTTGTTTATATTAGTATTTATACATGACAATAAATTCACTAATATTATGTTACACTAACTCGTTGTATACAGGATATATACAAAGGGAATATATTTTGTTTGAAGGAGTGAAGAACCCCCTTAAAATATTGAACAAAGTTGTACAGTTTACTGGAAATGTAGAAACTGAATTAGTGATGGCACCAGCTTACCTTTAGAATGTCGGGAGGGCAAAATATTGAATGCCAAAAAAAACATGAATTAGTAAATCAGACATCATTTTCGATTTGAATATATCTGATGTAAAATATGAATAACATAGTGCTTAATTAGACAAATCAATTGTCCAGTGATTAACAACGAAAACATTCCAATTTTATAAAATCAATAAGCACAAACACATCTGGTTAAACTAATTTGCAGGATATAGGTGTATGAAATAAAAATATATTGAACAGTTGTTGGATAATGACAATGATCAAAATTTTCGATTTAGTTCATTATCTCACTTATAACTTCATATTGTGTGGTTGCACATATTTAAAAATGTCATCTCAATCATCCAAGGCTTGGTCATGATTTAAACAAAATGCAGATTCGTACTTCCCCAATTGGTGCCTCATATTTTGCGGGAACGTCACCTTCCAAATACCTTTGTTTTACAAGGTCTACCACTGAAATCTAAATGCAGAGTGAAATACTTTAAAATTCTGGCAAAAGTAATGTTTTGTCGTCTCTTCAATAAAAATCTATGTGTAATTCTGTGTAATTATAAAATTTCAGATTTGAAGTCCTGGGATAAGATTCAGACATAACAATGTCATCTTGATCAAAACCAGTAGAGGACATTGATTGTCATTATCTTGTTACAAATTATCTCCCCTGAAACTATGAATTCCCCTTACTATCAATATTCTACCTCACTACATTCAGTATAATTTATTTTGCTTTTTGTTTTTAGGTGGTCAATCAACCAATGACGGAGGTGGATTAAGTAGTGCTGAAATTGCTGCCATAGTTCTAGGAATATTTATTTTTCTCCTACTCCTCCTGTTACTCCTGTTCTGCTGCTGTAGGGATAGATGTAAGTTAACATTTGTTTGTGCATGTGTATTTTGGAGAGGATTCTGTGACAAAAATGTATGCAAGAGGTGTAGGAATAATTATTATCTCTGTACTAGTTCTGTTTCTTCTGCTCTGTTGCTGTAGGGAAGGAGATAAGTAAACATTGGCTTGTGTGCATTGGGTAGAAAGGGATGATTCAGTGACAGAAGTTGTTGGAATTACTCTAGGAATATCTATTTACCCCATACTCCTCCTGTTACTACTGTTCTGTTACAAGGGATAGATGTTAGAAAACATTGGCTTGTTTGTATTAGGGAGAGGGTTCTGTAACATAAAATTGCTTCCAAAGTTCTAGGAATATTTAATTTCCCCCTCTCCTCATATTGCAACTAATTCTGCTGCTATAGTGATAGATTTAACTATATAAAGGGTTATTTGTATTGTGACGGTTAAATGAAGTTAATATTTTGGCTCAGGTTAGGGGGTAATTATATTTTATAACAATTAAAAAACAATGTTTTATAAAAAATAGGCAAGTAAAAATCACTATAATAGAAAAACAAATGATATGGGGTATCCATCCATCCATGACACAAAGTCAGTACATGCACAGCTAATAACTCACAAAAAGCAAAGGAACAGCACTTTTATTGATGTTCTTCAACTCAAAGTCACAGTGAGGCCTTTAACAGGGAGCAAAGTCATTTATGATACATTCTAAACATAAAAGTAGCCATGTAGTTTTTATCAGAAAACCATTAACAGTGGGCAACACCAACAGTACAACAAACTATGAAGCACCCTGGTGAAGAAAAGTTGCAGGGAAATTTTGAAATTTTGTATCTATATTTGCAACCAAAAATATTTTGAGTTCATCCAGAAGTACAGCATTGAAATGTTGATCAAATCTATTCCATGACTTTCTCTTTATTCAAGTGCCTTGCTTTGGTAAAGGAATAGTTGAACCTGACGATAAGACACCATTCAGATATGTCAACAGATATGGTGAGACAGATCTGCATTTCACTAGTTATAGGCTGAATGATATCAGAGAAAAACGAGGAATAAGACCACATCACCGTGTGCACCGTAAACCTGACAGTAAACCATACTATGACACTAAAGCACATTATGACTATTCTGGAGAGGATACACGTAGTGTTCATACAGATATATCACTAACTGTGCCTGTGTTCTTAGAGAAACTTGATGGCAGGTCAGTATTTAAATACACTAAATTCAGAAATTACTGTGCGATTTTTATTATTGCGAATAATGCGACAAGGTGAGTATCGCAATAATTAGAACTTGCATTCAGATTTCTGATACATATATCTGAGTATGCTGATTTTCCTGAAATCGCAATAAATAGTCTAGCATTTTTGTCCAATCTTAAAAAATTGCAATAATAAATGCACGCAATAATTTCTGAATTTACAGTAACTTCTATTGATAAACTTGATAATTTATGCTCCCCTAAAACATTTAAGGAGCATATAATGGTACCTGCTTTGTTGGTCCGACCCTCTGTGTGTCCAAATCAATGGGTTTCCAGATGATAACGTGAGCATCCCTTGCTTGATTGGAATGAAATTTAAACAGATTTAAACTATAAAGAAGGACAAGAAGGCTATTGATCACTGTTACTAAAAATAGAAAAAAATGGAAAAAATGGTTTCCAGACCTTAGTTTGAGTTTCCCTTGCTTTATTGGAATGATGCTTATACAGATTGAAGATGAAGGGAAGGGAAGAAGATGGTTATGGGGTCAAAAGTTTCAAGGTCACTGTGACTAAAAGTACATGATTTTTGTCGAGCCTGTGACTTCTGTCGCTTTCTAGAAAGCTCGACATAGGGATAGTGATCCGGCGGCTGCGTTAACTAAGTTCTTAATATTTCAGAAGGTAGAAGACCTGGATGCTTCATGCTTTGTATATAGATGCCTTATGATATGAAGTTTTCATCTGTCATTTATCCATTGTCCTTGACCTCATTTTCATGGTTCAGTGACTACTTGAAAAAAAAGTTAAGATTTTGTTATGTTAATTTCTCTCTTATTATGAGTAATAGGATTACTATATTTGGTATGTGCGTACCTTGCAAGGTCCTCATGCCTGTCAGACAGTTTTCACTTGACCTCTACCTCATTTCATGGATCAGTGAACAAGGTTAAGTTTTCGTGGTCAAGTCCATATCTCAGATACTATAATTAAGCAATAGGTCTACTATATTTGGTTTATGTAATGACTGTAATGTGTATATGTCCAACTGGCAGGTGTCATCTGACCTTGACCTCTTTCATGGTTCACTGGAAAAAGTTAAGTTTTTGTGTTTTGGTTTTTTTTTTAATACTGTATGCAATAGGTCAACTATATTTGGTGTATGGAAATATTTTAAGATGTACATGTCAGTCTGGCAGGTATCATCTGACCTTGACCTCATTTTCATGGTTCATTGGTCAATGTTCTGTTTTCCTGGTTAACTTTGTTTCTTAGAAACTATAAGCAATAGGTCAACTATATTTGATACATGGAATGATTTTAAGGTGTACATGTCTGTCTGGAAGGGTTCATCTGATCTTGATCTCATTTTCATGGTTCATTGGTCAATATATAGTTTCCATGGTTTTGTCTGTTTCTTTTATACTATAAGCAATAGGTCATCTATATTTGGTGTATGGACTATGGAATGATTGTATTAAAGGTGTACATGTATATCCGCCTTGGTTTATCTGACCTTGACCTCATTTTCTTGGATCATCAATGTTAATGTGATACTTGTAGTAAAACTTTATATTTAGGACTATCAACATGAAATCAGTGGTCAGTATATAGTAGGCGAGACATTTCAGTGTGTACACTCTTGTTTTAAGTTTCAGGATGGTATCCCACTTTGAATTGTACCACATTTATACACATGAAAAAATAGCAATGACAGTACATGTTTATTTGTCCCTCCAAGCATACCAGTATTTTGAACATTTGAAATGAAAATATTTTCCAGCAATAAATGTGCATTTGGGGAACATCACAAAAAATTAACCGATTTTACATGCAAATCTATACATTATTGCAATTTTAGGTTTAGTTAAAATCTAACTTCATTTTTTATACGCCCGTCAAATTTTTGACGGGACGTATTATGTTATACAAATGTCCGGCGTCCATCCATCTGTCTGTCTGTCCTTCCGTCTGTCTGTCCGTCTGTCTGTCCGCCTAAACATGTCGCACCGTAACTTGAGAATGACTTATCCAAATTTCATGAAACTTAACATAGTTGTTTCTTATGATGGTCAAACGATCTGTATACTTTTTGGTGAAAATAAGATTAAAACTTTTTGAGTTAGTGGACTTAGTAACTAAAACAGGTGTGTGTTTTTTTTCACATGTCGCGCCGTATCTCAAAAACAATTTATGATTATTGCTTAAAACTTTACACACTTCTTAGTTATATTTATCTTAAGATCTGTATACTTTTTGGTGATGATTCAAAATTTTATTTTAGAGATATTGAGTATTTTGTTAAAAAAGGGGAAGGGGTTTTTCACATGTCGCGCCGTATCTCAAAAACAGTTTATGATTATTGCTTAAAACTTTACACACTTTTTAGTTATATTAATCTAAAGATCTGTATACTTTTTGGTGATGATTCAAAATTTTATTTTTGAGTTATTGAGGTTTTTGTAAAAAAAGGGGGAGGGGTTTTTCACATGTCACGCCGTATCTCAAAAACGATTTATGATTATTGCTTAAAACTTTACACACTTCTTAGTTATATTAATCTAAAGATCTGTATACTTTTTGGTTTTGATTCAAAATTTTATTTTAGAGATATTGAGTTTTTTGTAAAAAAAAAAGGTGGGTTTTCGCATGTCACGCCGTATGTCAGAAACTATTTATGCTTATTGCATAAAAATTCACACACAAGACGACGGGCGTATCATGCGCTCATATCACAGCTGTTTATTACCTCTGTATTAGCTAGCTATTCCATCCACATAAAGGTGCTAGTTAAAAGAATGATTCAAAATTGTCTTTACATAGTGCAGTTTTTAAAAGATTTGGTTATATGTTATTTTAACACCTAAAGACAGTCATCACAAACACAATTGCCCCGAAAGCCAGTATTGAACAAAAAGAAAAAAATGGTCACAATTTATGGGATTTTGTTTCATTTTAAAAATACTGATCAGTGTCTGATGCAAGTTTACTTGAGTTATAAAACAGGATATATATATATATATAAATCAAGAATAAATAAGAGTAAGGATAAAAAAAATAAGACTGTTCACAAATACAGATAAATCTAAATCAAAATACATATTCTCCCCTCTTCTTTATATAAAAATATTTGTATATATATATTGTTGCATTTTAGTGTGAGAGGAGGAAAGCCATTATCAATGTAATTATACTTGTAACATTTGTTATTAAATTTATAAAGGAAAGAAGATATACTAACAGTTGTGTTGTGGGATAGTTCTAAAGAAACAACTGATTTACTATCTATTTCTTTTTTCTTAGATTTTTATTACATTTACTAAGAAAGAAAATTATATCTCTGGTGTTCTAAACTGTAGTAACTCAAAATGATTGTATTCCCCCTCCCCCTGTATTTTAATGATTTTTTTATCAAAAAGGTTTACAGGTAGTTGATTTCACTGGTGCCAAATGTTTGCACTTTTTTTACGAAGGAAGTCATAATGTCCTGTAGAAAAGCTCAATTCTCTGTTTCAGAATCTAATACATTCTGGGTAATATTTTCAAAAGTGTACACCAAGACGTTGTGATTGGTTAAAAAACATCTAAACAACGGAAATTCAATTAATGATGTGATGTTATTTTCATTTTTGGGTACAAACAATAAAAATACCCACAGTCCTTTAGATTTTGAAATGGCCAATTGTCCTGCAGAAAAAGCTAAAATATTCTTTATATTAAAACACAAATGTCCCCTGTGGGTTTTTACCTAAAAACATAAAAGAAAAGTTTGTTTACATTTTCTGTATAATTTATTGATGATAATATATAATGTGTTGCTTACTTTTGTGGAAGTCTGAAACCCATTGTCTTAAGGACATAGAAATGCAAGTCATGATTTCTTTCTGATTTCCTATGAACAACATTATTTTGCTTGAAGTTTTTATTTTAAAATATGATTTACTGGGTATTCCCCCATTTTCAAGAGGTCCTTAATATTGTCTGTAAAACGAATCATACCTTATTGATATGGTGAATTTATATCTTTTGATTAAGTCAAGTACATGTTTAGATGTTTTGTTTTGTTCCAAGTATTTACTATCAATTTTCATTTTATGGATTTTTCAAACTATTACATTTTGTGAACTTCTAAGTTACAGAAAGATTTGCATCTCTATTTCTATTCCATAACTTGAGAATCATGCTCATATTGATATATTGATATGGCAATGAAGTGGAAGTTCAGTTTTGAGAATTCTTGTTTTCATCTTAACAGTTATATAAAGGCTGTTAATTCTTAGAAACCCATTATTGTACTTGATCATTACAGTAGACTAATTGTAGTTTTTTAGGCCAATTTTTCTGAAATTTTAGCTTGGTGTTTGCTATGATGAAATTAAGATCAGATTCTTTCTTTTTTTATAATAGCATATAATATTACTGTGGAGGGGCTTTATCAACATCCCTTAATCAATTCTAAAATTCTTTATTTCACTTCATTGAAATGCCTCAAACTATTTTTCTAACCTTTGAGATCCTTATTTCATTCCTGTGTTATAATATTCTGAATTTCTTCAGATTTCATGTTTCCTTTTCTTCCCTGTACATACAATGTCATTTATCTTTTCCATTTCATAGATGTGTCAGATCATTGCCAACCAGCAAGTGTAATTGGTTCATTTTTTAGATGATAATAAAAAGCTTATTTTTGCCTTAAATTTTAAATAAATAATAAATGGAAATTTTTAGAACTTTCCATGTTGGTACTTATTTTAACATCTGAATAAGTTGTATATTATATTTACAAACAATATACCATAAATTAGAAACGTGTGTTACCAAAACATTAACATTTGAATTAGATTAAGACATGCACCCTTCTCATGATTTGATGAATTAAAGGACATTTTAACCAGCAAGGTCAAATGTGTGATAAGTCACCTTCATGTCTGTTAAGTCACCTTTTACATCAGTCTTATTTAGATTTAACAGTTTTTTGAAAGTCATGAGATTATATTTTTTGTTATTTGTGACTTTTTTTTAAGGTGAAATTTCCAAAGTAGATGATTTTTTAAAAGGATTGAATACTGTAAACCAACTAATTTTTGCAAGTTTTACAATACTTTGATTGTTCATATGCATCAAATTTAGGATGATAATGCAGTATTATGGGAATTTTCTCTGAACCAGTTTACATTTTTGTTTAGGGGCCAGCTAAAGCCTGCCTCTGGGTGCGTATGTTCTCGCTGTGTTAAAGACACATTGGTGGCCTTGAGCTGTTTTATGCTCTTTGGCCAAGTTGTTGTCTCTTTGACACATGCCCCGTTTCCATTTTCAGAGAGAGAGAGATAGAGCACAAAGTTTTTGGGTATATGTGCCCATCTGATCTGTTAATTAGTCTATCAGTTCCTTTGTCTGGTAAAGGGTTATTGTTTGGTTTAAGGTTGTTTACTGTTAAGTTGTAGTCACATCAAGTTGACACTTTGTACAAAGGTTCATTATGATATGAACTTTTTACAGTATATGAAAAATTAGGGTTTTGACCAAGTTTTCATGGTTTCCAAGAACAATGAACATGTGATAGTGGGAGCAGGACATTGTGTCCGATGGACACATATTCTTGTTGTTTTTTTTTTAGGAAAATTTCACTCCAGCAACTGTCCCTCAGGGGGACATTTCAAAATTTTAAAACTATAATGAAAGGCTCCAACAGATATCTGTCGAAATAACACATATGGTATCTTCCTCAAGCTGTTTGTCTATGTGTCCCTCCATTACATATTTAAAGGCACAGAATAATCTTTATCAAGAACTTTTTTCTTTATTGTTATGATATAAATCAGACCCTTGTTTTCTCTTCATCCCAGTGCCTTTTATAGCTTTATACTTATAGATTCGTTATGGTGTTGCTCATTGTTGAAGGCCAAACTTTGAACTATAGTTGTTCACATCCTTGTCCTTTGAATGATTGTTGTCTCATTGACAATCATAAAACATCTCCTTATTTATGGTTGTGTATTGGTTGACAATGTATGTTTTAACATAAGAAATTGATAATATGCAATACATTGGTTCAAGGCATAAATAGTTTTAAAATGGCCTAAATTAGTATGCTTAGGTAAAAAAAAATTGCTTGCGATATTTTTTATGCAAATTGTACCTAATCCAAGTTTTATTATCTTTTCAGTGTGTCTAACAGGCATACCTTTATTTCTAGAAATGGTACAGCCAGATCAGAATTAATCTCTGACCAGGAAATTATGGAAGTGGAAAGAGTTAGAAAAATGAAACGAAAAACAAAGAAAAAGAAACGTAGAAGTCATCGTCCAGTAGAATATAAAGAAAATATTTTGGATGAGCATATCTATGACGAAATTCCTACCAGTACACCCAGGAGTATGCCTCCTCCAATATCACAAATGCCAAGGTCACTTAAACCCCTACCAAAAAGACTTAAAACCGAAAGTGAGGCTTCATTTGCTACTTATTCTGGACGATCAAGAACTGACCCTTCATCATCAGGGGTATATAGTAACCATGATTATACAAAGCCTAAGAAGGAGCATACAATCAAAATAGACTCTGATAATGACGACCTAAGATAATAAGGACCCATGACTAATAAAAGACCAAGATGAGATCTAGTTTTAAAGAGTCCCGAAACTTGATGCTTCTGGACAGACATTTATAAATTGTCAAGTCAGATTGTTATTTATATAATCAAAAGGTTTTTAATGCAGGGTTACTCAAACTGTGATGTTAAAAATTAAGATTATGCATATTTATTTATTTTTCTATCAGTACTTAATTATTCTTGATCTGTGATAGAAACTAATAACCTTTTCATCTTTCTATATTTGAAATATTTATGCAACTCCTTTTGAACCTTCTCACACAAGATTAGTTTTTTGTTATAAATAGAGAGATACAAATTGATTGCTTGATTGTTAGTGTTTAACACCACTTTCAGCATATTTGTCTATATCATGACAGCCAACAGAGATACAGGAATGATTATTGTAATGTAAAGTGTTTTTTATTGAATATACGAGTGAATTTTAGCTTTGAATTCTGTACAGATATTTATTGTTAGTAAGAAGTGATATGTGATATTTTAAACAAATTTGTTTTAAACTGAAGCCTGTGATAATTACATGTTTTTGTGTAGCTTTAAAAACTTTTTTTATTTTTTTATAGTATGAGTGCTGTATATGTGGATTTCTATTTTATGTTGTGATTTGTCACATAATCCAAATGAGGCTTTTTTTATATTGTTCACATCTTCAATTGAGTATAAAAAGTTGTGTATTAGATCTGTGCATTTTTTCCATAAATTGGAAGCTTATTTGGATCGTTACACAGCTTTTTATTTTTTTTCAACATGAATAATTTGATAACATGTAAAATAGCTTTGTTCTATGCCAAACATTTAAAGTAAACAGAATATGACCATAGCAATGTTTAACCTGACGTTTGATTCTCAATGCAAAGACTCTTGTACAGTAAAGTTGTGGGTAGTTGCACATATCCTATATAAATATATAGGCTGATGATATGTCCAATTTTATAGATATTTATTATGGTATGTCTGATTTTTTTGGTAGTTTTTCAATTTAATTTCTAATTCAAAATGTTAGGGTTAATTTTGGAAAACATCCTAACATAAACATAAGGTAATCAAGAAATTAAGATAATACTTCTCTGACAAAGATAAAAGTTTGCAAATGATCATATTTTCTTAGTTGCATTTGTAAATTGATAAATAAAAGATAAATTCATCATTTATGTATAAAATTTGTAAATAATCAATGACAATCAGAGTCTAATACGCAACGATTTTTATGTAGAATTTGGTGCCTTTAAATGTGTGAATCTGGTTTTGCTAATACAATGTTAACCTGTTTACTCTGATTATAATGTAGTTGGTGAGGTCTGAATCTAATCTTATTTTTATGTAGTTTGTCATTTTCATACCCACTTCCAACTCATTTGGTTTATTTCTATGTTTGGTCATAGAAATTTAACTTTTAGGCTACTTTTTGCAAAATTCTTTTACCATGAATGGATGCTCCATCAATTTTATAATAATGTCGTTCCAGACAGATAAATTAAGAAAAAACTGACTGTTTTTTCAGATTTCTGATATTTACATGAAATAAGGGTTGATAAAAAAATTCTTGGAGGAAAAGGGTATGTTACAATTAGTAAGGGGTGTGCATGGTTGTATTAAGTGCTTATGATGCAGCTGTTTATTGAGATGAAAGCTTAATTTTGTATAAAAAATATATCTTGATTTAATAAAAATGCAATGGACCATTGTTATCTAGCTTTAAAGTTTATGTGTCTGATTCATCTCTGAAATTTTAAGATGAAGAAAAGCAAAAAAAAAGTGCTTTCCTGTTACACTATGGATGTTACTTATTATTTCATTATGCTCTTGGATTTTCAATATCATAAAAGTTATCATCATTTTAATTATATCATTTTTTTAAATTTTTGTACTAGATATTTTGGTTGGAGAATGGTAAAGGATTAAATATTGTTTTCATTTATATTTATGTGTCACCATTTTACAACCCTATTCATGTGAGATTAATAACTAGTAAATTATTTTTGTTTGATAATTTTTTTAAATGGATATAACTGAGACAGGTATGTTGTAATATTATCTGTGCTTTGCTCAGACTGTGTGAAATTAAAACAATTTGAATGATTTGAAAACAATTTCTTTGCATTCAATAATACTCAGAATATAGTAATTTTTGTTCATTTTTGCTATATTTTATTATTTTACATTAATAAAAAAAATCCATGACAAAGAAAAACAGTATTTTTGGTATGTTAAAAACATGTGAGTCATGGAAACAAAGTATGGATAATATTTTAATGTTTTCAAGCAGCAATTCTTTTCCGATTTTAACAATGCATATATAGGATATTGTCAAATATTAAAAAGAATGATTGATTGCTAAGTTCTACAAATATAATACTGTGATGCCATCAAACCGTCCATTTTTTCTTTTAGAAAATCTTTAGTGAGAAATAACATTGTTCATTAAAATGTATGTTATTTTTACAGTGTTAGTTGGTTTTTCATTGCATAAGATTTGTTGAAGGTATTGAGAAATAATGTTTGTCAAGATCAAGTGGCAATCTCAGATTAATCCAGGTCTTCAGTGATGGACAAGTGTTCATACCAAAAAAAATGTTTTTAAAAAAAAATACCGAACTCCAAGGAAAATCCATAAAATCAGACAAAATCAAACGCTAGACTTCATCAACCAATGGAACGAATGGAAAACAACTGTCATATTCCTGACTTGGTACAGGCAGTTTCAAAGAAAATGGTCAGTTAAACCTGGTTTAACATATATTATTCTCTAAATATGGCCTAAGCCTTGACAACATCAGAATCTATCAAAGACCTGACAAAATACAAATACTGTTATGGAAAAAAATATCAAAAGTTAATGGATAACCTTTAAGGAGGTTCCTGGCCTGAAAAAGCAACAATTTATGATTGGGTCAAACTAGTTTTGTGAGCTCTCAACCCAACACCTATACTATTTATCAGTGAGATAACAAGGACACCTAGAAAAACCAATGCAGAACATAGTACTACAAACCACAGCTATATATAAAAACAAAACAGACTCAAAGAATTCTTGCAGTAATTTATTGCAAACTACTAGGTTTTAATCTGTTGAACATAAATCATGCACTCTTATACTATAATATTGGCTACTAATCTTCTATATTTTTGTTATATTTGTATGAAGTACATGACATGACAACACAACCTTGTGTAAAGTACATTGTAAGTTCTGCTTGAAATTCTAATTCAGAAAAAACATTTTAATTGTGTTTCTTGGAGTAAATATTTAAATTGATAGAATACAAAATGTAAGAATTAAATAACATTAAATTATTTTAATCTTGAACAATTATTTTATTTAGCAAAAAAACAAAAAAAAACGAAAAGGGCAACTCAATCTTGTTTATGATTTGTTATTGACATTACTATTATGAGGAGAATGTGCAATATTATCCTTTTCTGTTGAATGCATACTTCCACAAGGTCTCTTTATTTGAGATGAATTTAGAACTTTTGAAGAATATATGATATTTTGTGATCTTTAGGAATAAGATACCATGTTTACCATGCATAGGACCATCAACACAAAATTGGAAAGGAGGATCTAATGACCATCCCTATTTAGGCAAGTAGCTGTGCCTTTTAAAGAGGCTTTTTCTTTTAACTTTACCAATTGGCCAAAAAAAAACCACCAAATAATATGGGTTCCATGCACTGGACTCACATTTCTGTAATAACCATCAAGAGGTATGGTCATGACTAAATGTTTGGAAGCCCACACATACAGGAATTTCAACCTTAGTAATAGGACAATTATGTATTTTATCAACTGCTAAAACACTTTTTCAAATGGCAGTTTGAGTCCACCTGTGGTAAATAAACTCATCATAGATACCAGGATTAAAATTTTGTACGCCAGACGTGCGTTTCGTCTACAAAAGACTCATCAGTGACGCTCAAATCAAAAAAGTTCAAAGGGCCAAATACAGTACAAAGTGGAAGAGCATTGAGGACCAAAAATTCCGAAATGTTTTGTCAAGTACAGGTAAGATAATCTATTATTTGTGTTAATTAACTATTTGGAAAGGAGATAATTTTATAGCCAAACAATATGTTAAGCATGTTAAGGTTATCTCAGTTTCATACTATGTATCTTTTAAACATTATCACACAATTTTCATTCATCTAACAAAAATATCACAAGCTTTGTTTTTGATCAAACGACAAGAGTTTTTAAAGGTAAATAAGTTACCATTAAAAAATGTTTTTAAAAGAACAAATAATGTTCAAGTGGCGCGGTAATATTTTGTGAGCTTTACTCAAAGTACTTCTAGTTGAAACTAATGACCAAGAACTTTTTTAAGTGCAAAATGACCATTTAACAATCACACCTTTTTTATAATTTGTGCACCTGGAGTGATAAACATTGTATAGTATTTATCAACTTTTTCCTTTGTCCTGAATATGCATGAAATATTTTGCCACTGGACGTTAAGCAAGCAACAATCAATCAATCAATCAATCATAGAAAGTTTTTTTGGTTGCATATTCTCTACATGTAAATATATGTTAAGAAGCTGATAAAAAAAAGTAGGAAACATATCAATGGTATAAACAAAAATCATAAGTAGACGAGAAACCGACAACACCTTGAAAAATGGTCTGCAAAACACTACATAGAAAATTAAAGACTGAGCCATACGAATCCCACCAAAAAACTGGGGTGACCTCCGGTAACAGTTTCGTCAAAACTTTGTCCTGAAAAAAGTTTCTATTTCAAAATTTCACATTCGGTCAATATTTACGGTTCGAAAATTTACATGACCTAAGGTTTACGAATTTTGTGATGTGTTATGCTAAGGTAAGAGTCAATTGTGTGATGCCTAGTCATCAACATATTATATAGGAGTAACACGGCAGGTGTCACATGTGAGGATCTGTTCACCTTTCCGGCGAACTTGATATCAGCCCCGGTTATTAATGGGGTTCGTGTTGCGGAGTAGTATACTTTGTAGTGTGTTGCGGACTTTTTTTGTCTTTTCGTTTTTTTCTTCTTTTTTTTGCTATTGTGTTGTCAGTTTATATTCGACTAATGAGATTGAATTCCCCCTTGGTATCTTCCGTTTTTTTTTTTAGATGTTTATATTATTCTATCACCAATTTTAAATATGTTGTAAATTTTGGTATCCATGAAGAAAACGAAACAACCAGGTAAAATATAACATTTATTTAAGTTTAACATAGTTTAACTGTAAATAAACTATTGTCTTGTTAATTTGTCTGCTTAAAGCTATATCATTAACACTCAAATAACACAATTATGAAAATATTGGGGTAGTTCAAATTATTGTAATGAAATATATTAATATTGCTATCTATATTACTGTATGTTATTCGCTTTTTAACCCGAGTGGTCTAACAGAGCGGTATTTCCATTTTGATATGGCCGTACTATTACCTGCCAGATCGAATCAGTAATTCAAATCTTTGCATTTTTTCGATTGAATACAGCAAATTGAAACTAACATGGGGTCAATGAGACAATAACAATCGTCCCTTTTTCTTCTTTTTTTTGTCCCGAATAATATGTTCAAAAGTTAAAAGAAAGCAAGAGGCCAATCAAAGAGCATTAGTCTAAGAAAGGCGGACAACACCATCACCGAAGGATGAATTAAAACAAAAGACAAACATTCATACACAAAACACACCATAAACATCTATTAAAGATTCAGCAACACGCACCTGACTAAAAACCTCGAATTAAATCTTGTTGCCAAGGAGGGCATTTTCTGCTCCACTAGTGACACAAGTCGTGTTACTCATATCTACGCAAAATGCAACCTTCTGTCAAGGAAATTCTTATAAGAAACACAATCCCTGAAATATCTTATCAACTAAGACATATATTCACCACATGCAAGTGCTGCTGAATGTTGCTACATGATATTGGAAAGGTAACAATGGAACACCGAATGCACCCATGTTGGTGTAAAGTTTATTTCTCAAACGACCATCACTGTCAATTTCTAGGTCCACGTATTTATGGGGAATTTAGCAATTACAACGAGATAACTTGTCAGTTAACATTTGACTACAAACATGATATGCAATTTGAATGAGAAATGAACTACTTTAATTATCTGCATAAATACATTAGTAATACTATTTAATCAAATAGTATATATGTTTTAAATGCATTTAACAAAACCTTCATCATCATTTTCGTTCAGGTAAGTTATGATTATGACAATTCTAAATAACTATAAATCATTATATTTTGTTAAAGGGTCATCAATTAATGTTGCAAAGCATGTACATGTATATATTATATATGAATTAAATTTTCTGAAATAGTATATGAACAACAATTAAAAATAATTCAAACATAACAGTGATAATCTCAATAACAGTTAATATTATGCTGTTCCAGAAATTATAATTTGGCAAGATCAACAATTACGCATGTATTACACAGTGTCTAGGAACACGTCACGGTGGATAAAGGAATTCCTTTCATTATTGTTTAATCTGCCGACAAGTACTCAAATCATCTCGCAGCATCAATGTTTTGTCTTTACATTTGGATTTGTTAAATGTGCAACTGTAAAGATAAAATAAAATCGATTAAAACATCGAGATATTTTTAGCTTGTCTTTCTATGTTTAGAAAAGATATAGATTGTGGCAAATCTTTAAAAACAAATTGTAATGTATTCTTTTCTTCAGAATTGAAATCAATCTTCACAGCTATGTCAAAATTTACAATTTTTATTACGAAGATTAGTTCTACTTGTTATTTCAAACATATTTAAAGAGTTCATGTTGCTCTATCTTTAGTTTTTTTCTGCTGTGTTTTGTGGATTTTCGCTGATGTTTTCGTCATTTTTATTATGTATTTCGCTATAAGTTCAATTAACAGCTTTTGATCATGTGATACTACCCTGGGATTGTTTTCAACGTTTTAACAATTTTGAAATTCGGTCTGTGAACTCTAGCCTATCACTCTTTCTAATTATAACTTTTTCTGACAAACTGTTATCACTCAGTCTTTAGTTTTATATGTTGTGTTTTATATACTGTCAATTGTTTTTTGATCATTTTATTTCTTTTCTTACCATGGAATTGTCAGTATGAATATTCCTTTGATATCTTTCTCCTCTCTTTTTATAAAGTATAACATTTATTGTGTTTACTTACAGATTTAAATAGAATTGATTGTCTGTACCACAGAGAGGATCCAACGTCTTCGGGCATACTTTAGAATCAACATCTGTGCAGAATAGCAAAAAGTCTATCTCAGTTGGGAACTGCATATCTGTGGCCTGAGGAGTTACTTGTGAATCAATTTTTGTTACTGGCGACCAAGTCGATCGTTCCGATGACGTCTTCAACAGATTTATCAACATAGATTGTGTTGTCTTTAAATTTATTGACGTAATGTTTTTGGTAGTTGGAGTGGTTGTAGATGAACTTACTGTAAAGTCATTTTTATTCTTGCCATCCTTTGTTGACTTTGATATCTTAGCTTTTTCAGTTGTTGTCGGTACTATCATATCTAATGTAGTCATGATTGTTCCAATGATCGTGTTTTTCGTTGTGGTCTTAATGATGGAAAGAATGGTAGATTCAGTAGACTGTGAGATGCTTTGTGTAGAATTACACACACCATTCTTACACAAGGGTTTTTCTATTGCTCCCTGAACTTCCTGGCTTACATCTGTATTTTCTGTTGATTCAGCAACATGGTGTCCAGGTAAATGTTTCCTTGTTCTAGTAATATTGTTATCTGTAAGAAAATGGAGCCGTTCGTCCAAGACAGACATTGTAGTCGAATATTCTACTGTTAGAGGGCTGTTTGTTGACTCTTGGAGCTTCCTTCCATTAAGTTTATATGCATTTTTTCTCGGCGTGACTCCATCTCTGCTCCTTCTAGTAGTTATTCTGTACGAATTTTGAAGTTTTCCTGGTGCGTTTGTTGATACGCTGTTCGCTTTTGTATTTGCTTTGAAACTAATAATACACTGTGAACATTTACCTTTGCATTTAATCCCAAGATCATTATTGTGACATTTAGCCTGTGCGTAAAGACACCTGAAAAATATAACATATATGGCACTATAAATTGAGGCGACAGTAGTTTATCGATTTTCAAATCTTTTAAATCGATTAAAAAGAGACAAATCGAGGTCACAAACAAAAACTGAGGGAATCGCACGAACCCCAAAAGGAGCAAGTCCAGGTGCGTCGACAGGGTAAACGTTTCTTGCTATGCATGCATTATCATGTAACGCAGTCATAGATTCACTGACTTCATGTTTTGTTTTTTTCCCGGTGGAGAAATATTCTAAAACTGTGAAAAAGGCGTTCCGTTGTAGCGCTGTACAATACTTAATAAACGACAAGAGTAATTTACCGATGTTCAAAAGAAAAACTCATCAAAGATTACCAGGCTTATAATTTGTTACGTAAGAGGCGCGTTTCGTCTACATAAGCCTAATCAGAGGCGCTCGTATTAAAACAGTTGAAAGTAAAATCAAAATTTGAAGAGCATTGAAAACCAAATATACCGAAATGTGTGCCAAATACGACTTAAGTCATCTATGTCAGGGTCAAGTGTTTAGAGTAATTAAAAATTATAGCAAAAGAAAAATTACTGAAAATGACCACATCATTGATACTAAGAAATTCATGTCAGCATTGAAGTGCTGATTACTGGTTTGTTGATACCCCCGTGGACGAAATGTGCACCGTCAGTGGCATCGACACAGTGGTTGTAACAATCATCAAAGATACCAGTGTTATGATTTGTTCCGCCAGACAAGCGTTCAAAACTTGTAAATCCATTCTGAATGGGAAAAAAAACGTAAGAAAAACACCTAAAGGTCAACCAATCCGTGATGCTGACCGTACTTCCTTGCAACCCATCTGGAGAGTTTTGGAGTTGGGAGCATATCTCTCTTAATTGCTACGCGTCGCCAATAAAACAGCATTTGCGACCGTTAAATCGACAATTGACGGCGGCAACTCTTCAACAGTACAGTACAGTTATTCATAAATTTCATGAAAGTGAAAATGGGAATTTTTGTCTCTCGTTGAATTTCAAAGTACATCAGTTAAATCTATATCACTGTCATGTGCTTGTTTTACCAAAATTTCCCAATCGTTTAAAAGGTCATGAACAAAAAACATGAAACAAACCTGTTGGAGTAAGTGTTTCCATCACTTGCACAGACAATCTCGTTTGGCTCGGCTGAATACTGTAAGTGACAATTAATTTTGGTAACTGTTGCACACAACTCTTCCTGAGACTGACCAGCAGCTACGACATATATCATTATAAAACCTGTAAATATAATCATACTGTAACTGTTATGTATGAATATACTAAAATAACATCGTATTGAATAATACTACTGATTTTGCATCTTCGTGCAAAGAGCGTGAGTTAAGGTAACAGGTACGTAAATGGATGACCTCGCGGAATTTTATGAAATTTTGCATACAACTAGAGCACGAGGGAATGAACGTAAACATCGAAACAGTTATACATGTATCTTTTATACTTTCTGAAATATAGCAAATAAAACATTCGGAAAATAGTAGTACAAATTTATTGAATACACGTAAATATCGTTAAAAATTTCAGCAATTTTTACTTAAAATTAACTTTTCTAGCAAACCTGTCCTACGAATTTTCTTTAAAAAAGATATGTGATTACTACTGAAATTTCCGTTTTCTTGATATAAAATTTATAGGGAGTCACCGAATTCGTTATTTGATTATGAAAAGTTAAATGTTCTGTACAGCCTGGAAAAAGCGCCGAAAAGGCAAAAATAATCGTGACGTCGTCGCTAGAAATGTTATTTTTCGACGTTTTTAGATATTACAAAGATACATGAATGATTTATACAGCAAAAATGAATTCGGTGACCCCCTATAATTTTCATATTAATAAAATGGAAATTTTAGTGGCAATAACATATCAATTTTAAAGAAAATTGGTAGGACACGTTTTCGACAAAAGGCAATTTTAAGTCAATGTTTTCAATATTTTTTACTATATCTACGTGCATCCTATACATTTGTACTCCTTTCTACAGAATATCCAATTTGCTATATATCAGAAAGTATAAAAGTTACTTGCATAATTTTTCGATATTCATATGCAGTTCCACATGCTCAAGCTGCTTGCAAAATTTCATAAACATCCGTGAGATTGCCCATTTACGTACCTGTTACCTTAAGGCTCAACTCTCTTACATTATTAAAAAAAAATATAAGTCGATACACATATGTATACGTTATTGTATAATATTTTAAGGTCAGAAAAGGACATCGTTTCCTGATTTTGGTCATTAAAAATCAATATTATATAGGTGTAAAAACATCCATTCAAAATGTCCTTGGCTTATTGACCCCTTTTCGTTAAACCATTTCACACTTTGGCCCGGTTAACATTGTTTAACTATTTCAATTTTGAGAAGATAGTAAATAAAATAAGACACTTGTTAAGCTATTCAATGTTTACATGGGCTCTAATATACGATGAATATATTTGATTGATATAACGTATTTTCATAATTCTAAATAAAATAGCACAGTGATTTAATGTAGACTTTTTTTTATGTAGATTGACATTTTGTATAGACAACTGTTTATCGTTCAAAACAAACTATATACTAGAATGTTTTTATTTCGTTAGGTTGCTGTTTCATTGACGTATACCCACATTTCCTTTTATACTCATTAAAAATATTACTCGATTTGTACTGATATCTTGAAATTTGATTATTTATAGAGTATTTCTAGGTATTGTGATTATATTATTATTTTTTTGCTCTTAAAAAACTCAATATATTTTTTTAGACCAAAATCCCTTTCGTGAACATTCAATAAAACTTTATCGGGTAGGATTTTTAGTGTCAATCTACTTCGCCTGGACATTTTAAGTTGTAAATATTCGCTTTGCGGATGACCAAAGATGTTTTCAGGACACTCGCTTTGCGATAGTAAAATGATCAATCAAAGTCCACAAGTATAAAAACACAATACAGTAATTCATTATTTGAAAGTAAGTCAATAATTCCTCGGGTGTACCAGATTTTATGTTCTTTTATATTTTTGTTACGTGATACACGTTCTTTATTTTCTATACCACGCGCATTAATACGTAAAAACAAGTGAAAAGTGGTTTTGCCTTCATGAACATCATATCTTGTTATTTCAAATCACAAAACGCATTTAAATATTTAAGAAATGCAAAGAACAATAAGTATATATATTATAATGTAATAAATAAACTATAATTCCAGCTGTGCTGTTAAGAAAAGTACCATCTTTTCAAGTTCATCATTAATCAAAATGATATATCACAACTGGAGTACCTTAAGTGTTTAGCTATATATTGTTATGTTGACAAATTATATCATAAACTTAGTTTGAAGAGCTCTCTATCGTTCTGAATGATACCACTCCCTTTAAAGTAATAGTGGTCAACAATGATAATAGTAAATAGTATTACGTATTATTGCTACAGATATGCGTTCGTCTTTTTCTTATTTCGTAATTTTTATATTCGAAAAGCTTTAAAAGTATTTGCTAAACATATGCAGTTTATTGATACAGTACATCTTTTTACAATTCTTGGACATGTTAAAGCTTGGGAGGAAAGATAGAAAAAGATGAAATGAAAACCCATCATGAAAAGAACATAAAAATCATGTAAAAAGTAAAATTGCCTTGTAAATTTATGCCATAACCACACCTTAATGATGGTTGTAAATAGAGAATTTTCAAACTAACAAAACAAATCAATAGTTTTCTTAAAAAACACAATTGAAAAAATTTACTGATTGTTTTATACCCGTTAAATACTTGTTTAATGTTCTAAGTAACGCTATGACAGAAAGGAAAAAAAAATGTTATCACAACATTTTTTCAGTCAGTTTCCTTATTCGATTGCTAATACCAGCACGCTTATGTAAAAAAGACAGAGAAGCCAAATGACATGTGTAAAAGCATCAAAACGGGAAAAAAAATGGAAAACTAAAATCGTCTTACAACAAATTTGAGTGAGGGAGTTCCAACCACATCTTTGGTAAAATTGCTTAAATTAGAGGCAACATTTGGTTTAAAGATGTTCAACTCTCTTAAATCTATAAAGAAAATACAAATCAAGGTAAAAAAAACTGAGGGAATCACATGAACTCCAAAAGTATCGAGACCGGAAGCGTGGAAAGGCTAGCGTCTCCTACAATACAAGTTTATCATCCTTCTGATAAACCGGACAACCAATTTACGCCAAGTTCTGGAAAAAATATTGTGTGAGGACTATATAAGAAGAAACACAACTTTGTTAAAAAAGAAAACTTGGCAATATAATCTTAAAACTAAAAACTGAGGAGTTACAGTAATTTCAGAAAATAAAAAGAAAAGGCGTGGGACTAATTCCATCTTAAATAAACTCACAAGAGGATCATTTTCAAAAAAACTTTAAAATCTTTTAGGATTGTAAGTATGCTTTATTTTATCACCTTGCACTTTCACGACTTGACTGTGGTTTTCTACAGCAGTTTGTTCAAGTTTCTGACCAGTTGAACAGTTTGGTTTTATAAAACAAATTGCAATTTGGTCAGAATTTTAAATAACTTGCAATAGGTGGAGAGTAACACTTACAGTCAAGTCACAGTAATGTAAATCAAATCCCCTTTCTTTAATATTCGATGAACATCAATAGAAATTAAAAAAGGCAAAATTAATTTTTAAATTGATACACACTTTTTGTAATCATACTGCTATTTTATTGAACCTTTATTAATCATAAGATACATTGCAGGCTATGTTGTAGGAAGCCTTACATAAATTTAACACATTTGATAAATAAAAAAAAATAGCAAAGTTAAAAAAAAAGCAAACCTTTTAACCATGTTAACAAATCATTTCACAGTGGTTTTGTTAATGTATATAAATCAAATTATTTGTTTTGAGTTATGCTACAATTTGCTGAAGGGATATTACTTGTACCGATTGTAATTCTGAGCGTTTTCTGTGCAAAATAATATAATTTCATAATATTAATATTTCTTCG